TGCCAGTTCCTCTGAAGTTTCCATAAGGAATGGCTGGACACGATGAACAAATGACATCTTCATTAATTAATTCCAAATCCTTTCTCTCTTTGCACTGAATTCCCTGCGCTTTTACTTTATAACTGAATCGGACTTTGCTTTCTGTTTTATATCCTCCGAACAGACTATTTTGCAGGGTCAGCTTTTCAAGGACTGGACAGTTCAATTTCTTAACAAGTGACGTCTTGACATAGCTTCTCTGGCTACCGGTATCGAAGACCACACGCACTTGTTGCTGCTCTCCGTTTGCACCATGAACTTTGACACGGAGAGTCTTCAAAAGAATAACTTTATTCTTCTTTGTGCTCGAATTACAACTAGTCATTGCTGGGGTCACGGACATGGTGTGAACTCCTTGCACAATCTCTTCCACGCCGTCTTGATGCGACTCAGTCGTCCGGTTCTTCTGACCTTCTTGGCACATAATTGCGTAATGTCTCTGATTGCACACTACACACTTCACTGATGACTTGCATTTCTTAGACTGATGGCTTTTTTTCAAGCAAACATAGCAACAATGACCATCAACTATTTTATGCTTCTTCTCCTCCATGGTCATCTTCGCCGCTTTGAAACAATCGTGGCTGGCATGGTTTGTTTTCGAACAGAAAATGCACTCGGCCGATTTCGCCTTTGCTCCCCCCTGGTTAACGTACAAAGTTGCTGATGTGGGGACGTCTTCTTCAGCAAATTTATTTTTCCAAGTTTGCTTTTCTTTCTTCCCTTTGGCATTCTTCCCTCCAACGTCGAATCCCGCTTGCGCCAATAAACGCTGACCTTCATTCTCCACTTCTTGTTTGAGAAAGGCCATCAAATAATCGAATTCCGTTCTGGGAGGGTTTTCTGATTTTCCATCCTTGCCAAAGTTTGCACTCCGCTGCCACGCCATCAATGTTTCCTCTGGTAATATTGACTCAACCATGGGGAACAATGTAACATTCATATAATCGGGTGTGATTCCTAGGGATTCCAAAGCTTTTATCTGAGCTTCCAATTTGTCAAAAATCCAGGAAATCTTCACTTTCTCCCGTGAACTGTTGATAATCATCTTTATCAACTCTCGAATGTACACTCGTTTCAAAACAGTTTCTTTCCCAAATCGTTCTTTCAGAGCACTTATGAGTTTGGGATAATTTGCTGTTGACGGATGGTAAACACGCACTAAAGCTTCTGCCCTTGAACCTGGGACCATTGCTTGGACCAGGTACTGAAATTTATCGCTGTCGTGAAGCTCGTCGTCGTCGTGAATTTTCTCAAACTGCGCCCACCAGCCTAGCCATTCTGTAATTTCACCATCGAACTTCTTAATTTCCGTCTTCGGCAGCTTATACGTTTTCTTTTTAATTTCGCTGCCCGAACTGGATGACAGTAGGTCGGAGTTTATATAACGGAGCGCTTTCACTTTTGCCACTTCCATTTTCAAAGTGTACTCTTCTTTTGAATCTTGTTCCGTCTGTATCTCCGCCTCAGTTGCATCTGCATCCAAAAGTAAACCAGAAATCTCTTGATCGATGGCCGCTATCTTCTGTTTTAAATCGTCCAGTCGATTGACGTAAGCCTGAAGCAGGTCGTCGTCGGCGCTGTCTTCCTTGGTCACTTCTTTCTCGATTTCGATGCAAAGTTTCGTAACTGCAGCCCGCATCGGCGTCCTCGACTTCTTAGCTCTCTCCATGTCGACCTCGATAGCTCCCGTATGCACGGAATGGAGCCCTCAAAGAGGCAAGATAAACAAATATTCAAGTCCTTGTCCTGGGCTGGATCGAATCCACAATTGGCCGCAACTGGACTTCTCCGGTTGTTTATTCCCAAATATAATCAAAATTAATATCACCTGCTCGACCCCCGAACACTCAGGGTGGGGTCCTCAACGAGGCAATTCTTTGGTGATATCCAACGCCAACGGGTTGACTCCACTACTGCTCCACGATGTCTCGGTGGGACCTCCAAAATGTTTGAGCTCGGTCCTTGCGACTACCCGTCCCAAGCGTAACTCTGATTGAGAACCGTAGAGCTTAAGTGTCTGGTCTTAAAAACAAGACCCGTTGGTCAAAAAACTATGCTTGAATGCAAAATAAACTGAGAAAGAGATACTCTTTGGCTTTACTCTTCTTTACACACCAATTTATTTACACAAAAGCAATTAATTAGAGAATAATTTCAAACTAAATATATTAATTCTCTCTAAACTGTGAATGACACGACCAGTTCTTTGTCCTTCGTCAACTCAACTGCGCATTCACACAAAAAACGCTCCTTTTTTACCAATTTGAGACGCCCGCTCGGAGTCTCACTTTTTCCATGTAAAATTACTCATTTTCCAAAATACATACATGAAACTAAATATCATATTAAATATGGAGATTTATGGCTAAATCCAACAATTACACCTCCTCTGGAATTAACCAACTTATTTGCTCAAGGTTTCTCAAGTTTCTCACTTAATAAAGTATGAAAAAGTTGGAAAAAGAACATTGTCATTCGGGGGGATTCATTCTGTGAAAATATTTTTTTGTCGATAAGTGTTAATTACCAAAGAAGGGTTGATCATGCTATTATTTACCCACCCACACCTGTGTTTCTTGAGCAATGAGTTATCCCTACATACAAGACTGACTTATGATCACGGAATAAACTAGCAGTAGCCGGAATAAGTATGGCAAAATGGAACACGCAATTACGAACTGCTGATCTGATCATCCAGGCAAAAGATGATTTGGCTTGGTAGACGGTATAATTACCAACTTTAGAGTACACCGAGATGATTTTGCAGGTGTAGGTATTTAGCTATGCAATCAATTTTATCCGTAGGTAATCCACACGCAACTTTTACTTTGTTGCTTAGCTTGGCTAATAAAATGCTTGCAAGTTGAAGTTATCAAAGATATTACACACAATTTTGCGCTATACAATTTATAGCAACAAGTTTTCTACCTCGGCGAGACTTGGAAATAATATTATGTAAGAAATCCAACAATGAACTTGTATCAATGATCAAATGTACACCTGAACATATGTAGTTTAAGTAAGACTTAGGAGGGGAGGTTGTGTACTATCAACTCCCGGATCTCGATGCCCTTTGGATATGTTGTAGTGTCTCATGAATGTACAAGAACCCTGAAGTGGTTTGATGCCATGGCCACATTTGCGCCTGCCACACCCACTCAAAGGTGCCCAAAAACCGCTTTCACTCCAGCTTTCACTCACTTAAATTTACCCCAAAAATCCAATTTTACTCGGATTTTCAAATTTCTTTCACCATTATGCTCCCAGATAGTTGCTTTCTTATTTCCAACATCAAACTCGACTTTTCAAATTTTTTAGTATTTTTAAAATTTAAAATTCTGAATGAGCATTGTTGTAGCAATCAACAAAGCTAATTATGCCCGCGAAATAAACATCAAACAAGTTGAGTTTGGTGTTGGAAATAAGAAAGCAACTGTCTGGGAGCATAATGGTGAAAGAAATTTGAAAATCCGAGTAAAATTGGATTTTTGGGGTAAATTTAAGTGAGTGAAAGCTGGAGTGAAAGCGGTTTTTGGGCACCTTTGAGTGGGTGTGGCAGGCGCAAATGTGGCCATGGCATCAAACCGCTTCAGGGTTCTTGTACATTCATGGGACACTACAACATATCCAAAGGGCATCGAGATCCGGGAGTTGATAGTACACAACCTCCCCTCCTTAGCAAATCCAAGTTTGCATGCATGGGAATGCGCCTGAAGTTTCTGCAATTCTTTGTGCATGAGAATTATCATAGAAATGGAAAACCACAGATTGTAAAAACAATAGCAAATGTTTATCATATTTTCTTGAACTTCAATGTTTTTAAAGTTTCGCGAAGTAAACATGACGTAAACATGCTGTAAAAGCATGCACATATGACACAGGACCAATTATTATTTGTGGCTACTTTAATGTGAACATCATCAACCATGATGGTGCAATTACTTATTATTATTATTGTTTTGCATAATAAGAACAAATAAAATGATAATGACGCTCACTTTTGTAAACCTCTTAAAGCCAGACATGACTCATTCGCTCATTTCATGGAAGTGTAAATTGTTTTTTCTCGCGTAATTGCAAAGAATAAAATCAGATCAAGAAATCTCCAACAACAGCATCATCAGGTGATGGTTGTGGTCATGGTTGAAGAAATATTTTCTGCATGGACTAAAGTCCATGCTTCTTGCAAGCAATAAAGTTAGGAATCTTGGTAGGTATGCATTTATTCTTATCTTTGTACCAGAAGTGGAAAATCCCTCGGGTTGTTCATTCCAGGAAATTACCACATATTTTTGTGACCGCCCAAGGTGACTTTCAAATAAGATCAGGCTGTTAATTTAAATATTTCTTTAATGTTGGTAATCATTTAATGCGGATTTTGAAAAACTTCTGCGAAAGTAGAACGTCGCCAACCACGAAATAATTAACCCTAATATGTTCTGGACCATTTGTCATTAACCAAGTTTTCTTTATATGTTTAACATACATACATACATACATACCATAAAAATAGATTTCTGAATAAAAGCTCATTAGTCTTTTAGGCAGCATATATATTTAGATAAGGGAGGAAGTGACGACATAAAACACGATGATATACTTAAAAAGTATGCATATAGTATGTGGATTGGATGATTATAGGGCGATACAATGCACGTGAGAAAGAGCATTGACTGAAAATGACCATACATAAAGTGAACCAGTCTGAAATAATTGTAGACTTTAGACTTTCGACAGTTCCATTGATTACAGATATTTTTAAGACCACAATGAACGCACTTTTTTAAATTCGGTGTAATTATCGATGTTTTTTGCCCGAAGGTCATAATTACTTTGAAACCAATGATTACGTTTTTGTTATTTTTCGCTAGTTAACAAAACACCAATTTCAATTGTGGTTTCGTTTGTTCTGGAAAGCGTAACTTTAATTTTCATCTAAATAGAAAATGTTTGCTTACCGTTTGCACTAGCACCAACATGGAGTAAAGAATTGATACTTTCGACAAGCGTTTTATGATGGTGGTCCGAATTTAGGTGGACTAAATGATGCTGAATTTCTAATACTTCGTCATATCCGGCACTATTTGAGCTCAGGGGAGCCATTTGAGGATGAGATGCTGAATTTCCGATAATCCGTTGATCAATAAATCTTGCGTTAGGGAATCTATAAATTAGAGATAAACAGATTATCAAGCTATGTTAATTTTGTTTATGATGCTTTACAAAGATCGGAATCAATCAGCCCTCACAAAAGAAATTATTAGCATCGGAAATCACATAAAGGATAAATACATAAATATGGAAATAATTGACGTTCGATATGGCACGCTGATGCATCAGCGTGCCATCATGATGGCACGCTTGGATTTCCCATGTTGCTTTCTTATTTAAATTTGTTCACATAATGCACAAAAATGAATTTATTATGCTCAAATTCAATTATGAACAGGATATGTTTCCTTTGAATGGAAGAGATCCAGGTGTGAGAATCATATCAAAAGAATTAAATCAAGATATTACCAGGTTTTATCATAGAAAATACCTGATTTGATTTGGTTGTTAGCTCATTTCCATTTCAGATTTTACTCCAAATCACAAAATACGAGATCGATGTCATCAGAATGCAAAGGATATGCAGCAGCAGCAGCACTTAATCCAGACGAATGTAAGGAGTTAAACCTCATTCATTACCGGCATACATACAAAGTTCGATTAATCACGTATTGAGATTCAATGAGCACCAGAGTTAACAATTTTTACGTTTACATAATATTCGCCTTCTGCTTTGCGTGCCTCTTCCGTTATCTTCTCACAAAGTTAAACCGACTTTAACCAATGGAAAATATACTGTTCGGCATCAAACCATTTCATGAATATCGTTTCATGACTAATTAAGAAAAATGGTTGAGATTGAGGCGTTGGGAGTCCCGGTGATTAAGTATTTAGATGTACAGTTTAACAGTCTGGGTGTTGTTATCTATGTATATCCGTATACACACACACGAGGCATGAGTCACTTTGCTAATAAATACATACATACATGTATCTCACTAACTGATGTTCAAACTTTTGTATGTATGATAATGATGATACAGCTAATTTCTAAGACTGTTTTCGTCACAATAGTTAAATTTTCCTACCGATTTATGACTTATATCCGGTCCAAATATTCAACAATCACTGGTTTTAATTACAACTCTCACCAAGAAGTACGTATTTTCTCCTGGCTTCATGAAATCGAAGAAGAATGAGGCGATAGAAATGCACTGCACTGCACTACAATCACTCCACTCTTGCACTATTTACTGGATGCAGGACAATTGAACTTTAAATGAAATGAGACACCCAAATTGTTGGTAAATACTGCAGCTTTATTATCCATTCAGTCCACGATCGACTCCTCGTCTCATTTCAAGTTCCAAGTACAAAGTGCCGAATCTGAGTTGAAAAAATTGTTAATGAGCTGGGAATTACTAAAGTTTGAACTAATTGTTTTCATATCGCATTGACAAGATGTCGATAAGCGGCGAAAAGAGAAGCCATTTAGAATTTTATGCCTACTATTAATAATATAATGTGTATGGTATTGTTGTCTGTGTAAGTAAGTCTACTGTTACTAAAACGGTGTGCATGGATAGAACCTGCTAAACTCTAAATGAACGGAGATTGAGGTTCTCGTGAGATTTTAGTCTGAAAATTTACAAGTTCTTGGCCTTTTCGATGATAAATAACAATGCTTACAATGTTAATGGCATCCTGCAGTTTGAGAGGGCAGTTTTGGATAGACAGACAGACCAGCGTTTAAGGTGGATGGACATATGTATATTAAGCAAGGTAAGTTTTATATATGCATCACGAAAATGAATATGGATTTGGGTAGTGTTGGGTTAAGCTGCATTGACGAAAGTTGAACTTTAAAGCATGACAGACACAGAACGGATCAATTTTAGTCTGCAATTCTATCTTGGTAAGAACTCATTGTAGTCAGTTCATCAATCATGGTCATAAATATTTTGAATTTTGATCCCTTAACCCGAATTAAATTCTCCAAATAAAAGAAAGTCGCCGAAATCATGCCGTCATTTATGAATGAATGTTGAAATTGAGAATCTATAAATGAATCATTGTTTATGTAATGGGAAACTGGAAACACTTTAACAATAATAATTCAATACTGGTTTTAATTCACTAAAATTTAATCAGGAAATGTGAAAACTGCCGACGTGCAGGTTCATAATGACGTTTTACGACCAAAGTTCTCTAAACATATCGATCGCTAATTCTTCATTACCTATTGTTTAATGATCAAATATATTGTTTATGTTATACACAAGGAGCCGAACCTATCGTATTAATTAACCATAAGTCACTTCATGAATACAATGACCGGATTTTTGCTTCTGTCTTTGTTCCTCTATTAACATTTTAAGCATATAGCGAAGCATCCAAAAATTAAACTTTCACAGTTACATACGTCCTTAAATGTATATATATATGTACAAATATGCATTAGATTGGGCTATTCTCGGTTGCGGTCACGTATCGCAAGATTTATATATACACGAGTCGCAATAAGTTCAGAAAGAAAAGAATAGCTTACCGGCTATTTTAATGAAAAATACGTGCACACGAATGATATTATATGTTGCATTGTTATTTTTGGTGTTTGATTATTCATTAATGTGCATAAACTAAATTAATTTTACAGAGTTATGCGAGTTGACAAATCTTGACTTTACTGTGTGATATAAGACAATCAAAAGGAAATGACTCCATTATGAAAGATTTCCAGTTCGAATCAGTTTATTCCAAATTTTATGCCTACGTGCATTTTATTTGTGTGTACTATCCACGGATAAAAATGTTGCATATTATTAAGTTAAATATGTAACAAAGTGAAAAACCTTTGAATTGATGAACAGGAATCAGAAATAAGTTTTCATGGACATACAAAAGTTGCGATGCATATGATATGCAGTACATTTGATTTGCATAGACGACAAAATAAATAGGAACAAATGGAAACTTACCACAATTATTTCGATGTTGCAACACATTTAATATGCAGTTTAACAATGAATAGTAAAATTACAATTTTCACAATAATGCACTATTAACTATGTATATAAACTTGAAGTGATCCACAGGTCCACGTAAAATGCAGTCATTATTATTATTAAAAATTAAATCACATTCATTTTCTCTACACAGACTTCACTAAATTATTGTACCTATTAACCTGATGATATTAGATGAAGTTGAAAACTGAAATTTCATCTAAATTACGACGCAATAATTCCTCGAGTAAAAAAAATATGTAAAGAATTTCATTCAATTGGTAATTTACTTTTGTACTCAATCAACAACAATGCACTCGTCTTTTACTCGTGTCTGGTTTTCCAGCCGCAGCCGCAACTTCGCGTCCTCTTGTAATTCATGAGTTATGTTGTTGATATTTCAATTGTTATATTCAATTCATATACGTAATGGAAATTACTCCTGTAATGTACTTAATTTTCGTTTCTAAAACATTCAGGAAAATCTCACACTACAGTCCGCAGGCAATATGCGACATATTATTTATGAGATTTGGGATGAAAGTGAGGCTATTTGGCCATTTGTAAATTCAATGTTAACTTATTATTTGAATAAGCAATTGTGTGATCTGCAAGTCATATCCATCTCTCGGATACATAATGTAGTATAGGCTCTATCAGCAGTCATATAATTGTTCACGCCGGTATGACAATAATGGGACAAGGTCGTGACCCTGCTTGATTATGATAATTCTGCAAGTACATACACTTTTCGCTATCGTATTTCGATACAGTAATAATAAAACAAAATATGTATAGGAGTGAAATGAAAATAAGCCAGTCAGGAAGTGAAATTTAATGGCAAAACGATTGTTATGCAAGAACAATTATGAAGTAGGGTTATTTCTTGCGTCATAGCTTATCTCTACCTAAATAATAACCCATACTTTCCAAACGTAAAACAAATGCACATTTTTAATAATAACTGTAAAATCTGATTTCGTTTTACGTCATAATGTCATATTAATCAATTGCAAATTCGAAAATATGTAACGGAAATGAATTAAAAGTCACCTAGTCATTATTTTCCTGGAGAAAGTAAAGAGAAAGTTTGGAGAAAGTCGATACAATTCTCGATGCCCCAACAGAATTCCATTGCAGCAACTAAATTCAACCTTCATATTTACTTCGCACTTCACAATATTTCATAACACCGTCTGTTCAACTAGAAGATTTCTAATTTGTGAAATATCATCTAAAAGTTATTAATTAACTTACAATTTAGTCAAATTAATACTTGGTCTGATTGGCCTCCCTTAAAACGGCTCGTCAAATAAATTATGGTAAAATTTAAATTTCTGACTGGCATAATGAATTTCATAATTTTAGTTAAATCAAGTGACATGTTTGCTGACGGAAAATTATTTTCCTAATTTCCAGGAAGATCACTCTTCGCCCACTTCATCTGGGATGCAGGTCCAACCAGCTCCTGCGGTCAAAAGTCAACGACGCGGTCGTCGTCGTGGATCCACCACGGAAGGAGCAGAAGGTGAAGAGGATGCTGATGAGGACTCGTCGTCGTCGTCGGATACTGATACTGAAAAATCGCAAGCACAATTGGCCAGTTTTCGGGCGCAGTGGGAAGAAGAGTTAAAGAAGCTTCCGGCTGGGAGTGGGGTCAACTCGAATGTAAATAGTGCACTCAATCTGGTCACATCGACAGCAGCCTCTCTCGCTAACCCCTATCCGAATCCGACGTCCATGGCTGATGCAGTTTCAAGAAGGACAACCAAAGAAAAGATAAAGAAAGATCAGACCCATCATCCATTTGCAAGTGGTGCAGTATCCGGTCAGAGACAGATTGTTCCAGAAAGTCCGGACGATCAACAACAACCGTTTTCAGTAGAAGTTCCTACTTCCGGAACTGTTGAGGAACAAGCGAGACGATGGTTTCTTCAGGGGGTCGGATTTGAAAGGCACGGGGACTTATATGATGCCGTACGATGCTATAGGAAAGCAGTTCAACTTGTTCCCGATATCGAATATAGAATCAGCCAAGGATTAATGGAAGAGAGTGGGCGAAGCTCGAACAATGAATCCGATGATGAGGATGATGATGATGAAAGCTCTTCAGCGAGCGATCTTGCAGATTATGACAGGGAAAATGATGACAAGAATGAAAATGTGGTGCTATTGAAGCTCTTCTTAAAACAGATTGAGCAAAGGGAGTGGGCCTTCTTTCAAAAGGTTATGGAAAATGAAAAAGCCCACATTGGAGACCTACCCGTAGAAGTTATTTCGTATATTTTGAGGTACGGGTAGAGAAACATTACGATAAGTTTATGTATTTATTTGATACTTCTTGTTCTTTTTACATAGATGGGTCGTTTCCAGCGACTTGGATGTTCGAAGTTTGGATATTTTATCATCAGTTTGTAAAGGATTCTATTGCATTGCTCGAGATGAGAAATTATGGCAAATGGCATGTGAAAGGTAATCAAAATAGTCGTATTCGGATGTTGAGTACCATATTCATATTCACTTTTAGGGTCTGGTCTTCATGCGTGCTTGATTCCAACTATTCCTGCTATCGAGACATGTTTCTAACAAGACCTCGAGCACGAATTGACGGGTGCTACATCTCAAAAATTACTTACATTCGTCCTGGCGAACATTCCTTCCAGGATCAGTCTTACAGGTTGGAAATCATAAAACAATTCTGCACTATTCAGAATGGATATTACTTAAAATATTTGATTTATTTTGTAGACCTTGGCATTTTGTGGAATATTTTCGGTACATACGCTTCTTTCCAGATGGGACAGTTCACTTCTTAACTTCCTCGGATGAACCTACCATGGCTATTCCTGGCTTACGTGAGAACATCGCTCGAAATCAAAATACTTTGACAGGGACTTATGAAATGTACGGCTCAAACATCATCTCAGCCGTTGTTACCAGTCAGTCCCAACCAAAAATCGGATTCAACAACAATAAAATGAAACGAAACGAGACCCAAACTCAACAGAGTACCAGCTTTCATATTGAATTACAAGTTTGTTCCGTTAAAGGTCGTCACAATTGGATGCTGAAGTGGGTTCATCATGCCGTTTTCATCAAGAAGACTACCATCACAAATGGAAAAAACGCTCGCCAACAAAATGCACCAACTGCTACCATCACATCCACTTCGCTGGAACTGTCCCCAACAAAGTACCCACCACTCTTGTTTTCGCGAGTCAAGTCATTCACACCAAAGTCTGAGTGTATCTTGGAGTGATTCTTCTATTCTTCAATATTATCTGTATTACTAAATTTAATAATAATAGATACAAAACCAAAGAATTCACTATTTTAGTCCGATTAACTCGTGATATCTATTAGCGTTTGACATCCAGCCAGTTATATTACTAGACAAGACAGATTACATAAATTGTTGTTTGTGACGTGCATTCACATTTAAATCAAATTCCATGCATATATGACCTGAATGAAATACAATGTTAAAATTCAATTAATTAATAAATATCTACTCACTACATTGAAATATGTGTCAACAAAGTACTTACTTAATTCTGATTTTCTGATAATATATATAATTAAATTCATCCCATTAAGTTAAGGCTGGCATATTTAAGTACGAAATTGGCAATGCAAAATTGGCACCATAAGTCTGAGAGGCGAAGCACTGCCAAAATTCTTTGATTTGTTCAAATGTTTCATTTACAAGTGCTTTCTTCCAGGGATGGGCAATCCCAACACTTACGATGGATTACGGATTACAAATTTATTAATTTAAAAGTTATCGTGGGATTACTGGATTGGGATTACTTCACTCTTGAAATAATGTGGATTACTTGTTGGATTACTTGGAATAATTAATGGCGTGGATTACGGATTACGGATTACAGTAATCTGATTACGGATTATTATCTGGATTACAAAAATCTATATTTATTCTGAATAACGTCAAATTTTCATTTCATGATGACGATTAGTTTTCAAAAAACAAGAGCTCTAAATGATTCATCCGACAGTTGGTTTGTTAGGACGGATAAATTATTCTGCCGGAACTAAACACACGTTCTGAAGGTGCAGATGATCGTAGAGAAGTGTTGCAGAACATAAGTTAAAATCCTTTTAATCATTAAAAAATTCTTTTGACTTTGCACCTTTGCGCTGAGGCGCAAAATTTAGAGAATTTTGGATTTGAAAGTACCTATTGGATGTTTCAGCAGTGTTCTGCTGAAAAATCCAAAAGGATCTCAAGTTCAGTAAGTAACTCAGACTCTGGAGATATTTGCGAGATGGAGCTGTCATGCTGTTCACATGAGCAAAGTAATCCAACCAAGTAATCCGTAATCTGATTACATTATCCAATCCCGTAAATTGAGGATTACGGATTACATGTCATTTCCAGAGCTAGTTAGGATTACGGACTACGGATTACTTTAAAGTGTAAATTTTTTGTGGATTACTGGATTACGGATTACATTCAAAGTAATCTGATTACTTAATCTGATTAAAGTAATTCTGGGATTGCCCATCCCTGTTTCTTCCCATGAGAATTGTTATTTCCTCAAGATAATAAGACTGTTATGCTTGGTGATGTTTGGGAATTGCAATTTGAACACAATCCCTTCATTAACTTAAAATTTGAGTGCGTTCTCAGGGAATTTTGAGGTTCCAACATCTGCCGAATGCTGACTAACTAATGTCTTTGGCTGGTTGTTGGAATGCCACAAATGATGATTACGCCTTGATTCAAGTCACTGTCAAGAAATAAGTATGCAAATATCTGTATTTATGCATGACGAACTTTGATGATGTTTTTGTTTCATTTATGAAATCGTTGTAAAATAAATATCGTGTGATGCTAGGCTAGTTTATACATGCAACTTCGATAAATTCCGTCGTTTGGTAATAAGGTGCATTCGACCGGTGAGAAACGCACGCTGAGAAAAGGTCGCATACAGGTTAAGATCTGGAACCACTCAACTTTTCGTGAGACAGACAACTTTTAAATGCAAGGAGCCACATAACCGCCTCATAGCCGTATATGAGCAGTATGTGTAGAAATGTGAAGTCGGAATGTGTAAGAGAGGACTACATACACCTATTTTTAGCAGAACAATTCCATCTAATTTCGCAATCTTGACTAGTAAATGTCTTGTCTATGTCGTGTCGCTCTTCCTTTTCATGATAATCAATGACGACACTTAACCGTGCTCAAGAGCTCGACACCGAAACTTTGAAATCAGTCTCGTTCATGTCTGCCTGTTGTTATTCAGCGTTTCTTTTCAAAAGGAAAACTCATCTCTCGCACAATTTTTTGCAACTCTGTCTCTTTCCGAGTCGGCTCAAACCACAAATCTTATGTATTTTGGGTTAAGTCAGCATCATTATTTGCAACGACATTTCGAATTACTAAGCGTTTTCTGGTGTTACGTGTCACACGTTCTGAGATTTTCGCTTTCCGGTTTTAATATGATGTAATCATCCATTGCTGTACTTTTGGAGGAATGGGACGAATTCGGATTGTGTCAAATCATTCTTAAAGTGGTCTTGCGTGTGACAACACATTTACATAGAAAAGTGCAAAATTTTGGAAAAATTGTGCAAAAATATTTCGTAGTTAAAATTGTTGGAGACGAAAGTGCATAATCATGAATCCTGACCTAAACAAATCATCCCTACCAGTTTTGCTACTCCTCGTGTCCTTCGTCCTAATTTCAGAAGCTACAATTCCACCAACGGAACCTTTTGAAGTACGGCTGTATAACAAACTTCATTTTGAAGGTATGTACATACGAATTTATTAGTAAAATTTAAATCCTATGCAATATTTAATACCTACAAATTCATATACGACTTGTATCTTTTAGGGCGATACATCAAATTAAAGATAGGGCTGGAACAAGAGCTTTGCATAAATCTTCCACCCGTTTGGGAAAAGAAAATTTCTTCCGTGGATCCCTTAGGATGTGTCATTCTGTACGCAGAGTCGGACTGTAAGGGCCTTCGCAGACGCTTGGAGAGGTGGTCATGGGGGTCATCTAGTTTGAAAGACATCTCCTTTGAAAACATGATCGTGAGCGTAGGACCGTGTCCCCTCGTGAAAAAATTGCTAATGGAAGAGTTATGAAGAGTTATTACGTCATAGACTTTTTCGAAAGTTCAAGTTTTGTATAATATTCCCACAGAGTTGTACATATTCCTCTCTCGTGGAATTTCTCGCCCACCATTGCCAAACACATTGTGATTTTGTTATACCTTATCTATCATTGATTAATGCGCACACTTTCTTGTTGAACCTGTACATATGCTTAAGTGTACATACATACATATATCGAATTATTGCATGTTAGTCGTAAAAATGTGTACCTATCACGATCCAAGTGGTACGAATTTTTAGATCGTAGCAAGAATTTTACTCCACGTTTGAAATTCCAAGCAATCACATTGATTCAGATGTTTGCATTTCGTTGAACGAACACGAACATGTTTTTTTAAACATTTAATAAATCAATCGGAAGAAATATTTTGAGCAATAAAAATGTGATGTCTTGAATGGCACAAAGAGTATAAATGTACTTACGTACTACATAGTAGACGACTTCTTTATTACAATTTTCATACCATACAACTGTTCCAATCTGAAAACACTCGTAAATAGGTGCAGGATCATGACAAATTATGGGAGGAAGGTGGGCGAATGAGAAATTGGGATTGTCTACTTATTGTCTTTTTAACTGACAAATTTTTAGGGTGGGTACCGGTTTCAGGTTCTTTTGGCGTGTGTCATCCTTGAGCCCGTGAAGAAAAATATTTGGAGACAAACAAAAATGCAGTCACAAATCACAGAAGCAAAAAACCTTTCTCATTATCTGCATGCAGTTTGCAATCCAATGGCATTTCAAGTTTTTGGATTCAATTTCATTTCGCTGATCAGTCTTTGTTCAGAGTGTCGATTGCGGATCTGGAGACATTTGCGACAATAGTGATTTTGGAAGAGGGCCAAATTAAGCATATGCACAAAATTATTCGTAATCTGTTTTGAGTGCTTCGTCAAAGAAATTGTATACATGCATTAATTAAAAGTATTTAAATGTTTTATAGAAATAGGAAAATCCCATAAAGATTTGCAATTTTCGTAAATCATGCAAACTGGTGTCACATGCTTAATACCGAAAGGAAAGAAATACGTAAAGGAAGAAAAGAATGAAGAGTATTCTTTACAAAGAACATAAATCTTAGAATGACTGACTTGCTTCTATTCGCAGCTGCCAAAATCTTGGAGAGTTTTAAATTGAAATGCCTACTAACCCTGGTCGTCGTGGTATTGAAGTCAAGTTTATAGGGTTTACTTTTCTGCTACGCTTTATATACGTAAGATTGAAACAATTCACTGTTAAGAGCGTCTTGTGACTTTGAAAATACGTAGTCTTATTCATTCATATAGGAACAATAATGATTCTGAGAAGTATAACTGTTCTTTTTTGCATAACAGAAATGTGCTGGCAGATCAGTTATAGAAGAGTTTGATGTGGAAAAGTAAAATCTCGTCCAGAAAATACAATAGGATAGAGCATTGGCATTTTTTCATGGAATTTGGTCATTCGGGTTGAGCATGCTTTGTAATATGTCCCGCACTGATTGAACTGATCTGAACCGAAACGGGTTTTGTAACTATATAATCCCAGCAACGACAAGGTTTGAAGTTTAAGGTCAAAGTTGTTCTTTGAAAGAACACGTTCGACCATGCATGCAAAAAAAGTGTACGAGAACCTATTGCAAAATGAGAGGATGGATTGATGTCGCCTCGTTTTTGTACAGTCAAGTGTTGTTCAGGCCATGCGCTAATCCTAAATCTTATCACATCCTTGAGTTTAAACGAGCATAAAGAGAATGCTTAATTCCAGTAGCTTTATCAGAGTATCAAGTTGATGGAGTGAGCCAAAGATTGGTGTTATGCGAATAAATAGAGATCATGTTATTCTAGCCAAAAAGTGTATCAACCAACAAATCCAGTGATACATTTTACTTATGTATGTTACACACGTCCTTCCACCGTTTTACTACATTTTCTTCTAGATTTTTTATAACAGAGACTAAAATACAAACAGGATACGGATGAGAAGAATTCCCAATCTTTTATTAGCAATTTTATCTCGAAAGGTTGAGATGTAAGACAACGGGTAACACTGTATTATTCAGTTGTTGAAGCATCTAGAATTTTCATTAGCTGGTTCACAACTACGAGATTTTATCTTTACCCGCGACATATTTAATTACCAATTACTAAAAAAAAGTCTAAAAATGTGGGGATTTAAATCATTCTGGGTTTTTGTCACTGTTTTAGTTGTGGCCTCGAACGCATTCAATGTGGAACTTTATGAGGAGAAGCATTTTAAAGGTACTTTATAAGTAAGCTTGAATATAAATAATCGCCATTTATTAACATTAAATTGGAACCAGGTCGACATACCACGCTTGATGTGAAGGGTTGTACGGACGTACCTTCAATGTTTGACGACATTATTTCTTCAGTTGATCCATCGCAGTGTGTTATCATTTTTAAGCACCCGAATTGTCAAGGTCCTCGAGTGAGGTTGGAACCCTCCGGATTTGGAACTGCATATCTGAAGGAAATCAATTTTGAAGATAAACTGACTTCCATTGCGCCGTGTAGCTTTTCCAAGAATGATGCCAAACGGCGAGATGAGCACTAAAATTGTGTCGAAATCAGATATGCGTACTGGACCCTGATAAGAACTCATTTAAACAAATATTTAATCAAATATTCAAATGTCATGAACTTCCTGTTTTTTTTGTTATCACTGGTCACATTGTCCGTTCTAGTCAAATAATGTCTCATGCGTAATAAAGACACGATTCATATTTGATTAGTGCTCATGCGTATGCTCTTGTCCTGTGTGAAGTGTGGATTAAATGTGAGTTCTACAATATTGTTTCCTATTGTTTTAATTTGAAATTGTTTTAAACTGATAATGTCAATTCATGAATTTTTAACAAAAATAAAGATGAAAGCCACATTATGGTTGATACATGCGTACTTTTATTGCATAATAATGCGTAACAATATATGAGTAATGCTAAATAAATTGCAACTCCACAATGTGCGTATGTTAGCAAAATTGCGACGACCATGCCCTTCCTTCAAGGTTTATCCCTGAATTCATCATATTGCATACATATCCTTATAACTTAAAACTTGACCATTAAGCCAGAGTCCAGTGGAATAATTTAGATTAAAATAAATCAATTAGTACATGAGCAAGTACTCAAATTTATTTTTACTCGCCTCGCCTGTATTTGTCGAGATAAATATGTTTATCACAAAATCAGAAGCTATGAATAAACACAGATCAACTAAACATTATTTACTTTCACTTTACAAACAACAAAATAAAAATGTTGTTGCCTCAGATCAGAAGAAGCAATTAGAGCAAGCAAATGAATGAGATTTGTGTATTTGCTTCCACGAATAAAGAGATCAGAACAACAGTGAAAACCATCTGTCATTTGATTTCTGAAGGAAACTTGTGACGTCTTTGTGCTTGATAACGCACTCGTTTTTAATCGAAAACATATGCATGAGGCCCAAAGTTACGTAAGAACTGCTCCAGTTTTAGCTTGAGACTATTTTAATTGAGGCAAGCAGAATGGAAATTGAATAATAATAATAAGCTGATTGATTCTACCAAGAATTACGATACTTAATTAACATAATTATAGTAATTAAGATATTTTCTGATAAGCTACTGTCGCCAATTTTTCGTAAAAATTCTAAACCGCAAAATATCGGTAACCAAATTGATATCGCATTCTATCGTCAACACTGCGTAATAATTGTTGATGGTCATTTTTCCATGCCGTATTATGTGCGACAAAGTGTCGCCAGACCAGAATCGCGTAGCCATAAATGAATCGATACATACATAAAGACTTGTATCACACGACCCTCAAATTTGTGAGGATTTATTGGGTCAATTTAACCATTTGCCTGACTAAACGTTGGGTTGATTTTGTGAGGCTTATCTCACAAAATCAGTTTCAATAAGTCTCAGCGCACCCAAAGTTCAACAGACAGAGCAGTTAAGTTAATATGCTGGCTGCCTCTAATGATTCCAGAAAATGATGGAATGACTCTCTCAGAAAATGATTAAAAGAAAGGCCATCATCACGGTCTGGCTTCATTCGTCGCATCGCTTCTGACCAAGACAGTCATCACCACCGTCTCATTCATTCTTAGGCTTTTCTCATTCTGCAAATTGCCATGACCAATTAATTGAAACTGCATTTCGATAAAGTAAGAAGTAGCGTAATCCCCGAAACAGATGCGCATTTCGTCATTTACATTTTGACACTCATTTTATAGCACAGTTCACATACTTACACAGGATAATTATACTTTAATCCCTTACATCCACCAAAAATAGTTGTGCCGTATCAAAAGTATGAATCAGAGATAACTCCTCATATGACAATACCTTAACCAAAGACATGACAAAGCGTTCTTTAAATAGATAGAAACCCATGCGAGATACGAGACACGGCTCCCTACGTGTAGATAAAATTGTCCGAATGAAAATTTGCATAAATATATTTTCGATCACACAAGCTACCTTTTAATCCCTGTTTAAAGACGTCTGTCTGATTTGAATTTTGTTGACTTAACATATAACATAACCTACCTATGTATTTATAATATCTCGTCCTGAGAATACTTACCTGGTATTGTGCACGACCTCCATTGCTTGAGATTGGTAAAAGGAAAGGAATCTGCGGATGGTTGGATTATTCGCAAACTAATTTGCATTCGAGTAAGTATCCGAGAATTTGTGTCTTTTCTTTCGTGTCCTGTCTCAATTTGTGCAATTACTTATAAGATCTTCTGCTAAATATTTCAGCTTTTAACTTTGTCACGAGTAGAGAATCGTGTGTCAACAACTTGCGGAAGAGATTGCTCGAAATTTTTCCGTGTTTCAGTACCGATCGATAAGTTTTGGTATAAATCTGGGAGCGAGTATCTGAAACATTGTCCTTTTCGCGTGTCCTGTCCTGGCTGATAGATAACGTTCTGTTCAATTCAGTTCAAAAAACTTTTTCAAAAGGTAAGGGAACTAACTTGACCTAATCCCCCCCCCCCTCCAAAAAAATAACTTCAAAATTTCATACAATTTTCCCCTCCAAATTTCTCTAGAAAACCACAATGACCGTGTCAGGAACCAAGTCACGAGGCCTCATCAGAGAACTATTTAGCAGAAAGAAGTCCACTTACGGACTAATTCTCCCAGAAGAGCTCGAAGCTCGAGCCCAAGCCCAAATCATGTCGCGACGTCGACGCAAGCGGGTTAAGGACTGCTTCGTCCCGTCCGACCTCGACAGATGGGAATTGCCCCAATACGAATCACTCTTTAACCACCTTATCACACAGGATGGGTCATTTCGAAGGCGACTTTCCTCCACTGCATCAAATCTGTCGTACAACAAAAATTGCAATAATAATAGAGACCAAGACGAATCTATTGAGGAGGGAGCCGGCCCCTTAAAAGCGGTCCAAAAATGGTTCCGAGAAATCGTCAAGTCTCTCACGCATCAGTCAGGAGATTACGATTTGGGTGGCGATGTCGCCGTGGAAGGGATTCCGGTCGATATGTGCGAAAAATTGAGATATGTCCACATCTACTATTGAGTCATTAATTTAGTTATTTTTTATACTTTAAGCTAAAAATATCTCAAAACATAATTCCAAAAATTCTTTTTTATACCTACGAATGAGCTAGTCAAATAATGTTATGTTGCATGTAAATAGGTATTGTTTTGCTGAGTGGTAAACTCTGGTGAGTGGTAAAAACTGTATTCCTATGAGACTGTTATTTAACCAATTCATTCTAATTTAAACTAGAAGATATTAAGGATAATTATATCTTATACAATTATTATGGTGCTGATATATAACGATAAATTGTGACGCATTATCTCTATTTTTTGCAAAGATTATAAGAATACGTATGCTTTACTAATTATGCACCGTGTTGGTGTTATGGTGTAAGAAGGTCTCAATTTTGCAGCTTAAACATACCTAGTTATACTTAATTACATATTTAAAATGCCACTTTAATTGTGTTGTATTGTACATACATGTATATATATATTATATCAAACAAGTCATCAAATCCTGGTTAAATAATTATTAATCTCTCATGTTTTACAGTCTTAACATAAATTAAAACTTATATTCTTGTGTAATTACAATAAAATATTTTAAATATTATGTATGCATCTTCACACGAATAAAAATTAATTTCGACCATGTAAGACAATAAAGAAGTCATTACTTTTTGAAACTTGAACTCAACTGGTCTTTTGATTAAATTAATTGCCAAACATGTGTGGCTAGTGTCTATGATCCGATTTTCGGTCGCATTACTGAATTTCGAGACAACTTGTAATTTTCCACAATAGGTCAAATATCAGACAAGCCGGATAAGCTGGGCATCGGGTACACCTAACCTGACGATGGAAAATTAATGGTAGCAAATTAGTATGTCTCACCTTTTCCTCTTAAAATAAATCCATTATGTGGGGATCATAATCGTTATCCTGTATTTTGTCCACACACCTTGAACGTGTCAACCAACACGAAATTAGAACTAATTGAAGGAGTGTGTTGCGGCTTAAATATCGACGGCTGGGTAGGTGGAGCCGGATTAATTTTCATGCCTCACGTTCGCAATTTCCATAATAAATCAGGAGTTAACAAGTTACCAGAAGATGATTACTATCGTCGATATCATACATACTCAATATAAGGCTTTGACATCAGGAAAACTGTTCAGCACAACATTTATTTTTGAAGTTGCAAGCGAATAATAACCATCTCAATCAATTTTAGCTACAAAAATAACTTGAATCCTTAAACAAATCCTTAAAATAAATCGTTAAGTACACAATTTAACAGGTAATAAATAACTCTACCTAAATTATTTATCATAATCTTAGGCAACTAGATATGTTCATATATAAAAGGTAAAACTTTCTGCAGACAACATTAGCAAAAAAAATGGCACAACTACGACGAACTAGAAAAATTTCACTTCAAAACGACTACGCCTACTGCATTATTTCTCCCGTATCGCCAAGCGTTGTCCCAATTCAAGGGTCAAAGACTACTAACAGATATTCATCATTATCGAATGATCAACCACAAATTCGTACCGATTCATACCAAGATTCCCCCCTTCATCCTCATCACCTTTACAACAATGAAATTGAAGAAGCAGAGGAAGCATATTTAAGTCTGGAAACCAATACTGAAACTCGTGGATTTCGACGGTGGTCATTCTGCAATTTTCAAACGTCAGGGATTCCTGTGTCCCCAGCAGTCTCTGAAGCCACTGCGCTTGAATTTGGTGGCAACAATTATGACGGATATGGATTCAAACTCATGGGAGATGGAAATCTTAATAAAGGAAATCAACGATCGTCGGGTTCATTGAATTCGTCCTCCAGCTCGTCAACATCCCTCTCCATCATTTCCGGAATGATTTCCAATATTCCGGACAGAATACGAAAAATATCCTCTGGAAATAAGCTAGATGTTGTGTCTTTGCAGAGGGATGAAGATGCTCGAGATCAACTAAGAAAGTTGGTGGTTTATTGACAAACTAATTATTAGTTCGTTAAGTAATCGTAATTAATTTAGTATTAAAATCGCTATGTTGCACTGCATTGTATTGTTTTCGTCTTATGACGATTGAAGCAACAAGGCTATTGACAGAAATCTGCCAAGAGCTACGTTCTTGCAGTCAGTGAAGGAAAAAAACTGTCATTTTTCTCTTTCATATTTTCAAGTCATAAACTTAACTTCGACATTATTTGGTTATTGAGCTCATTTGAACCAGTGCCAAGATAAAATTCAAACTTTCACAGCCAAAAGCGCATCAAGTCATAAGTTTTTAGTGCATAGACTTTCGATTTAATCAGTAAAAGTGAGTGAGCACCTTTGAGAGAGCAAGTTTTCAAATCGATATTCATCTCATTGATTTTTATTGGTACGAATAAGTAGGTTTAGTTTGTCAGTCTGGTTCACTATAGTCCCTCAAGATATATTTGTAAGTGGTATGCAAATTGACCAATTCAAAGGTGGCAACAAGGTGATTTGCTGTGTGTGTGTAGCACTTGCTTAATTATGTATGTATGTGCATTGTAATTTGTTAAAGGAAACTCGAAATAGTCGAAGTTAAATTACGCCCTTATATATTGTGACAAGTTGTTCGTATGTTTTTTGTAGCTTGTCTGCCATTAAGTCTGCCATGATGTGTTTAAAAACTCTTAAATATATTATTTCTTTATTATGATTGCAATCTCTATTTCGCTTTCTTTTTCGTAAATGATCTGTTTAAGAACAATCGCTAAAGGTTATACTTCAGGTTGAAAAATAAATAAAATATCAGCCCTGTTAAAAAGTAAAACGGAATTTGTTCAAAATTTATTTCAAATTAGCAAGTTTCCGGCATTAACGACATTCTCAAATTGCAGTGTCAATTTTGGCATCATCGTCCTCATCATCATTGTATGATAATTTCCCGTCAGTGTCACCGAAGTCACAGAGAAAAATTCATTGTTAATTCGCATTCTTCTTGATTCCTAACAATGATAATATTTGGCTGCTTGCTTCAAGTATGAAACTGGTTTTACACTGTGAAGGTAACAATGAATTGCAAACAGCATTACTCGAACGAATGAATGTGGATATTCCACTAATTCCACTGTTGCTCTTACGCGTGTTGACATTGGCCCGTTATTTCAAACAAAATTGCATATTTACCATACCAAGCCTTCTCTGATGGACATCGTATCGTCGTGTCGTGGCTTCGTCGTAGTCGTCGTTGTCTAATGTAAATTGCAACGATGTATGTTTGTGTATTGTTATTAAGGGGAGATGAGTTGATGGGGGACAGGGTTAACCCAAAATAATTATTAAACCATTCAAATCAAAACCTATGTCTCAGCTTTCAATTTCTTCAGTCAAAGTCAAGGCTCGCACAATTTTGTGACCAAATTTTCACCTTGAATTCATATATACTAAATTTAGCTCATGTTATCTAAATTAAGTTAATTAATACTTTAAATTATTGGTTAAAAACAAGTTAAGAAAAATTAAAATGAGACGCTGCTCTCATTCATTGTTGGTGTGCACTACCGCTTTCTTTCTGTTATCGTTAGCAGTGGTGTACACAAATGGGAGTGTTTTTCGCCAAGAATCGGCAGAAGTTTCTGTCGATGAGATGAAATTTGTGCCGTTTGATTTCACCGAAGCGTTCAAAGGTTTTGCGTCCGATGTCGTGGCGAATGAAATATTTGTCGAGCACAGTAACACGTATGGAGCTTCGGCAGCGTATACTTTTGGACTGGGTCAGTTGTTAGCGGTCGTGAATGAACGGATGTTCAACGTACCGAATGATGGGATTGATGAAGCGTTGAGGACAGACTTTGGGTCCATTACGACAGCGTATAAAGATATGACGGAGAGCTTGATTGAGGTTGGTGGAGATTTAATTACTCTGCTTAATAACCTTAATGGAGATGAATTTGAAGTTAAAATTTTATTTTAGGATTCCAAAGTTTTTGCCACGAGCTCTATTTACACGTCGAATAGGACGCTGGAGTCGACGGATGGGATTAAGGCGTTGAACACCAATGTTTACTATCAAGGTATGACATCAAATTTATTTAATAAAGACAGAGTATGTATCAAATGACAGGAAGTATTACATTGAAAATGTAACTTATGAACGTCATTAACCAAGATTTTAGCCAACCGCATGTCGCCGTACCTTCAATCAATGCTCGAATTTCTATTCAAACTTTTGGCAAGATTTTTGATAAGTTGATTCCCAGAGGTAAATTCTATAAATTGAAAGATTTTGGATTTTTGGGAGCTACTAATTTATTTTTGTGGAATTTAATTTGTGCAGGAGGATGGTACGGGCCATCAATCTACAGTTTCACGAAAGGTGTTTTTATCAATACTTTCTTCTACAAGAACAAATTCTTGTTCCCATTTACTGACATTGGGAAACAATTTTTCGGGACGGACCGGGTTAGAATGTTGGCGTCGGGTGGAACCTTTAGAATTAGGAGGACACAGGAATTTACAACTGTAACGTTGCCCTTTAAGGTGTGTAAATTTCATGGCGTGCTATAATTTGTGAAATTATTTTGTAAATAATTAAATTGTTATATTGTGTTTTTCTCTAATTTGTCAGGACAAGAGAAAGTCAATAGTTCTTGTTTTACCAAAAGCTGGACTTCAGGATATGATTCCATGGATGGACAGTGCTCTCGATTCCAAGAAACATGATGGGTTCATTGAAACGAAACCATTAATAGTCCAAATTCCTGCGTTAAATTTCACCATCACGAATGAATACTTTAGTCAAGTATTCTATGTAAGTGCATACATAATTCAACTTACATACGTATGATTTTCGGTGAAATTATGTGATTTAATTGTGTAACTTGATCAACTATTTAGATGGGTGTCAATAATACGATGTGAGTATTCGTTCATTTCTTGTTCATTTTTTCAATAGATACAAACTGCTCACTGTTTTTACCTTATTTTTTCCTTGCGGAGTTTAATTATGCATAACTATAAATTATGTGACAGGTGCAATTGGAATGATCATCACCCATTTTTCCTTCAACCCCCTGCGCAATCTCTGTACTACTATCTAGACTCTGATAAGTTTGAAGTTGCTGCTGCCACGGGTTAGGAAACTATAAATTAATTATTTATAATAATTTCCAATTTAATTACATTTACCCAAACTAACACATTTGTACTATGCAGGTGCTCAGCTCAACAATAATCAACAATTCCAAGATATCACTGGAATCAAACGTGTCCAACAACCATCTCCACCAATAATTCAAGAGCAGCAGTCACGCCAAGAAGATTTGTCCGCGGAAAAAGATGACGAAGGTGTGACCACCAATGCGCCCAGTAGTATCAGCAGATCTTCAATTAACCTGAGCGACGAGGATGACGACGAAGACGATTCGAGCGAAATACCAGTCACGGGTCCTCGTAAAGAGTACAAATACTTTGAGGAGGAGGGTCCCGTCGAAACGATCCGTTTCGACAAGCCATTCTACTGGTATTTACAGGACGAAGTTCTCGGACCAGTTTACGTCGGAATTGTAAACTCGTTCAAAACATATAAAGAACAAGTTGCATCAATTGAGGATGGTTTCGATGACATGTTCAAGTACCAATTTTGGAGTTGTGGGACAAAGCATTTAGCTTTAATAGACATGTTTCAATCTCCACTTCCGCCAAATGATGACGCCCAGCAAGGAGGGGAGGAAGATGATTAAGCAATTTTGACAAGTTGTTGTAATTTATTTTTGTAACTGAATTAAATAACAGATGTATTTATTGTGAAGGGAAAATCGGTTATCAGAATGGACCACTTTTTCATTTTATGTACATGTAAGAGAATTATCAGTCACAAAAATGCAGCATATTTTCGACTCGATTTGGCTCTTGTCCATTATTCTCTGATTCTGATTTTAAGACGCGTTATAATAAACGACTACATCAAATATCTGTCTATGGGGATTTGATATACATGACGCCTGAGTCAATAATGTTCCAATTCCCATCCAAGTGTACAAGTAAGCATGGGTTGGAAATTTTATGATTTACTGGTTGTAATTGGATCATTCTGATACTTGCAAAGCTGCATAAAAGGAAAATGGTACTCATAAACTGCGTGCGCACTAAAAATCCAATTTTATTTGTGCCAAGTGCATGCAGTTTTGGGAAATCTACCTCCAAAGCTGATTACATAATAAATACAACGAGTAATTTTTTTCAAATTGTTGATTGCATTACATAAGATATTTCGAAATTGGACTGAAAAATAACCAAGTCATTGCGTCTTACATTCTTTGATTGCGAGCAGTTGTTGCTCCTTGGAGGCATGAAGGTTTTCCGTTTGATGACTTTGGCTGGACGATAAGAGCCATTTCACCATGAGATCATCACCTTCTGGGCATTTGGAAGCGTTATTTAGTTTGACCATGATATGGGGTGATAAATAATAATCCACGAGACAATAGAGTAAAATTAAACATTTCAACCGAAATAAATGACCATGCAGCATTCTTAAATCGTACATATGCCAGTTTGTAAACTTTCTGTCCCCATTATATATAATATTTCATGTGAAAATTGCGATTGTGAATAAACAAGTATGTACATATGCAAGAGTCCTTTCTGTTCTTCTGTTGTCTGTCCGTTTAAAATTTATATTATGAGTCATCAATAAGCCAACCCATATTCGGGTAAAATCCTTGCAGAAAATAACTCAAGGGTCCTCTTTTTCTGGAAAAAGGGTAAAAGAGTGACAATGACTCATTGCAGACACAACGGGAGCAAAATGTTGACAAAATCATTAATCAGCCCGATGAAATTTTCAATTCTATTTGGTAACGATATAAATATACGAAAAACAAAGATGCCTATGTATTACATATATATGTATGTATGGCCATATTATGTATGTACATGTGACAACATGGCTGCCCACAATTGTCACTGATTTTCTCAATCTAAAATTACTATCAATCTGAATCAACACCATTGACCAAAGATAAGCTCATAATAATAAATAAATCTTAATATCCATGAATCGCATACGCATTAAATTTTCAAATAGACTTTCAAATAAACAAAATATCTAAAACCGGAAATAACCGCTTGACGAGAATGAGTAACAAATTCTAGGCAGGGGTCTTCTTTCGGGTGTGGGTGTGGCCAACGGGTTCACACAATTACATGGCATGTCTTATAGGCTATAAGTTATAGCACCATTTAAAATGATGATAGCTAAGTTTACACGAGAGAGACGGGGAGATGCATTAAGATTTAAGTCAGGAGGCAAAACAAGACATGCTAGGTAAATATATATTGTGGACTCTGCACTTGTAAATGAACCACCACAAAGTATTTCATTATTACAACTGTAATACCAATAATAACAAATAGTAAAATAATAACGTAGATGGATGTGACTGGATGTGTATATGACGGATGATGTGATAATTCGCTTAGAATATCAGCCATAATCACAACATGGTAATTGAACTAGAATAAGTCACTGGGATATGTGGACATATGCATTACGAAGCCTTAAAGTTGGTGGTTTTCGTAAAAATAAGGTGACCCATCCTCCTGTGATGAAAGGAGCGTATTTCTGCATATCCTTCATAAGCATTTGTACTCGCTGGGATTACTGGAAACAATAAATAATTGACAACTGTGTTATTATTATTTTTCTGACACAAGACTTCACAAGAGAACTATTAATGACTTTACGCTGTCCAGTGAAACCTATAAAATTGACTTGCAGAGTTCTTAAACACTCCAGTCTGATTTTTGACTGAAATCGCTTCGATTTTTTTGCCATCGTGCATATTCCCGACTACTTAACTTTTTGTTCTCGTACAAAATTTTTTACAAAAAACTGAACTAATTAAGTAACACTCAAGAAGGTAGTGAACAATAATTTTACTTGCACTTGACCCGTTCCAGTATTATCTTATTACAAGAGTAGAAGTCGCGTCATATCAAATTGGTAAGACTTTATCCTTTGTTTGATATATGTACATAGATATGTTTACAAACAACGTTTATCACCACAAACTAGAGGACAATTTTGACAGTTTAATTTCAAATATTGCATTTTCTTTAACAGAATGAATCACAACGACCGTGTGCCGGACCGCACCATTCTCTCAAAGAAGCTACCCCCTGAAAACTGCTGGTTCAAGCCAAACTCTTTTCTCGTAAGAATGCAAATATATCTGTAAAACAAATCTCGTGGGGGGAGGGGGATACAAGTATTATCTTGAAATGTTACTAAATCTCCTCTTCTCTTCTCTTCTTCTTCTCTCGCAGAATCCATCCCTCCCAAGGTGCAATCTCGCTTTATAGCACTGGCTGAAACCACCCCCACCAAAATAATCCCATTTCTCACTTTGTACTTCCCCTCCTCGTCATCACCACACCATGCATTTCTACATCTTCTCCTCCGACAAAGGTCCCCGACAACAGGAGTTGACATCAAGCAATTGTAGCGACGACGTGGTTGAACCCCCGGAGGAGAACGACACGGACGACGACTTGGTCCTCTCCTTTGAAATAATCAGCGAAGAGGAAGTTGCCCGTCTACAATTTCCCTTTCTCCAGCCATCGGCACCAAGCAGTATGTCGTCATCGTCGCCATCCTCCATTTCGATCTCATCCCAGGGGTCCAATTCCAGCCTGGGTTCTACCGGAACGGGCGATTATTATAACCCGTTCCCAGCAAAACCATCTGTGATAAATCCAAAGCGTTTCTTCCGCAAGTCGCCTCCAAAGTTGTCACTTCCACCATTAGAAGAAAAACTAACAACGGCGCCGAAAAAGGGACCACCCCCCGAACTCACTGAGGAGGAAATGATGTCCTCCACGGCCAGAATTTGGTACGTAATTCAGCTCAAAGGACATTACAACCATGGGCTGGAGGAGTCTGAAGAGGAAGACAGCTACTTCTACCACCATCCCCCGTTAACAATGGGAGATCATTCTTTGGCGACGATGGAAGATTCTTCTTCCACAAAAATGACCGGCTGGTTTTCCAGTCTTCTTCACCTTCCTCAGAAAATTAAGCAGCATCAGGCCGACAAGCACCGTTTCAATGTCAACACGTCTTCGCCCGAAGTTCGAGAACAACTGAAGCATTTGTATGTCTACTGAATTACTGATTTTTATGACCGTCCTCAATAATATGTCGACCTTGATGATTATTGCAATCTGATTACTATTACAAATTTTACTGTATCGTTATTGCCGATAACTAGTATTACTTAATAACTAACATACATACATTTTACTTTTAGCTGGAGGAAAGTTAAATATCTTATAAATGGAGTTTTTATCTGTAGAAAAGTGAGAATTTCTATTAAACTTTAAGATTATGCCTTAAATTTTAATATAGTGAATAGTTTCAACTGATGCATTCTTTCTATAAGTTACAGCATAATTAAGAAATAATTTTAAAACGTCAAAAATAAACATTTTTGTACATTATTTCTTATATACATAATATATATACGAGAATGAGAAGAACACATAAAATTTTAAAAAAACGTCAATGAAGTTTTCGAAAGATTATTATTTGCATAAACTCATTAGTTTTCATGAAGGATTGAAATAACATTTGTACTTGTTGCCATTTTCATTGGTGTGAACGACCCTAATCCAGAGCTGGAGTTTGGAGTCAACGAACTGTCCGTCGTCTCAAATTTCTCAAATTTACTTTTCTTTCTCAAGTTCAGATTGTGAGGTTGGTCATTTTCCGTCAGGTAAAAGAAGCATCAACATCATTTCCCTTAGTTTCTCCTACATTATTAATTACTGAAAAATTTAATTGTGATATAAATAGAGGTTTGGTTTACAATTAACTTGTCTCACTTTTCAGCTCATCTTCAGTTGCCAGTAATAAACACGGATTTTGTGCCTGCGCCATGTTTTTCGCCCAGGATGTCTTGTACAGCGACGGTCCCCTCTCTCTTATGTGGATGGCAGGGAACAATGAGTTCAAGGGGAAGGATTTCAAATCTCGGAGAAATAAGACATATTTGCTTCTTTTGAACTCGAATATTATAGAACTTGCGTAAGTGCATCATTCATACTTTATACTTGATAGCTGTTTCTGGACTATGATATATATATATACATATATATATATATATTTTTTTTACATAATCAGGGCTCAAGTTCGAAAGTATTTTCCTGCAATGGGATCTGCTCATGGACTAAGTTTGAGGAAAGTTTCAATCTTGATCAAAGGTCTCAGCATAATTTATCAAAAACAAATGCAGCACTTGGCATGTAAGAACTATAACAGTAGTACATAAATATCGGTGAAATGGATTATACAATAATTATTAATTAAATTGTGTCCAATTATTCTAGGGAGCATGCACACTATTCATTTACGAATGAGTATCAGTGCCAAGCAGCTTCGACAGATCGACTTGCCAGTGGAAACCCCATCGCGGACGACTCATCGAAGCGTTGTCCCTCAACCAGTTGAAACTTTTGGATTTGGAGATTTCGATGAAACATTAGGAGCGGATTTGCTGGTTGATGAATTTCGTCCGCGTTGCTTTACTTCAAATGCAGTACTTCCAGAAGTTGTTGTACGTCCTGCTATTACTGAAACACCAAATTCTGATGAGCGAGGCACTAGTAGCAGAAAGCGAAAACGTCATGTTCAACAAACCGAGGAAGGATTTGACGAAAGTCAAGTCTTAAATCTGTTGGAAGAGGCCATATCTCGCAACCCAATGGCACATTGCCTTCTTGAAGATGATGCCAATCAACCACAGCGAGAATTTGAAGGATTCGACCAATTTGGTGATATGGGAATGGGATTCGGCGACTATTTGAATGAAAACATGGAATCTAGAGCCGGAAGAACGACTGAAAATGACGGCCCAGCAATAAGCGTAGAAAATCCGATGTTACTCTCTCCAGGGGACAGAGTCACCACACGGAATCTAGATGATGGCGAAGGTCGTCATGGACGTTCAAGGAAACGCCCAGCAAGTGTATCTGAAGCAGGCGATATTGAACAAGAGATTGGGCAACAACAAAATGTTGAATCTGTACTCGGTACTCAAAGCACAGTAATGAGTACAGAGGGAGAGCAATTGGACTTACAATCCCTTCAAGTAGTTGACCGGCGGAGGGGACGTCGACGCTATCCATTACAAATTGATCAAGAGACGCTCATTACATTGCAATATATGCATATGCAATTGCAAGCACAAAAACGACCCTTGGACTACGACGAATTGGAGGAGATGAGACAATCTGATCGTAACGGCCTTGTGGAAAAGAAAAATAAAAAGATAGCGTTGGATGTCCTCCTAGAAAGCGCAATTGGCAGACAAACTAATGTTGGCTCAGCACTCAAGCAATTTATTGGACAGGCTCACGCCACAGCTTTACTTCCTGTACCAATTCGTGATCGGCTTCCAGAAGAACTAGGAGGCAATCTTATTGCGTCGAGAAATGTGCGTGAAGAAGGAACTTTACCAGGAGGAGTTTCGACTTTTGGGATACAAGGAGGACAAATTGCAAGTGATATTGGTATGGACATGCAAAACGAAGTAGAATCAGAACAAGACAATCAGAGCGAAATGTAAGTCATTTTTGTGTAGATTTCGGTTAATGCAATCTAATTGGTGGTAAGGGTAAAATATTATTGCATTGTTTTAGGGGTCGGCAAATAATGAATGATGTGCAACAGGGCGAAATGGAATACCAAGCACCGGAATTTGACATCCCCGAAATTATTCTGCATCCTCCAGAAGTACATCCAGAAGAGCTTGGCGTTGCTGGACTTGGTGATGAAACGGTTACTTTCAAAAAGTTGTTTCCACCTGGGAAGATTTCAAAGAAACAGGCAGCAACGGGATTCTATCAATTACTCAGTTAATAATTTTTACAATATTAGACACATACTTATTAGTCAATCTATTTTCAATATTTCAGAGTGATTATTATTGTGGCGTTAATCATTTCTTTCAGGAATGAAAGCGATGCACAAGGTGGAGCTAAAGCAAGATGAACCATACGGAGATATTTTCGTGTCCAAATCAGCTTAGAAGTGATATGAAAAATAGTATTTATTACCAGAAGGTATTATCTTCCATATTTTTGTTTGTCTTCGTGAAGTTGAACTTTTTAGGCTTCTATTTTTTTTACTACTAGATGCATAGATTTAAATATAATTATTACTTTTGAACCCGTTATTTGTTTGCATTTTTCTAATTATCCAATATTTCTTAATCGAGATGTATGTAATAAATAAATTACAGTTGTCCAGAAATAAAGTAGTGTCCCAAAAATAGAGCATGTTGTTTCGTAACCTAATACATAAGTGGTTAATGGATTCTGGGTATTGGAAAAGTAGGTATTCTCAATCGCTGTCCATTCCTCTGCTTGTTTTTAATTATATCTACATCATTCAGTACAACGAATGTATAACCTTTGAGATGATGACACATGCATGTTCATCCTTCTTAATGGAGGTGGGTCTCATAAGTATGCAAATCTGAGGATAATTACATAAATCTGTTGATTACTTTGTAAGATATTGATCTGCGTCTGATATAAGTAGCTCCAGAGCTTCAGGTTCTGCTCAGTTATCAGTTGAAATTTGTTGAGCAAGCAGCAGCAAGATATCTACCCCATCAATCTGCTTAGTTGTGTGACGACTCGCTTCCTATAATCTCTACAGTTTAGAACGAGGTATGCAAAATAGTTAACTCTGTATAACTTGCCATTTTTCGCGAAAATAAATACTTATGTGTTCAATCTTTAAATTTTTTTCGTTTTAATTTCAGTATCAACATTGGCAAAATGAGGCGTGCCAGTTTCATGAACAAACAACTCTCTCAGTCCCACGATGAAGGTCTGGATGAAAACGGAAACTTTGACTTGGTCAGCTCGGAAACTGACCGTTATATGCTATCGCCCCCACCACAATCTGCCGGTTTTCTCGCCAATTCGAGATCATTCTCAAACTTCAAGTCGGTTTCAGGAGGAATGACATCAAGGCCATCATTCATCTCTCTCATGTTAATCGCTTCTGACGACGAGCTATCCAGACTTCCCAAACTTCCAGCCCCACTTCAAGTCGAAACAGACACGTATCAAAAATGTGGCTGGGAAGATGAACCTAAAAATTGTTCTCACCTCCCAGTTTTGCACCCACCCTCCGACTCTGAGGACGAAAGTGAAGCCCACAATGGAATTTTACAAACTATTATACATTTACCAGAGAGAATGCGAAAAATTTCTGCAGACAAGCAAAGATTTAATGTTTATGCCCTTCCAGATCAGGATAGAAAGCAACTTAAAAATTTATATGTTTTTTAAAAAAGTTAAAAAATTGTATGCATATTTTTGTAAGTTATCGGAATTATAGATTATTAAAATAATTTAAATATATAGGTAATAATAATGTTCCTTTAGATTTAGTTTAAACTTGAATAAGAAGAAAACCTAAGTTATATCTACTAATAATTACATTTCTTGAAATGTCTCAATTCAACTATTTAGTTGAGTTGTAAATAAATTTTCCAAGTTATAAAAAAATCAATAATATTTTGCTCCTTTTCCATTTTTTGGCTTATCATTTTATGAGTCACACACATTTTTTTTATACCACATTAAAATTTGTCCGTCATTTTATGCCCATTTATTGATAAGTGCAAACTTGTGGTAAACATCGTGTGTAAAATAATTATGCAGCAACCTTGAACTTTAAACTCGTCGCAGGATTATACATCCCAGTCACAACGTAAAAAGTAAGTGTATTAAGGAATACTTAATTTAATCATTTCGAAAAAAAATCCAAAATACTCCGCTTATCCGAAGTAGATTAAATTTTAAGGCATTATTCAGCGTCATAAATTATTAACTATCATACATTTGCACAAAATTAGACGTGACACTCCTTTCTTTGTTAGCGTCGCTGTCTTTTGTTCGAGACGGATTAAAACGATTAAATCAGGTGTGGTATGTACGTATGTATGTTGCAGTCGTAGATACATAATCATGATTCTTAGAGTTAACCTTATTAATGCTAAAAAGCAGTCTGCGACGCATGTACATAATTTATGAAACTAAACTGCAGAACAGATCCATCCACAAATTAAACCATTTGGCCTCTGATTACCCTCATGTCCTGATTAGAACGATGAACGATGATAAATGTAATTTATAAATACTGCACAAAGGCCTTCACTGAACGAAGAGAGAGAATTAAATTTCAGTCAGAAAATTGACAAACTGGACCGCACTGGCGTAAATTGGAAGCGATTTGAGGAATTGAGCCACATTTTCATTTATTTCACTTCTGTGTCGAACGAAATTGACTTATTTAATATTCATTTTGTCATCATCTTCCGCAGTATCTGGTTTAGAATCTGTTTGAACTCTCGGCTTGAAAATGAATCGACCAAAAACCCAGGAAGTGTGCCTTTGTTGGAGTTCGCATAAACTTACATATGCATCACAGATTCATGTTAAATGCGTGAGAAAGTATTGCTGTTGGGGTTTTAGCAAAATGGAGCAGTCTCACACATACTTGATTATAAAGAAGCAATGAATTTATGATACGAGTGTAAAAGAATGGTAGTAATGTGGCCTGGATTTAGAAAAAAGTGCGTAATTTCTTGGAAAAAGTGAGTAATTTTAACAAGCTTTAGGGCAATGTCTTATTACTTTTATTTTTATTTCACAAGACAAAACGTATTTATAAGACCTTTGCAATCACTTCACTTTTACTTGTTATGGGAGGACGTCTGCGTCATGTAGCCTTTTTTTAGGGAATAGGATGTCATACGAGGGTGGCGTCGTCTCAGTTGATCTTCCCAAGCTACTTGTCTTTAAAGTGCTGCTACGATGGACATCGGGGTAATTTCTGGCTTGATTGTTGATCGACATTTCTCTACGTTTTCTCTGTGCTCGCAACATTTTCGGGTTCGGGATCCAAATGACGCGATTGCGACAGCAGTAGAGACGTAAAATGCAGATGACTGCGAGCATAACGAGGATGACGAAAATAATCCACAGAGTCGTAGATCCATTAGCATCCTCCTCAAACAATCCAGGACTTATGAGAAGTGTGTCTTTATTTTGATGCTCAGCTTCATTGACGTCAATGTCTGCATTTAATTGCTCAACTTGACCTTGATCCTCCTCCACGGATAACGTGTTGTCGATTCCGGTAAATGTCATGTTGGGTTCCAACACTTCAGGAGTTTGTTGGCTAAGAAGTGTCAAATTGTTTCCTATTGAAATATCGTGATAATTTACGGTTTCTTCAAACTCAGGTGGTAGTCTGACAGTATGAAACTCTGTACTTGTAAACTCTACAGCTGGGGTAGGGGCTAGAGTTGTTGTAGAAGTTGTGGTTGTTGTGGGAGTAGGTGTTGGAGGTGTGGTGCGATGAGTGACGGTAATTACGGGAGGAGAAATATCGAAAAGGTGGTTTTGAAGTTGTATCGTAAATGGAACACTGCTTGGTATTGCTGTTGTACTAGAGAGCTCGATACCGCTTTGAAGTGCTGGTTCTGGCGTGGTTGTGGTACTTGTGGTTGTGGTGGTAGTGGTTGAAGGGGGAGTGGTTGTCGCTATTGTAGTAGTGACGGAAGTTGTAGAAGGTGCGGTTGTGGTTGTTGATGTCGTGGTGGTAGTGGATGGAGTTGTAGAAACGGAAGTGACGATTGGTGGCAACGTCGTAGTTAAAGTTACAGGATTTGTCGCACTGGACAGCGTCGTAGGTCTCCAAGTCGTCGTCGAAAAGATTTGTTGTCTCGCTCGTGGGAGTAACAACTTAAGCAAAACTGGCAAACAATTCGCTATGTATTCGTCTGAACCGAACTTTTCTTCAAATGCACAATTAATCACTCGGTCACAAAATAGTTGAGCTGGAATGCACGACTTGCTTCCCAGAATATTCGTACACGAGCGGTACTGGTAATACGATGGAGAATGCGTTGCCACATTTAAGGCGTCATCACACTCTAATTAAGTAATAAATATTTAATAAATATTCAGAAATTTTAAGAAAATAGTCTCAAGTGTGGGCACCTTTGTACGCAGTGAATGCAATTTCTAGTCTGAGCATGGGATTCCGACTGGGATCCAACACGTCAAAGTTGAAGTCTCGTACGAGGCCCCAGATGTACCCGTGGTAAAACAATATCTTGATTTTCCCCGACGTGCTTTGAAATATTCGTGGCCCTTGAATGAGTGAGGGTGCAAAACTGCCGTCACGACCATCCACTTTCCCACAAGTTCCGGCCGTCTCGACCCCAGTGTCTACGTCCCCAAACTAGTGATAAAAAACAGAGCATTATTGTTGTGCGTACCCACCATGTAAGTAAATAGGTAGTAAATTCCACTGATTTAAGAAAGTCAGTCAGTCAGTAAGACAATGGGTCATTTAATTCACTATTCAACTCATGTCCATATGTACATCGTTAACTCAGGTTGCTGCTGCTGGGAAGAATCCTGTCTCGACAATCACTATGAATTAAGGGAGAGTCAAATTGCTCTTGATAATATGAGAAGTATGTTTCACAAGAGTGATTTAATTGCAAGATAGTGACGAAATTTGCATTAGCGAAAGGAAGAAGAGACTTCAACTAAACTAATAATAATACAGCGATGGGAATACCACTTCCGCTCCTCGATACTTATAAAGTTAGTCTCTGCCATAATTACGACCAATAAATGCAGACCACTCTTAATTTTAGCCTTATTATTATATTCGCAATAGTACACTTTCAAGATTTGAGTAATTATAAATTATAAATGCAATATCTAACTTCATTTTGAGCTTATTGCGACATATTGCAACCTGGTAAAATACTTACCTGAATAAAATCATTGCACCCAGTGGGAGCAGTTCGGAGGTCCATGCTTTGTATGACAGCCATGACGCCATGACCTGGTGGTGCCACGACATGAAACTCCCCTGGACCTGATAATCTCCTAGAAATGAAGACTTCATTCGATGTGGCCGTCGGACTTCCTGACGCCAAAGGCACGACTACCGAATAATTTGGATAATCTTCAAGATTTATGGTACGACCAGTGTCGGGATTAAAAATTGTGGGGCCATGAACATCCCGATTGTACTTTGTCAGGGATATGATTGAAGCTGAAATTGATCAATACGAAATGTTTATAAATTGAACCAAATAAGTGACATGGAGAACATATTTTAACACTTACGCCCATAACTAATTCCTTGAGATGAAGGTGTTGTTGCGTCTTGACTTTGATATCCCTGATGAAAATGGTGGTCATGATGGTGATGTGACTCGATTAGGCATGTTCGTATCAACACTAATAACAGAAACCACAACATTTTTGAAACTTTTGCAGCTTTTATCTAGACCATGTCATTCAAAGTATGACACCAGCTCCACGTTGCACAGTTTGAAAGTCATTTTATAGACGTCAAAATCAAAATTCGAAAATTGTGATGCTCTCCGTCCTTACAAATATTTTAAGGACATGGTTTTCTTTAGATGTTTCACTTCACTTAAGAATCACCTAATTCGCACAACGGTTCGAAATGAACTGTGTGGCCTGTAATTGCGAACGAAACATAATGGTTATGCCTATGCCTATATTTACAATGCCTTATGCCTAGTTAAAGGGACCTATGTATCTGTTGATAATACCGTGCATTGTTGTTGTATAACATCTTAACCTATGCCCTTCTCTCGAATTTTGTATTATAGCATTGTCGTGATGGGTGAGATATTATATTTTATTTATGCAATTTTTCCCATGAAAATACTTTCATTTATTCATGTTCCCTTATCATAAAGTGTAACAATAATCTCCTTTATGATTGCTGTTAGTACTTGAGTTGGTGATTGCAGAAGAAATGTTATGATCAAAGCAATGCAAAGGATTAACATTAACCGTTGCATAAAAAGTGCAATTATTATCAACAAAAACCAGTCATTAGTGTACGTACGTACGTGTATAATAACGTCTTCAAATTAGTGACACTTTTGCCTTCAAGTGATCAAATGAAAAGTAAAGCTTGACGTGGTATTGATATTGTAAAACTAAAGTACATATACGTACATAGGATTTTAATTATTCTACTCAGCCTACATTAAAATTAAAACAAACAGACAACATAATAGAATAGAATGGCATTGTGTCACGCTCCAGTTGCTGATAGTTAATTGACATGTTTTTTTGCATCCTTGTATATGTAGTATTTATGATGCAAAAAATCGTCGATTGACCAGTACATCGCATGCACATTTTGCAAAGTCAGCATGGCTCAGAAATAATATTAGTCATTCGAATTTAATGAAATCCGGTTCCGGAAACGTAAGTATAAACGTTTACACTATTTCTCATTGTTAATAAATATCAAATGTTGTCGGTACAAGTACGAAATACGGCATAACAATGCCCAACTTCCCTTCTAATAACTGTATCTAATGACTCATTTTGATCCCATGCGTATGCGTGAGAGCATAATGTGCAACAGGGTTTAGGTGATTTGGCATATTTCCAGGAAATACCACAAATTATGAGTGATGACATGAGAAATATGGCCACAAATTTTAAAACGGTCTGAATTTAGCTAAGTACATAAACACGCACTTACTTTGTAACCAGTCATTTCACAATATTGTTACCAAGCTATTTTCTATCTGACTTGACACTAATTTGACATTCGTTTACACATCCCATCCTAATTAGCATCTTCTTGCTAATCGGAGGTTATGTAAATATTGTCATCTCTTGCACCGTATACCATTGCCAAAACTTGATGCATGAGTCTCATGATTTCGCAATTCCGTTTTAAATACTCTAGACGACAACACGGTTGAAAAAAAATTCTGCTTTACCAAATTTGAAGTTCATTCCGATACTTAAATAATAATAATTAAATAATATATTGCAACAATTTAAAGGAGGATGTAACTTCAAACTCACAACATGACCATCACGAAAAAGTAAAATGTTGTCCTAAATTACTTTTAGAATTAATGCATAAAGCTCATTAGGAATTCTAACTCCAAATCGCCGTGTTTGTAAATAACAACTTGTAATTTATTTTTGCATGTAAACAAAAACAGAGACAGGAGTTGGTTCATGGAATTAGTTTACCTCGTGAAGTGAAGCATTAAATCTCTTACTGCATGCAACAAACAAACATATCCAAGATTTATAGCGGACAAAGTATTTCACACTAATCCTGTTGTACTACATAATACTTATGCATTTATTTACGTTGCAGCATGTCATCTATTTAATAGCTTAGTTAGTGACGACCAAGTGTACCAAGTGGACCAAGTTTAAAAATTAATCGTATTTGTTTACCAATTACCTATCGAAAATTTGAGACAAATTTGAGTTCACTCATTATGTATGTCCCTCATCATGCAGACGTGTCAACCAGGAGTCGAATATTACGATATCGCATGCTTTTACACATCAAGCCCCTTAAACGCAGTGGTCTCTACTCAAGTCCATGCGCATACCTTTAACGCCTAAAAAAGTGAAGTGTAATAAACCAAAAAGGTTGAAAAGGTATGTCGAGACATGAAACATAGCCGAGGTTTGACGGCGACGTTGAAAAGTAGGTGAGTTTGTTTTGCTTGGACAACATTTATGCCGTAAAGAAATAGCATATTTTAGGGGTTTAGCATCAACGACCAACCAACCATCCATGCATTCGTTATGAGAAAAGGCTGCTAAAACGAGTGACTTGGTCTCTGTAATATGTATGTTACTACTTGTTTGTTGTGGGTGGAAATTGCCTTTTGGTGCAACCTAATACCAAATCCAGTGCAACGAAAAATGGCATGGCTAGCAATGCAACGCTTGTTGGCTCGATAATATAGGCATCTCAGATCTCATAGTAATTCTACATGTTATTTGGTCGTTTAGTTCTTTAGCTGGTACCTCATAGCACGCAGCAGTCCATCGTCTTTTCAGTCAGTACTGCTTAATAAGCATTGTCAGGTGCACTTTGTAAAAAAAAACAGACAAAGGCTTCGCTACCCTCAAGCCCTCAATTCCTATATCCATTCACCACCCAGCATCAAGATCTGAGTCACTATTTCGTCATGCCACTAAGATAATTGAACTAATCTCTCCTTAAATCAAGTAAAGTTTTAGTAAAACAGTGAAGATTTGCTGACGAGTAAAGTTACTTAAATTGTGCAAAGTTATTTAACTCTCAAGTTAAAATATTTTCAAAAAAAAGACACGGCAAAATTATGGAACGTTTTTTACTTTATAGAAAAGTGCAGAGTAATAATAATTTTAGAACAAGAAAAACGGCGTTAAGAAGATACAGTGTTCTCATTTTGTTTGGGATTATTATTGCACAAGTCATCTCTCCAACCTTGGGAGAGGATCATGACGATGAGACGAATAGCAGCAGCAGAAATAATAATAGCATTAGTGGAAAATTTTTTGGTAAGAGACACGTTACACACATTTCCTAATAAATTATAATAATAGCAGAATAACAGAACAGTTAACTTACGCAGACAAAAACAAGCGTAGCTTTATAAATGTTTCATTAGATGGTAGATGCATGATGCGGGGTCGCTGTATCTCATCATAAAACTTAAATAAATTAAGAAAAAGTTATTTTCTCTGACGTCTGAGCCTCGTCCTGGACCCTCATTAACAAATTAATTATGTTTTGGTTTTTCTTTGTTGCAGAGTATATGAACAATCTAAGATCCGCTTCAACCCCAAAGTCGGAATCAATCTCTTCTCCGCCCACGAACTCGACTTCGTCCACATTTCGAAAAATTTTCATCGATTCCTCCTGGCACGAAACATATCAAAAGTTTATCGACCAAGTCAAAAAAGTTAGAGGGATGCTTGTCCCCAGTTTATCTAATGGGACAGAGGCGTCACAAACGACGACCTTGTCAGAATATCAACCGTCCTTAATTTATAATTCTACCGAGACCGTTCCTGGCCTAAGTTCGAATAGAAGTGGTCGAATTAACGGTCCTGCGTCGTGGAGTTGGCCTTGGATGACCAATACCCCGATTTCGACGCCAACCTCAAGTTCGACCCTGCGGTCAAGGACGAACGCGTTTAACCGAATATTTTTCGGACCTTTTGAGCGGGATAATGGTGGCATTCCTGTCGACCCGTATGCATCCTATTATCCAGCCCCCTCACCCCCAGCCCCACCAGGCCCTGGGTCAAATATGTTTGGTCTCGGGAGAGGAGCACCGTCCGACAATCATTACAACTATGTGTACAAGTACAACCCTAAAACCCAGTCAGCCACGGATTTAGAGCAGCACACGACGACAACAATCTACATCATTTGCATCTGTCTTATCATCATGTTGGTGGGGACGATATTGTTCGCCTTCGTGTCGAAATGTCAAGAAAATGCGGGACGTACTGCAGCAGCGAGTAGTAATCCTACCGGACGAAGAAGGAGACGACGCAGCACCACAACGACAAATAACAACAATAATAATAATACTTCACCGAATTCAAGAAATCGTCCCGAAATTAGTATAATTATGCCGGGTGATGGTGACGAGAACGGAGCTCCACCCGCTTATCCGAAGGTCATATTTGACCCACCACCCTCCTACGATAGTTTATTTCCTGTAAAAGAATAGTATGTAAGAAACAATGCAATAACGCTAGTTAAGATTTACATAGTTCAAATAGTTCTCGTTTTGATTCTCGCAGTATTATTTTCTCACAATTATTCAGACTGCTAATTTACTGTGATGGATGATTTACTTGCATAATATACTAATAGTTGCTTATTAATTTGAAAAATATGTAAGAATGATCCGTTACAGCAGCAATAGTACAAAAGACAGTCAGTAGATTGTTGTTTAATTCAGTTATTATTATATTTTGTATTATTCGTCAGAAGAAAAAAAAAACAATGTAAACCGTTTGTTTAATACATAAAGCTTCCTCCTTGATTGGTCTTTATTCCGATTGTTGAAGGATATAAAGTTATTGTTGAGACATATTGATTTCATGATCAGTTCCATTTTTTTACGAATTTTACCCATGTTCATGAAATTGTTTACTTAAGTATGATATAATATTTAGTCGACAGTTGATGATCTGCCCGAAGGTCGTTGGGAGCTCTTTATATAAATCTAAATAAATAGTAAGAAAAACTTTCGGGCCTTGATTGCACGTCCGAAGGTTTATTCTTTTTTTTTACTGTTTGTGGTTAAACCACGAGTCAGACGAGTGTTTGCCATTTGCTCTAAAGTGCAAGTTGAATTAGACAAATATGTAATTTAGTCAAGGACTCGCGAAATAAATGTGTTGAAGAGATCATCTAAACCAACTGAAAAAATAAACGTCACATTTTTCATTTATATTCAACATAATGCAAACTACTCGGAAATGTTGTACAAAAATCTGGCATTGTTGTCCGAACGAGGAGTATCATTGTTGAATGCTATTTTTGTTGCATGACACAAACCCAAAATGCATGAAATTTCTAGCAAAAATCCTCTCAATAATTCTCAGCCTCATAAATAGTTAAGCTTTAACGTCGTTCATAAAATAAAACAAAATGTTGATTTTCTAATTGCATAATATTTCCTGATCAGTTCATAAAAATAAAGTTTACTTATCATAAAACTACTGCAAAATAAACATACTTCCAGTCACGAAATGCAATAGTTTACTAAATTGCACGGCAGTTTATTATAATAGGTGAGATCAAGAGCATTTCGACCTTCAAATTTTGCGACGACTATGTACTCGAACAGGACGACATCATCATTTCATCTCGCACTCATCGGCGTCGTGCCACTCAAATTTAGCAATTAAAAAAAATACTAATGCTACATATTTATTTATAGCGTATCCATAATTTATTCTATCCAGCAGCACAATTAATTAATAATATTCGCAGTTTGGCATTCTTATACGCTTTCATCCTCCCATGCATTTGTATTTCCATACCTGTTCTACTTGTATATTTGCGTATTGTTTTATCCAGTGAATAAATTAGGTTATTCCATCCGGACCAAATAATTAACAGGTTAAACAACAAACACATTATCCACGTTTCGACACCTGGTTGCGAATAGGTCTGACATGGAATCTTCGTAAAAGTTGGTTAACCTAGTCCTACTTCGTTGTTGTTCTTGTATTAAAACGACGATTGCCATAAACGACACGGGGATAGTCAGGTATAAATGTTAATGGCATTTTTGTTTGCATGGTGGTACAACACGGCGAACATGGCGAAATTGCAGCAACTAAACCTTATTTAACTCAGCCATTACTTTACTTTTGCCTTTTGGTAGGATGGGAGTGAAGGTAATTCTGCATAGCTGTAGATGGGTTAAGCTAACATTAGATTGCATTTATGTACATGCAAGGAGAAGCATTAGCTGAATTTATTGCCTCATTGTCCGCACGTTTAGTTTGTAAAGAGCTGATTTTATTGAAAAAGTCAACTAACCCTCGTACTTACAGCTAGGGTTGTCAATATGTCATGTCGAGGAGTAAATGTCGTATCATGTCGAAAGTGTCAATGTCATGTCATAAATGTCCGTAAATGTCGGTAAATGTCATTGTGCCGAAATATATGACATTTATGACAAATATGACGGACAAATTGGACATTTATGACATTTATGACAAATAATGTAAATAAATCGCCAGACCCCTTGTGACTGTAATCTGTTGAAAATAGACCTCAATTTACTTTTGCGCCTAGTCCGTGAAAAGCATATGCGGATTTCGAATTTGTGTCTCAACTTTTCTCCTGTTCGTTTATTCAAATGACGATTTTGAAACCTGGTCATCTCCGTATGTTTCTTAAGTAAGATTTAATTGCGTCTTACAGTCGATAATTTCAGCATTTACAAAGTTAAGAGCTTAGATTTTTTTCTTGAGAAAAACAAAATAGTATATCTGAAATCTGTCAAATTAAAAAAAAAGAGTTAAAAAAATCAAAATTATAAACTCCTAACTTTATAAACCTCCCTTCCTTTGTAAAATTATTCGCTTTTATTAATAATAGCAGCAGTAGAATCTTCTAAAAACACACGGCGATTGGCAGGTTTTAAAATTTGAATACATGGAACAAGGGAAAGTTAAGACACAAATTCAAAACCCGATTGATACTTAAAATGTTAAGCTCGTCGTTGGGATGACTTCGAAAATATTAGTTTACTACATAGGAACTAGCTTATCATCTCTCCTTCAATGGCTTTATTATGTAGCAGCAAGCCACAATTGTCGCCAAACTCTTGCTACTAGAGTAATTTCAACAGAGTGAGAGGTTAGTTAAAGTTCACGATTCAATAAACTTTAGGTGTTTTAAAACAAGTTTTTGAATATAAATATCTAATTTCATGTTGGTTTACATATCAAAAACAGATGGGTAGAATTGAGAGTAGAAAGTATTTCTGCTACGGTGGTTCCACGTATGTTCGTAGAGGGCAGTTTTTAGTAAATGTCATAAATGTCCAAAATGTCCATGCCAATGTGTCACGACATGTCATGACATTTGACAAATTGACAAATTGACAGATATTGACATTGACACGCTTTTTTAAATGTCAGACATTTGTGACATTTATGACATTTATGACATGTCGAGATGTCATGACAAATGACATATTAATAACCCTACTTACAGCAACCCAACACCTCATATATTAAAAATAGTGATGTGAAATTCAACCCTTGTCGTCATACATGTTCGTTTGTTGTGAGATCATATCCGTCGTTTAAATAAGAGACAGTTCTCCCATGAAAAAACGTATTTTTCCTGAAATAAGTCTTGTGATCCTCAGAATTACTAAAATGTGAACGTTGTTTCAAATAATAATTAAAGTGGACATTAATATTCAGCCTCTGCTCCAGTGTGGAAATAATTTAGCAAAGAGTTTTAACAGCTATTGTACATGCAGTTGGTAACTTACCTACATTTCGTTCGATTACTTACCTGCTGTAAATACGATTACCTATATCACGCCATGCTGCACATACTTTTGCATGTTTTAAAAAATACATGAGAATCAGAGACCAATTTAATTTTACTTGCTAATTTTCCATCTCACATGCTCAACTCTGGTAAAGATCCAGTTACAAAGACTGATATTGGATCGTATGAGTTGGTTAAGATTTAGTTTCTTTATTATTATTATTATTCATCTCCACGATCTCAAACTAGCTATGGATTAGCTTTGCATGAAAAGTGAAAAAGGAATCCATGCTGGTTCTATAAATTAATATATTTTAATAATTTAAATTAATCAAAGTTGGATTAAAAAATTTTGGACCAGACTGTGAATTAATTCGTCACTTTAAGCTCATGCAGCCCTTGAACCAAAGTCAAGCTAAAATTTAACTAATCGTAAATTGGTTAATGTTGTGTGGACATTCCTCGTGACATAAATCCATAAAATAAGAAATTAACCTGATCATGCGTTGGTTTGGACTAGTTTTAAATAAACTTTTAGTGAAAAATGGACTAAAAAGTGACAGTGAATGTTGAACAAGTTGCATTTAATGAAGTTGAATTGTTATGTAAATCTTTACTTTTCCACTTGACGCTGACATCATAAAACTCTGATTGGATTGCATAAGCATGCAATAGGAAATTAAGTGCGGATGTGATCTTCGACACGTTGTATGATGAATATTCACAACTGCGAGACCTTGAGGACAATTTTCTCTCTAGCACTGACTCTCCTCTTATTGTCAGGCTTGGTCAATGTCGTCTCTGGGTTTAAATATGGCCGTAAGTCGCATTTTGTCAGTGTTTTTATAGTGTAAAGAACTTGAATTCATTTAATAGTGTGCAATTTGTAGCCTCGCTGACATCGCTGGAATCACCTGTACTCAAATTGGAGGACTATCCAAATTACTCGGTTCTGCTGCCCCTGACCAAGTCCAAGATTACAGCGTATCCCTACGAATTAGCGCAGGAAGACGCGAGATGGAGAGATATCAAAGCGATTGTCAAAGCACCGGAAGGATTCAGGGTCATGATGGTCGTTCAAGTGCTTTACCTTGGATTGGGATATGACACAAAGTTGGAGAAAGACGTGGGGTTAAAAGGCTGCATTGATTCGATTCAAGTATGTATTTACCAAACAAATCTCTATGAAAATATGTAGATTTTGGGTTATAAGATGTTAATTTAAATTGAATTAAATAGATTTTCGAACAAGGAGACCTGATCGAAGAAATTTGTGGCAGTGTAAACTACACAGATAAATCTGCACATCCAAAAACCCTGACCGGACCAAGAACTTTTCTCAGTAAAGGAAGCTCGATTATTGTTGGGCTACAATTTGCCAACCGTCTTCGCCAATCCACTGATTCCCACTCACTGCATTTGGAATACAGACATAAAATTGACATTTGGAGTCGCAAATTTTCGTTGGGAATCGCATTTACCGCTTTTAAACGTAACACTTATCAGTATTAAAGAGATTTATGAATATTTTTATTGAGTATTCTATTTTTTCGTGTAGAATGTGACGAAGTTCCCAAAGAAGAAAAATTTCATCCCTGTGACAGCTTATCAGAGGAAGATGAATCCCACTTTATCGGAAATTGCATCCGCGCCAGCCTATTTTGTGACGGTGTGATGAATTGTGCCAACGATTTTGACAATAATCAGACCATTGGAAGCGATGAGGACGCACATTACTGTGAATCACTGCAAAATTCTAACAAAAACGACGAGATTTCTTCTCCAATCAATTTCAAGCCACAGGATCGATACGTCCACGGTCATGATGACACCTTCACGGCAACGAATGTAGGAGAAAACCATCACAGCAATAACTTTCACCACACTGAGCTTACACTTGGTCCGTCCTCAACAGTTTTGCTAATAGTGCTTACAATCTTGTCCGTAATGATTCTTGGAGTAATTGTCCGTCTTTGTTGTACGAAATGTGTCGGATCTCCGCACCATGCGCCAAGGTTATCAACTGCTTCAGAAACTGCTTCGAGCGGTAGCGTCTGGACAGTTTCACCGTCGTGTTCGAGCCGCATTTCATACCATAGTAGTAACAGTGTCGGGAGGAATGCCAATTTTCTCCCAAGTTTCATTTTTCACAGTCAGTGTTCAAGATTCGACCCAGGGAAAGATCTCCCACCCTCGTATTATGACTTGTTTCCAGAAGAAACGCCAAAGTCCGCCACGGGAACGGAACTTCAAATGACCTCATTGCCTACGTCAAATAATGATGATAGTAATGTTACTAATATCATAATATCAGATGATAATATCAATTCTAGTGCAAATTTGATTGAGGAAACTGTCCTAGAAAATTTGGATAATAATAACGAGCCAAAACTTGCAGAAAATTCAATACCAGAAAATACACGAAATTGTTAATTTCGGTGTCATATTTGACATTTTGTTAACTAAAACCCTGCCAAATTTGACACGAAATGATGATAATGTTGATAAATTTACGTCACCATTTAAATAATTCTAGTCATTATTCAAGTGTAAGGTTTATATGTAAATACGTAAAAATGGTCATACTACATTTTCCACGCGTAACAGAAGGAAGCACTGACAAATAAAGAGACATTAGTTTGATTTGTGTGAATTTCTTTTAAAATAATTATAATAAGTAAATTCATCATCATTATAAATAGTCGACTTGTAATATGCACACATGTAATCCTTTAATTGAGTTGGCATATCCATGATTTATGTCTAATTCACTTCCGGCGAATAACCATAAACCCATCCACCGCATGATGTACCCGACCGACGTTGACATTGCTCCCCTGAAAATTAAACCTGATATTATTTGTTATTGCAACTACTGCCTGCATGCTCTGTATTATTTTTTATTCGCATTTCAAACTTATGCATATTGCATACGCCATACAATAATCCGCTTTGTTGAAATTTATACGATCCATCAAATATCAAATGAGGCTTGGCAATTCCGAACATCGCTCCTGTTCATACTTATTCACAGCCTGATGTATGTATGTACAAAATGCGCTTGAATGACGCTATTTCGTTGGGGACAGGCCAGCTTGGTAATAACAAAACAAAGCTTGTGTGTTATTTAGTACCACTCGGTTCGTAACTCTGATTTATGTAGTAGCAACAATCCATATAATCAACTAAATTCAGATTACGTGGCGTGAGTTAACCAGAATGGTTTTACATGAGCTAAATTTAATTTAAGATTTTGTTTGGTTTACTTTATACGTAAGCTTTGCATTTTGTTTATTCCTATTTACGGTACAACACCCATCGACCAAATGCATATACGTAAAAGAGGCAACAAGAAGACGGCGAGGTGGTTGATGATGAGGGATTAGCATCATTTTCGCAAACTTTCTGCATTATCCCATATCCTCGTGCGTGAACATAAAACGAGCCTATTTATTCATTTACTCAACGTGGATTCAGTTTTGATTCGACTTAAGTTATGGCCAAATCTACCTGTCCGTCTCCTCTTCTGAATAATGTGGTCGTCTCATCTCATATTAAGCAGCAGTCGTGTCAGTCTCACTTTGTTGTGCAAAGTTTCCTAAAATAATTTGCATATCTAGAATATTTAACAGTTATCGTTTAATTAATACAAAAATAATCGGAACGCGTAGCGTTTAAAAGTTGTTGTTAATCCTGGCTAAAAAAGGTGCAATAAAAATTCAAGTCATGCCAGCCACATCAGGAAATCAATAATCATCCATATCTCTCTAAAACAAAAGATTTCGGGATTTACTTAGGAACTCGTGACATCAAAGCTAGATAATCTGCCATTTCATACATACAAAGTTTTATGAACTCGCAGTTTAACAGACTTTTGGACACATTTACGGTAACATAAAACATGTAATAATGGTACGTGCAAGTACGTCTAACCTCCTTAATGAGGATTATTATCAATTTACAGATTAAGTAGTCAGTCACAAATCAGTTTTGTGATTGTAATTTCTTCTTGCCGAGTTTGAACACCAGCAGTAGAGTTATATCCACCAGTTGGAGAGGAACGTCAAAAAATTCACCCGTGAAATGTGCCATTAACTTTCCTGTTAGTGCTGGTTTTTACCATGACCGAAATGGAGACGGAATTATTGTCGAGATGAATAAGAGAAGATGAGCCTCGGAAACCAAAACTATTGTCACGCATTAGAACACCCGTAAAGAAAGTGCACTTATAAAACAGCAGTAACTGACAACAGTCAAGAGCAAGATTTCACAAGCATGAAGTTGAACAACAAAGAAAATCCAGTCATTACTCGTGAAGAAAACAATAAACACCCAGAAAAAATGTCTACTATTACCTGTGAAAAACATGAAGAAAACGAGGAACGTTCAGTCAAAGGAGCTGAGAAGAAATTCCTTCCAGACAATGACAAAGATGACGAGGACGATGTATTTGAAGTTAAAATGCGGAAAAACAGAAAAAGTTCGAATCGAAGTCAGAATTGTGGTGGGGATGGGATTCGAAATAATTCCGTTACTTCGTCATCTTCATTTCTTAATTCGAAGACATATTCAAGTTCCACTCTGAGTTTAAATAAAGGCTCGATTTTTCCCACGGGTCGGAAAAAAGATTCAATTTCCATGTCCTTGTCGAGAGGCGGTGGGTCGGATGGAGAGGACAATGTTAAGATTACTGGATATCTTGAGAAGAGATCTAAACTGGTATGTAATAATAATATGCATGTAGGAGTAGTATATACGTAATTGGGAGTAAGTGCTTGTAGAATGATCATAAAAACACATGAATTGACGTGCTGTCAATTTAGTAAACTACCAAAGCGCTTAAAATTATACCTTATGTGTATATTTTCAGACTAAAAGATAGAAATTGAGGTAAAAAAACAATGATGGATATGCATCAAGTGAAGGACGAGCAGGATGATAAAAAATGTCATGTCACACAGAATAGAATGTTTGGCTTTACATAAATGAAAAGGACAGGAAGTGCTAAATATCAAGCAAAATGCAGAATAAAAGCAACTAAAAATGTACAAAAAACAAGTTATAATGAGTGACACGAACACAAAGCATTTATAAATTAAACTCTGCATGATCCGTTCCAGACGCCTATCAATTTACTCAACTTTTAATTTTAGCTTATTTCAACGAATTTCGTGCACATATCGCATTTCCATCACGAAATTATCCTCATTTAATCGCACGTTGGCTAGTTGGTTGCTAACTTTAGTGGTAGAAAAATACTTCATAATATCAAGACTGCAGGTATACTTTTTAATTTAAATTTCATTGCCTCCTGTGGGTACAACTAATTAACCAAGTCAAGGACTTAAAATGCAGTTGTATAATTACCTTGCATTCTAATTAAACCAATCTCCGAGATTGCATATTACTTACCTTAATGAAAACTAGATATTATTACGCTAAAATCGTAATAAACTTGTAAATAGCAAATAATTTAAAACGAAGGCAGCATAAATATGCATCTAGCAGCGTAATACCAGAAACCCAAATAATTCACCTACATATACATTTTATAAGTATGTATCTAACCTCTCGGCAATTATTTATTAGTAATACTTTCGTTCCTTCGTTACAAATCTTCCTACAAAATGTTCAACTAACCATGAAACGTAATTGACCATGATACTTTAATGCTTTTTACACCTCCCTTTGATCAGAAAGATCGCCGCAACTTTTTTTTTACAAGTTGAACACAAGTATCATCTCGACTAATGTAGGATCAAAAAATCCTACGAAGAAATCCAAAGTGCTGAGTGGTGGTCGAGCTATATGTATGTACTTATATACAAATTAGTATTTAGGTAAAAGCATAGCAAGCAATGATAAATAAACCATATTTCAATAGATTGTGCTCATTCGGATTTTGAATTGATAACACACACACCACACCACAGACAAAAGTATAATGATGTTTAATGAAGGAAAACTTTAAACTTTCTTATTAAAAGCATACTACCAAACCAGGCATCTCTTCTTCTTTTCGAAAGAATAATGCCCATGCATATACATGGCAGACTAAGAATAAAAGTGTCACAAAATAAAAATATGCATGCATGTACAATGGACAACAAAAACTTGTTGAAATTTATTAAAATGAAAGATGGAAATCATGACTGTTCCCACTTCTCACTTTTGATTGTTCGAAATTTGACAAGTTTTTTTTTCTGCATATACTTTAAATTGTTGTTGCTTTGCTTTTGCTACCACCTAATGTTTCAGTTTGAAAAGCAAACCAACTTGCAGAGAGACCAGACCAGATCAAATTCATATTTCGTTGAATCGAGTAGGTAACCTAAATTTGAGGCTGATGATGAGAAGTTAAAAATCATTTCTAATATTTCACGCTATGTGTAAAAGGATGATGAGATGAAGGCTCGGTTAAGCATGCAGCCCAACTTAAATAACTTCTTCTTCTCAAGTCTGATTTGTGTTGTTGAAGATGCTGATTAAGACTGAACTGATGATCATGAGAGGATGGGTTGCTTACGTCGAATTGCAGTCCCTGTTTTTGAAAGTGACTAAAAAAACGTGTGAGCAGCACCAGATGTTGCAGATGATTATTAATTTAGCTTTTTGTTCGAGATGTGCAATGAAAAAAGATGCGTGTGTGTGACAATGGCCACGCCACGCCACGCCACAAGGCAAGAATTAAAGATAACATGAGACTAGGAATCTCTCTGGGGGAATATCTTAAGTGTGGCATCATTCGTATGTGGGCATGATTATCTTTACTACGTACTTGAGGAGACTCTAAAATAAAGTAACATGGGAATACATGTTACGATTGTTATGATGAGATGAGCAGCTTAATATACTTACGAATTTAGTACACGTTCTTTAACGACTTGACGAGATTGTGGGAATTTGAATCCCGTAAGAATTGTAATTAGCATATAGTTCCCATGTCATTTGTGATAGATGTGAATGCTAAGTGAATCAGGAACAATAAACCTGGATCAGGGGATGCAAACTAATTATTTATTTCGGACGATTCGATTACATATTTTTAATATTAATTAATTAAGATGCGCGACAAATAGTTTATCGTTAATGTCACTAATTTGGATAATCATTGTGACAAATGTTCACACTCCAATTTATTATTTCAGGATCACATATGCAGATTAACACGGCTTATTGTCTTCATTTCATCTATTTTAAGACATTAAAAAGTAACTCGTTACACAATTTTTTTCCAGTCATTCCAGTAAAAAATATTTATGTACATGAATCCATATTCAACATTTGTCCTAATGGGTAAACGGGATTTCCTTTGAATGACACAATCCCTAGGTCTTTGTCAGAAATGATTGCAACCTTATCGCTTTTTTATATGCTTCATGATATGCCACGCCACATTCAACTCGTTTGGTATGTGCCCAGCTAAAACGTGTACCACGCTCATATTCGTATTCATGCAATATTTATTCTGTCAAACGGTCTGTAACTTGATAGTTTGTGCAGTACTAACTTGCATGCAAATGAACAATACACATCATTACCGAGTGAATATCATTTCACTAAACATTGGAATAAACACAATAAAATAAAACATATTGGTGGTATGTATATTAACTCATGACTAATAACTCTTATTGCCAAAAGAGCATTATGCGTGTCGATAAGTTAAGCGAGTGGGTGGTTGGTTGGTTTTAGACTAAAATAAGCCATTCTATAATAAAACAGCAATAGATATTTCCACAGTTTGCAGTAATTTTTCGTGGTCAACTTTCCTCCTCCTTGGTGTCGTCGTATTATGTAAATTTTGTTAGAACGGAAGAGGTATTACTTGTTCGTCACGGCTTCATATTAAATAAATTGCGGTTTAGGACGGTGATAAGATTTGTAATGTTACTTTGTCAAGTGTGTTTTGCAAATTATTAATATCCGACTCTTAATAAATGTTTATAATTTCAGCTTGGTTGGAAAAAATTTTGGTTCGTGCTGGATGGGCGATTGTTGGCGTATTACAAGTCAAAATCAGACTATGATGGTTTGTCAGTTTGCTGCGGATCTATAAATTTAGGAATAGCTTCAACCGTTAGACCAATTCAAATACGAGGGTGTAAAGGATATCCGATACAGATTGTGACCCGATCTCAAGTCTACTATTTGGTGAGAAGTCTTATACATTTTAATTATGATCTGCCCATATGTAATTTCGACATATTTGGGTTATTGGCCTGTTCAACAAGTCGCCACTTGAAATGTTCAATCTGGTTACAGAAATCCCCAGACAAACAGATCTTGGAACAGTGGCTTCTCGCCATTCAAGAGGCTGCATCTTCACTTCCTTCCAAGATATCTTTGCCAGTCTTTTGTGATCCTGGATCACAGTTTTATAGATATTCTTTCGCTGCTTCGTCTCAATGGGTAAATCTATTAATCCATATGAACAAAACTATCATAAACACATTTTATGAGGCATGATGAGATGCTCACCTAAATAAATTCTCAAGATGTGACGTCTTGTTTATTTATAATGCGATGAACAAGAAACACGAATGAAACGTTTGGCTGTTTTGTCAATACTGCATCAAATCTTGAACTAATTTGGATAATATTTTTGTTTTCCAGTCTTTAAACACATCTTGTGACGACATTACCGAAACCTTGAGTAAACTTCCACTAAACTTTTACTTGAAAGGAGCAGACCCAGTGAGGAACCTGCCACAGAATAATAATTTGCAAAAGTGTCACAGTTTCGCATCCTTACAATCGCCTTCATTATACTCAACCATGTCTACCTCCTACAAGGACAAACTGAACAATAACTCCTCCATGAAGAAGAAGAAGTCTGCTGCTCTCGAGGCGGAGGATGTCTCAAAAATCGCAGGAAAATACCCAGCAGGGTGTCAAAATCAACAACAATCCTCCGCTGCTGGTGCTCTTAAGGAGGAACTCGTACGGAAATTATCGTCAATTTCCGTGGGAAAAACTGGAGAAAGTGAAACGGTGAAGCCATCAACGGTTTTGACCAAACCCAAGGCTAAAAGTGAATTGCCATTCTTAATCAATCCGCACCAGGGTGAACCCCATTATTACGATGAGATTGTGGATTTTGAAGCAATTTACGAAAATTTCGAGTCAAACAGTGACTCTAGTGGTGAAAGCAGTGTCAGAAACAGTGTCAAGTCCGGTGGTGGTGGTGGTGGCGTCGATTCAGCAACACTACTGACGAAAGAAAAGGATGCAAATTCCGAACAAACTACGCAAACTAATGCAAACGCAGAAAAGGTTGTTCATATAATCGATACTGAAATTTATGAAAGCGTTGACTCGTCTATCGATGAAAACAATGGAAGCAATAACAATGCCAATAATAATCTAACAAAAGACGTGAAAAATAAACATAACTCTGAAATACGTATTAGTTCTGGTTCTAATCACAAATCATCAGAGAGTAGCAAAAATAGTAAATCAAAGGACTTTAACACTGATCAGGAACGGGAACGAAGTCAATCGCTAAGTATTAATCACAATTCTGGATCGAAAAAGGGCAGTAAAATTATTGGTCCCAAAGTCACCACGGGTCAAGTTCAGCAACCATTATTCATGGAACAAGAGAGAAAATTGTCCATCGATTCAGAATCATCCAGTATAACTTCAAGCAAAGAAAATATTTCTGATGGGAAGTCCAAAAAACGAAAGAATAAACCGTTTGGGGGCTTCTTTCACAAAATGTTTCATAAAAGTAAAAAGTCCAAGGATAAAAATGCACCAAATTCTACGGGAAATCTGGTCATTACTGGTCCAATTGATCTCCGGAGCTTGCACAGTGATTCTGCACTTAACAGGCCTACCAACTTGTCAATTGATGAAGCACGAAAAAATAATTCATTAACTAGAAATGCTTCGCCTGGAAGTACGGAAGAACATAATGTGATTGACGAACTGAAAGTGAAAGTTGAACGAAATCACCACGCTCTTCCCCTCACTTCAGTCGCAGACCATATTCTGTCCAAAGTTGCGCAACAAAATGATGATGCTGATGACACCGACGGTGGAGCTGATAACAATACAAAGAAAAGTGCAATGGTGCAACGTTCCAACACCATTACAAGCACCTGCCGACCCAAAATTCCTCAAAAGCCAAAAATATCTCCTATTAATACCACTAGCAATGCTAACGTTCCGGTCGCGGTAACCCCCTCAGACGAAAATAACGACCTCTTCCTCACAGAACCTGTCGTTCATCGGAGAAAGAACTCACAATCTGAAGACTTTCAACAAAAACTTGCAAAATTCAATCGCTTATCGGAACGACTCAGTTCCACTTTCGCAACTGCATTGACTTCAACTCCTGCAACGCAATATACAGCAATCGCGAGATCTCGGTCATTTAAAATTCAGAAAGGAAAAGATGACTGCCTTCCACCTTTACCCCCTAAAAAGAAAAATTCCACTTCAAGCAATGCAGAAAAAAACTTTTACGATTATCCCACAAATAACCGTCCAGTCCCTCCAGTTAAGAAAGTGAAAGGTTCCCCTGTATCCAAAAATAATAAAGAGGAAGCAACAACTGAACAAGTCGCCGATGATAAAAATGACGACGAGGTAGATTCTTCCATATCCAAGAGCTCTACGTTTATTCGCAGTCTTCACAAGAAGAATTCAGCCCCTGACATATTGTTTCCAAGCTCGAATTCTGGTTCTGGAGATTCTGCTCGAAGTTCTAAGGAGGGTGAGACGGACAATGTCTTCGAAGAGATTCTTTGCCCACCTCCCATTCCCCCAAAAGTCAAAAGCAGTCCAAATTTAGGAAGCCCTTCTCTCCCCGTGAGGAGCATTAGTCCAACTCCAGTGATACAGGAATATCATGTTCCTTCGTCCTCAAAACCAGTGAAAACTGGTGAACCACCAGTATTAATTTGCGATGTGACATCGTCACCAACTGACAACAAAGCTGATGTTGCGATAAAATCCCTTGATACCCACAAAACTTCTGATACTTTGACTCCAGTTGTAGCCGATTCAACTATGAGACCAAATTCCCCCAAACCAGAACTACAGGTATCACCTGAAATTAAGGAGGATGCAAAATCAATTACTATCGTCCAAGAACAAAAAACCCCAATAGAAAAGAATGCGGTTTATCAAAACTTAAAATTTGCTACGGTGAACACTCTAGTCCAAGAATATGAGACGGTACAAAAACATACCTACTTTTTTATTTACATAATGTTCATTGGCTTAATTTAATTGGATAATATTTTTGCAGGTGGAAGAAACTGAAGATGAAATTGCCGAAATGTATGACGACTTTCCCTCCGAATATTCTGGGGGTGGTTCCCACACATACGAATCCATCGATAGTCCCTTACCTCAGGAACACCACACTAATTTTACAACCACCCCAAAACTTATACGACACTCAGGAATGGATGAACTCCAAACATTTTTAAATTCAGAGATTACAACATCATCATCACCACCTGGGGAGTATTCCTTCCCCACAGAAAAAGCTGTATTTCATCACTACGATAACGTCGATGAGGGCGATGATGTTTTTGACAGGTCAAAAAAACTACCACCCACGCCCACGCAGATCAGAGCCGGCGCTGTCAGTAGACTTGGACATAGCTCAGCAATCGATCAATTAAAGAAAATGGTTAATAATTAAGTGCTAATTGTGCAAGCAGTGATGTACCATATAATACAAAATTTTGATTTTTGCAGTGTACTTTAATTATTCTGTAACATCATTTATTATGTCACATAAATAATGAGAGCCATTGTGTTAATAAATTCTTGACTATGCTATTTATTCAACATCAATGTACCAGAAAATGCTTATCATTATGCATTCATTGTCGAAATGAAATCATGAACTTTTCACCGTTTTTTTCATGCATAAACGCCAGAAATGCGATTTATTTGTTGTATGACATGAAAAGTGTACAAATTAGATCTAGATACATGATTCTTGAGCACTTACTGCCCCGACTCGGCGGGGAACGAATAATTTCATGCAGATTTTTTGCCGAGTTTGATACTGAAATAAAATAAATTTATTTTTTACACTTTATCATCTCTATTTATATCACTTATAAATTACCACTTGTCACTGGATTTCGAAAATGGGTGCAAGACGATCGGCTATGCTGCTTGCAAATCAGTTTATTAATTTCAAGTCATCACACTTATCGCTACCATCATCTTTAAAACCACAGCAATTTTTAGCGATGGGGACAACGGTTTTGTCCAGAGGTGTGAAAACGACAAGCACAATTCATCCCGAACCGGTACATCAAGATGACGAAAAGGTCTTGGAGAAAGTGCTCAAGGAGCGAGAAAATTCAGAGGATTTGGTAATTTATTATATGTTAATTGAAGTTTGCATAAATATACTATGCACTAAATGGCACTAATGCACTTTGACCAGATTTTATTAACAATCATTTACTTTATCAGCCAGAATCAATGATGGCAAATCCATACGAAAGACCAAGAAAGATTTGCATTTTATGTAAGCACGGGATAGAACCAAACTATAAAAACGTACGACTTCTCTACCAATTTGTTTCGCCATACACTGGAAAAGTTTACGGAAGACATATCACCGGACTTTGCAAAGATAAGCAGGAGAAAATGGAAGTTCAAGCAATTGTAGCCAGCAATTTAGGTAAGTAAACAAGCACAGTTCGTAGTCTTCAATAAACTAGTCATAGTCATATTGCACTGGTATTTTATCATGATTTTTTGATAGGACTCATGAGCAACTATTTGAAGGAACCAGAATTCTTAAAGGACCCAAAATTATGTGACCCAGATCGTCCTCTCAGGCCTCACAACTATTAGTATGTTAATGAGTAGTATCCTAGTCGTATGTACTAATTTTTACAATGACGCAAATTTTTTGTTGGTATCATTTAAAATTTTCTTTCTTCAAAAAACTTGTCTGTTATAAATTATCATTACTGTTTAAATCGGCAATAAAATATACATGATGTTGTACCAATAATTACCATTTCTTATGATAAATTATTAATCAATATACTAGTGTTGTAGGTAATTATCCCCACCCGTCTTTTTCAGTTTAGGAAATATATTATGCTACCACTAGAATTTGTAAACAGGTTTTTATTAGTTTTGTATAACCAGCACTTACTCAATACAATATAATGATACCACGTTTTGATCATTTTCACTTCCTACGAACATCCAAAAAATTCTTCCTGCCGTCGTTGTTGGCACAATCCCTGGCTCTAATCTCATTATTGTTATCTAAAATTTGAAACTAATTAAAAATCCAATTAAAGCATTAAGCGTGGGCTAGTGGATGAATCATAATGACAATAGCACAGTTCAGCCTCTTGTTTTAACAACAATGTGCAATAGTAGGTCTGTATATTTATTTATGCCGACATAAATTTTCTGTGGCATCAATAAGACCTCCGCATCAGGCCAACATTTAACAACAATGGTCATACTTTTTAAGATTCATAATCTCATCTCATCTCTGCCTGGTTCGCTTCTCAACCATTATGCAAAATATAACGGTTTATGCAAAACACTCATTTCATTTCATAGAGGACTCACTCAATTGTTTAAAATCAGGCTCAGGTCTCATCATCAACAGCAAAAACTCGCAGTAAGTATTAATAAAATGCAAGTATGAGTAATGAATACGAATTCATATTCCTGCTTCCTTTACCAAATTTCTTATTAGCCATCGATCATTTTGCCAAGAATTGGTCGCTCGCTACAGTAAATCAGCACAACACGCCCCTCGCATTGCTTTATTGGAAATTGCACTTTTGAAACAATAATTTGTCAAAAACATAGCTCACGATTTTTACTCCACTTTACACACCGCGTCTCTTTACCTAATTTAAGTAAGTTCCTTTCCTTCCGTCATAACCATTTTTCATTCATTATCCCCGACTCATGCACGATACCACTAAAAAGGAGAATTCTCATTTTGCAAAGATGAATGGTCTCTTTAGTGGTTTGTAAGTAGTGTAGTAGTAGTAAGTTTGTAAAAATTTTACTACAGCCAGGCCAGCCCTATCATATCGTCATCATGAACCTGTTTCTTCTTGTAGAACCGACCGACTCGTCTTCTAGACCACATTTCATCCATGCCGTGATATAATAATAAGATAATTTTGCAAAACATTATATAGCCATATAACAGCCTCTTTTTCTCCTTGGGGGCTCATCTCCTGACTGACACACGTATACGCGTAGTATTTCAAAGAGCTTTATGTCATGCCAAAATAGGTAAATTGGTTCCGCATTCATATCCTTAGTCCAAGCAAGCAAAATACACTGGCTTCACAAGACTTTTTCATAGCCACACAACCATTCAAGACAACAGAAATATAAGTATTATTAACAGTGAATTCTGCACGTATAGTTTGTATACTTTTTACAGTCCCCGACTTTAAAAGACTACTGGTTAATAGAGGGACTGCTTTTGGCTGGGTACATACATATTAAAAACGTCTTTATACCTGAATTTGCAGTCAGTCAAGCCGCACCCCACACCGTGTGCAAATGTAAAAGCGTTTAATTGCGTGCAGGTGATAGTTTTTTTCTAAACAAGACCTCACAGCAGTAAACAGATTGTGACGGTGACTGCCAGGGAGTAGGTGTCATTAGCTCATTGTTGCCAGACAGTGGGATACAGAGTAATGTGACACATCACAATATTGCATTGTAGTGATTTCTCATAGTTTTCGGGAAATTTTCAAGTGAAAGTTGACAGTTTGTGAAATGCATATCGTATGAAAAACAAATCAGCGTTCGATTGAGTTGAGATTTGAGCAGAGTTGAGATTGAGATTGAGAGAAGCGGATTTGTGAGGATACAAATTACGTAAATAAACAAACATTGAGCATCCAAAAATCACAAGTTCATAAAATTGCAAAATAAATGAGACGAGACGGTTATAATTTTTGAATTGTATGGATTTCCAGACCAACATGAAGTGATTTTCGAAATTATTGTGTAATTGCAACTGCCAGACAGCACTGTTATGTGAAAAAGTGTCTAGAGATTAAAAGATACGGTGATTTATAGTAATAATTTTGCAGAAATGGATCAAATTGAGCCACAGGTGAAGCAAATGCTGAATGGGGGTGGAAACACTGAAGACATTACGTACTGCGATTTTACATTGGCTGATCAAAATGAAGCGTTGGGTAGTTAGAACAATGATTACATGTTACGTACGGTGTTTAATTGCACTCATTTTAATTTTGTTGCAGCATCCAAGGGCGTAGGGTCCTCCGGTCCGACAGATTTTGTTCCCATCACCAAGAAGACGGTCACATATATCGTCGCAGCGGTTTTGGTCAACGAAGACAATGAGGTCCTAATGATGCAGGTAAATTATTAATCAATATCACACCCTGCAAATATGTCATCCAAAAAAAGTATCGTTAATTTTTTGGCTAATTTTCAGGAAGCCAAGCCGTCATGCAGTGGCCAATGGTACCTTCCTGCTGGGAGGATGGAACCAGGAGAAACGATTCAGGAAGCGGTCAAACGTGAAGTTCTTGAAGAAACTGGCCTTGACATGGAACCAACGACTCTTTTAATGGTAGAATCTGCAGTCGGTAAGTTGGTTTCATTCATGTAACGAAATATTAATGATTATAATGATACTATAAATGGTTTTTGTTTCAGGTTGTTGGTTTCGATTTGTATTCACTGGAACGGTTATCGGTGAGTTTTGTAAACATCAAAAATCGAAAGTCAGAATATATATATATGAGAACCCAATTTGAAATTTAGGTGGAAGGCTAAAAACAACTGCCGAAGCAGACAAGGAGTCATTGCAAGCTCGGTGGGTCAAAGATGTCACAGAGATTCCATTAAGAGCTAAAGACATTCTCCCATTGATAGAAAGAGGTTCGTTCGTACACACAAGCTAATTGCTTAAAGATAATGTTTATACTGAAAATGGCAAAAATCGTGCAGGGCTGGAATATCACTTGAACAGAAATGAACCATGGCATTCTAAAATCATGCCAGTTTTGGTTGGTCGCACCAAATTGTACATGCGCATAATCGTTGCAGTTCGCAAGAAGTCAAAGTAATAATTAGTAGCATTACATAAATCAGTTTAAAATACTAAACAGTGGTTAATCTGGTCGGTGTCTTTATTTTTTCAGCAACAAAGTATCCGTACTTGTAGGAGAAAGAAATCACTGTCATCTTCCAATTTGTGAAATTCACCCCCAGAAGAGCTTACATTCCACTTTGAGGAAATACATGAACGTACGACGAAAGCTTAATAAAAAGATAATAAATTAGACCTAGAGAGCGAAAAAATTAACGTGGATTGATTGTATGTATCTAGGAAATTTTCGGAGCAGATTTACCCCCACACCGACCACATGGAATTCTTAGTGTTGAGTACAATGGGAAACCTCGCGATACCCATGACGGTATGACTCTGAATCTTCTTGTGTCTGTCCGTCAACCGCTGGAAGACGTAAGTATCATGGCACAATATTATATAATAGAACATATAAGCAGGATAAGCTTTCAGTAAATTCTTTCTGGTATACACACAGGTTGTCATAATTGACAAGTACACATGGAAAGAAGTAGGATCATCGGTTGGAGACGAACTACTTCGCAGGATGGGGAAAAATCTGACCATTCCCCTTCACGTAATTTAACAATTTTATTGCTACAGATCGTATATATCACTCTAACCCTAATTTCTGCAGGTAATCCGATGAAAGACATTCCAGCTACATCCACAATTTTCTGTAACTGCCAAATTACGTACCAATCTTTATGCAATTGACTATATATCTTATTGTAAATCGGGAAGGGGTTTTCTCTTACTTAAAATCAAATCGTCGGTCAGGTGATTGACAGACAGTTTGGCCAAAGCCGATTTGGCGAAAATAAATTTTCGCCAAAGTGGTAAAAATATTATGATGAAAATCCCGGATGGCGAAATTTTTGTCACATATGGCGAAAATGAAAAACTCGTAAAAGCACATTTGGCGAAATATAAATTTCGCATTTATTCATGTCAAACGCCTTAAAATTAACACAATTGCATATATAAATTATTAAATAATTCAAATTCCAGAAAATTAGGACTTATAGTCTGGAGCGCTTCTGGCAAGTTTGGATAACCAAGTTACAAATTTTTCATGATTTGCCGAGTCCTATACTTACTCATTACTTCGCGAAAAAAGTGATTCAATCTCCGATATTTTTTCCTTTGTAACTTAGGTAGGACTGTACCGCTATCAATTTTATAAAGAATATGCTCAATAGCATTTTGCTCGCGCCGTAGACAGTCATAAATTTCCAGATGGGTGGTTTATGAACCCTAATTCTTTTCTGGAACTTATTGTGCCAGCCTTCTACAAAATTAGATGTACGCGGAATTCTTACCTTCGAACGTTCATGGACGTTCCACAAGGCTATTGGAAAAATTGCTGGTTTACATGTAGTACCTATATAAACACACTTAAAGTATTCAGCAAGTGGCATCAGCATTGGATCTAAGTTTGCAACAACATGAGAAAATCTCTTGGCGACATCCTTTACAGGGACGAACGCTAAGCATGAGAGAAACTTAATTTGCTCTCTAATTATTGCATCATTCTGGTAGCATGATTGTAGGCCTAACTCCTGAGCTTTTCTGAAAATACTCTGACAGAGATGGAACCAACATCCGTAAACGTGTTTCGATTAATCATTCGTCCGATCGTATCATCCAAAGGACAAACGGATTGAGCTCGTAATGATCCGGTTGAAATGGTCTTATCCATAATATCTTGGGCAGACAAGGAAGGTTCCTTTCGAGCTAACTGTTTTGCTTCGCATTTTAATATTTCTGCCTCAGCCCCCCTGAATGTATTAAAATATATTTTCACATATGTACATATGTTTCAATACAATCATGACTTACTTTGCAAAATCAGGTGGGTGTGAACAATGTTCCCCATCATCAGTCCAAAACTTTTTGCATTTGAGAAAAACACCTTCCCGTTTAATTAGAGAAGCACTACATTCGCTTCTTTGAGTACAGTAGTAGTAGTTTGAAATAATGCCCACTTTATTCGTCACACACTTTCGCCGAGAAAATAGATATCCAGCGTAACTAACCATAAAAGTATTTTCTCTGCTGGTGAACTCAATAAATTCAGACATGATCTTTGTTGGACTGGGGAAGGTGACTGAAAGTAAAAACATAATTGAGGAGCTGAGAAGGGGAAGATTAACATAGTCCAGCGATAACGTGCTTATGCAAGTACATTCAGATATGAAAATGAAGAAAATATGTAAATTCTTGTGGTATTATCTTTATGATTTAACATACTCATAAAATCTTCATTTTCGCCAAATGTGACATTTTTTTCGCCAAAAGGTACTTTGAAACCCTTGGTCTAAGAATTTAGTAAAGTGGGTGAAATTTTTTTTTCGCCAAGCGGGATTTTTTTTTGGCGAATTTTTTTCGCCAAACTGTCCGACTTCCGGTCAGGTCGCGTGCAAACGTTACATAAATATGAAAATACATTATTGCTATTCCGTGAATGACTTGTATTTATTTATTTTATGTCCCCGTGATAATGAGAAATTAATGACAAATCAGTAATTAGTAAACAAGATTATAGTAGAATTAATATGAAATGAATGAAATAAAGTTGTCTGGCTCGACCATTACTGAATTAATTACGATTACATATACATATATTTAGTTAATTAATTATGACTCTTGAGCTGATGCTGGTGGTGATATAATATAGTTCTGAGCAACACCAAATAGTATTTTTAAGGCAAACCGGCCAAACTATTTATAACTTTCAGAGAGTATTTACGAATAAGACCGTCTCTGCATGCACTGTAAATGAAATCCAGGTCATTTCTAAGTTGATACACAGGATCACAATCTGGTCCGGTTAATTGAATTACTTTCGAGCAAGGCTGAATTGAAGGGTTAATGAGGACACATGTCCCATCCCCTTTAGATGCCCAAAAGGAAGATATATTACTGTCAGTCTTATGTGGGTGTATCAGTAAGTCCAGAATTGGAGAGCTCGTGGGCGATAAAATCTTAATTGGTTGCGACAGGCTATTCAATTGAAATACGAGAATTTCGCCTCCCTGACATCCTCCAGCAAAACTATTATAACCTACTTGCACCACTCGATTAACAGCACTTGGTAAAATACACGTGAATAATTCTTTTCTTGCAGCGACGCTAACACCGCTCACTTTTCCATCTTCACGACCAACGACTAATAATTTTCCTTTTGTACCAACTTCTCGGTCACCTATTTTAGTGAGATAAAATTACTCAAAATTACGTTGTAAATTATATATATAAATCTGCTAAATATAAAGAATGCTATTATTACTCATAGTTTGTATCGGATTTCCAAGTTCATAGTTCGTCGGTGCCATAAGTATGCACGAATTTATTGCCGATTTACAAGAAAAAATAGTTGCAAGGCACTTTGCTTCCCCACAATCCCATAATCTAGCACTTCCGTCCCTAGAAAAAGTAGCAGAACAATAGTTGTTAATTGCACAATGTTCGTAAAAAATAAACAAACATACTTTGACACAGAAATTATATTCCTTCCCCGATCCACTATGCAAACCTCAGCAATAGGTCCAGTATGGCCTTTAAACGTGACAGGGCAATCTCCCGTTTCAGCCGACCAAATTTTGATGCAACAATCCGCACCTCCACTCAATATGCTATACAAACACTTACTAAGTAGTTCGCTTAAATATAAATTGACAATTATTTGATCGCTTACACAACTCCAGATGGGAAGAATCGACATGTATAAGCGTCAATAAGATGTCCTTGCAGAACTCTCTAATTTTGCAGTAAAAATAAAGTTAAGTCAAATCATACCATACCAAACCAAATTACATTCAAAACGCACCCTAACGTTTCCAGTGTCAGTCTCCCAAATTTTGAGCTCGTTATTTTTGCAAATGGAAACACCCAGCCCCCCTTCGGAAACGTCCATTGCAATGACACCCGCCTTGTGCACCTTCCCAAGTGCTGAGGACGTTGCCACAAAAACGCATTCTTGTCCGTCTGGAACATTTTGCAGCGTGAGGAACCTCGACGATGATTTTTCTTTTACCACGACGAATGGAAAGCTTCCTATCGTATCAGAATTTGAGGCTGTCCTTCTCAACTCGCTTTGGACCGACTTATCTAGAAGAATTACAACAATCCAGTATTGTTCATTCAATGCATGCATTTTAAAGCAAGTAACTTCAAATTTTGCATTTGAAAACATGTTTATAACTTCACCTTGCCCATGGGTTCTGACGCTAACCCAGCATTTTCCTTCCGTACTAGCACTTATAAAATGGAACAACGTAAGTATTTTAAATGCAACCTTAACAAGGAGTTTACAATTAAGTAGAAAAAATACCCCAGCGCATCCTCCCAATCACACTGAATTCCAAAGTGACTGAGCGTTATTACATTCTCCATCACTGGATCAAACTCAACCTTAACTATTCAGAAAAATATGAGTGTTCTCTCATTGAAAGCTACAATTTAATTAATTGATTAATTGTTGATTTGTCGCTATTGTCAGTCAAGTCACAGTTCTCATAGTGGTTTCGACTGAGAGTTTGGCGCTGTGCTCCCGAATCACTTCAAATTATGTCAATAAACACAAAAAGCAAAACTGAGATTTCATTTCTGGATTGATTAAATAACAAAAACATCTTTCTTCCATCGTCATCTGGTTTTCGATTTATCTGATTCTGAACCTTTTAAGCAACAATTATTTAAAATATTTAGTATATTAATGTAAAATACAAAGACAGGGGTACACTGGTGGACGACGATGAGATAAGGAAGTAATAAAGATGCACATAAGTAGTTGTTTAAGATAAAAGAAATTTATTTTGATTGGCTAGATGATTAATTTAATTTAAAATTTTCCAATTTTGTTTACAGCAGGTTGGCTGGATATCCTCCTCCATCCATGGAATACAGTGTGTAGTGACAGCAATTAACTAGGTCATCTTCCAAACTGGAAGTTCCAACAAAACTAAAGTATAAAGGGATAGCCGCGCTGTAGCTCTGCCAACTGACTTTCAGTAGTAGTAGTAGTAGACTTTCTCCTGCAAGTGAGAGTCTAGTTACAACGAGGCAAATAAAGGGATATTGATTCTACATTAGAATTTCGAATTTGCTTCCGTACACCCAACGTCTTCAAGAATGAAGAAAATTAACAATTTTGCCCATTATCAGGGCCGTCGTCAGATGGATGTAAGTTATAATACTCGATTAATTTGGATGGATATAGTACTCAATTACATTATCAGTATGCTTAATTAATAATAATTACTTGTGGTTCAGAACCGATTCAACAAAACTATTCAGGAGAATTTTATTGTGACACCAAATCTGATACAAAGATTGGGATTATCTCGAGAATTGGATGGGCATACGGGATGCGTCAATTGTTTGGAATGGAGTTCGGACGGCAGGTTGGGAATATTTCATTCTGTGGGTTTATTCAATATTAATATTGGATATTTTTCTGTAGTATTCTTGCGTCTGGAAGTGACGACGTTCAGGTTATTCTGTGGGATCCATTAAAGAACAAAAAGTTGGCAACTATTCCAACTGGACATACTGGAAATATTTTTTCTGTGAAGGTATCAATTTCACTAATACACTTGATTAGTGTTTTAAAATTGTTCAATGACCATTACAACTGAATGAACGTATCTCAGTTTCTTCCAAACTCTGATAACAAAACCGTGATAACTGGGGCAGCTGACCAAGCTGTACGAGTCCACGACGTGCCATGCAGGTAATGAAAAAATAATTAATCAATGCAAATAGATTTGACTTTTGCAATCCATTTACAAACTCGCCAAATACATGACGGTATACACGTGTAATACATAAAATTTAAAAACATCTTTTACAGCGATATACTTCGAGTCTGCACATGTCACACGAATCGAGTCAAAAGATGCGTTACTGATCCCATTTTACCAAATGTATTCTGGAGTGGAGGAGAGGATGGCGTCGTCATCCAGCATGATTTAAGAACATCACACAACTGTCCAGCCCCAGAAGTTAAGAATGAAAGGAACGTTTTAATCGACCTTTGTCCATTTCTGGGTTCTAAAGCTGAAGTTAAATGTTTGGCAATCAATCCAATGAAAACGGAGCAGATTGCAGTGGGAGCAAACGATCCATATGTGAGGATTTATGACAGAAGGATGATCAAATTAGGAAAGAATACTTGGCAAAATGAGGATGGAGCTGTGCAATACTTTGTTCCAGGTGAGAAAATATATATCCAATGTCATTAAATGTTTTTGCAAAATTTGTATGGAAATTAATCTCGAGTCAATCAAATTCTTAGGGCATCTTCCCTCTAAATTCGTCGAGTACAAAAAGAACTATCGGTCCTTGGTAAGTCGAACTATAAACAATCAGGCTGATCGGCAAATAGCAAAGTCTAAACTTCTTGTTATAACAAATAATGAATGGGCATCATACTTATGCAGAAGCAAACTGCCTGCATATATGTTGATGTTGATTCACATTTTTACAAAGGATAAGTTAATGTTATATTTTTGTTTTTGAAGGCCTCAACATATATCACATTTAGTCCAGATGGTAAAGAACTTTTGGTTAATTTGGGAGGAGAGCAGATTTACTTGTTCCCATTAGTAGAAGAATGGCAGAGCGAAGTTTGTAATTTGGTTGTACCTGATATGAAAGGATATGCAAATGGCTGTAAGTTTTTCACGATTTATACGCATAGTTAAATGGCCATAATTTCAGTGAATGTGACATTTGTTGTTTAATTTTGAAACAGTTAAAGACACAGCAAATGGATACAGTCATAATAACGGGTTCAAAAATGGAACCTTAACCAACAATGAATCAGCATATTTGGATATTATGCGTGGAATGCGTCGGACAAGAAAACCAGCAGAGAAAGTTGTTCTTCCTGCAGCAGTTCAAGAAATTCAGACTGCGGTATGCCTTATGCACGATGTAACACTCCAACGTGTAATTTACTCATTCTCGGTTGTTATACTAGGCCAGCAAAGCATTCGAAGAGAAAAATTATTCAAGGGCTATACATTTGTTTAATGAGGCGTTGAGCATTTGTCCCGATTCTGCACTTCTTCACGGGCATCGATCAGTAGCATTGCTAAAACGAGAATGGTATGAAATGTCTTGCAATTTTAATAAATTCAGATCGATATTAAATAGCATTGTGGAACTTTTAGGGATGGAGACTCGTATGCTGCTTTTAAGGATTGCCAAGTTGCCTTCTACCTGGATCCTGAATACCATAAAGTCCTATTACGGTAATTTATTATAAAACTCGATAGAAACAAATCCATTTCAATAGATCAACACCGGTTAAAGTATGTGTAGTACTGTAACAAAAACTAAAACAATCAATTCATTTTACTTAAAGTAACAATCAGTCAACAGCTTCACAACCTCAATTTCATTTTTTCCATTTGGTCTTGGATATTTAGCTTGTAATTTGATTAATACTTATGCACGATTTAAAAATATGACGGAATTTTCTGCCTAGTATGACGCGGTGCCTGTTGGACTTGGGAAGATCGACAGAAGCAGCAGAATGCTTCCGTATCTACAAAGCACGTTTTCCAGAACACTTGAAGACCGAGCTGTGTCAATCTGTTGAAAAGGAAATACAAAAAATATTCCCTTCCACCGATTTCTCCGACAACCAAATTTCTGCAATGTTGGCCTTGTTGCTAAAACCTTCGGTCCCTCCAAGCGTTTCTTCCATTTCAAAAAGTGTTGAAGCTCATGTTGCTGCTTTAGGACGTAGTGCGTTCCTTCGAAGGCGTCCCAGCACAGAAGAGCCAACTCCATCGAGTTCTAGTGAAAACCTTGAATCTGACATGTCTGATGTGGATATGCAACCACAGGAAGCAATAACTGATTCTAGGAACCATTCTTCAGACTCAAATTCTTCAACAACAACTACGTCAACACAAACCTCAGCTAAACCGGGACATAAAAGGCCAGAATTTTATGAACTTGAAATGAGGCTACGGGATAAATCGGTTGACTTTAGTGACAGATTCTGCGGACATTGCAATACCACAACAGATATTAAGGAAGCCAATTTTTTCGGAGGCTACATTGTAGCTGGGAGCGATGATGGAAGTTTCTTTATTTGGAATAGAAAGACAACGAATATTGTGAAAATTATTAAAGGGGACGAGTCGATTGTAAATTGCCTTCAACCGCACCCAAGTACCTGTACGTTGGCAACAAGTGGAATTGAGTCGGTAGTTAGACTGTGGAGCCCAATGGCCGAGGTATTTGCCAAACACTTTTAAATACTTGTATTAATGGCAACTTGATAATTCATAATTTTGTATTATTCAGGAGGGATTCGTAAATGACCGAGTTGTTCATAACATTAATGATGCTGCATGTGCAAACCAGAAGAGAATGAATTCTAATCCGTTCGAAGTAATTTTCATTTCGTAATCATTTTTAATCACTCGTAGTGCATCGTACCACTTAAACAAATACGTTACTTGTTTACTCGCTTAGGTTATTCTGCTCAATATGGGGTACCGTCTAAGTGGAAACGAAGATGATGGATCAGATAACGAAGATTCAATTCCTCATGATGTACCGACAGCATGTCAACCGTCGTGATCATCTTAATTTTTATCCATTAGTGTCCTGTCTTTCTTAGATGTGTGGCTTCCTCTCACTACTAAAATTCTTTATTTGTTCACAGCTGGACCAGTAAAAAAAGCCAGCTTTATTTCTTGACCAATTCAATATCCCACCAAATGGTTGGTGCAATATTATCCTAATCGCTACATATACACATCGTCATTATTATACAACACCACCATTCATTCTGCTTCTCATTATCGCTCGAATCGAATAGATAGTTATTGTTTTGTAAATATTGTTTGTGCTAGTCCTTCCTGGAAATCATCAAATCATTTAATATTCACCTAATGCGTGCTTAAAAATTTTGCAGTATATTGAAACTATGATTAATTGCAATTTTGTTGTACCCGTAATTCGTAAAACGTGCTAAACCAAATTACCGGTTAACTTTATATTAATTAGAATTGCGACGATTAATGAATTTTATGAATTATTATTATCCCAAGATATTTACTTGGATGAATGAATTGTATTCGTTTCAATAAAATGAATTTGTCAACTAAAAAATATTTACATTAAGACGTGTTAAAAAATTAATATTTTTCTGTCAGAATTATGACACTCGAGAACATTTGCTTTGCATTTGTACAGAGACTAAATACGCTTGACCTTTAAAATGTCACACAGATAACACAACTGCTGTCACATCTTGTGTAAACAGTTTGCATGTTTTATACATGTAAGACTGACCAAGACACAATAATGAGAGGCTTTCATTGCATATTATGTACGTACATTCATAAATCCCATGCATCCCTGGAAGTAAATTATTTCGTAAAGGAGACGAATAAATTATTATAGTTATTTTAGCGACCCAAATGCTACTGGCTACAGACAAGTTCATCGATATCCAGTTATTTAATGGGATGTCTACGGCTTGGAGAAAAACATGCGACTTTGGTTTTATTTAGTTTTGAGTATAAAATAGAGAGAAATGTCAAACTGTTGAACTTGATGATAACGTTTATACATAATCTTCACTAGTTCAATGTTGATGCACTTGTCATGTCATCGTCGCATTCGCCATCATGAATTGAAGATGATGATATAACGCAACTTGCATATATTTTCTTTACCGTGTACTTAATTTACTACTTGATCACTTTCGTTTTTATTAAGGCATCCACTTCGTGTCCGTGGAATAATTCATCAATGGAGGACTTTCTATAAGATTTGAATTGAGTTGTGAATTTGCGATTCGTTAAGAAATATAGGAAGATTTTTACATAGTTGGTGTACATTAATCATGTTATCATTCATGAGAAGTGGGAGAGGAATGCATTCCTCAGGTAATCGTAATTTTTCATAAATCGTAATTTACCAATTTTGATGTACTAAATATCCTCACGAAATTACAGTGATTTGTATCCTATTGCTGCAATGTCTCAGCGTGGTCACGTCACACCAATTGTTTGACGAAGGGAAAGAGTACAAATACAGGTCAAGATATGGAAATTATGCAAATGCCAAATTAAATGTTAAAGATGAGAATCGAAATATTTTTTAAATGTCGTCGTTTTGTCACTATTTCTTTGTTAGCTATTTCGGACTTTTCACCACTGGAACGGAAGAGCCAGTTTCATACTCGTCAAGTTACATGCTCATTGGAATGCTAAGGGTTCAAGGGAATGGTGGGAATACAATGACCGCAAAGGTTATACATACATAAATATGTAACATGTCAAAACGTATTCTAAAATACAACATGTACAAATTGTCTCCCTTCAGCTGGAAGGAATGAAAATGGCAGTATACAATGGGCGGTGGGGGTATTTTCCAATTCCACAATTTGGATTTTTTGATGACGAGAGGTTATCTACATTGGAAAATTCTTTCAAAATTGTGTTGACTGAGGAAGGCACGGTATGAAAATTGAGCATTTGTCACAAAAACAATTGTTTATGATCAGGAGAAATTATTCGATTTATGTATGTATGTAGTTTAAAACTCTCATCATGAACGATCAAGAACCCGAATTTGCGTCGAATATAAAACGAGGAATCGCAACTTATCTTCAATCAAATTTGACTGGTGGATTTGAGTCTATGCAGATTTTCAAGGAAAATGAGGTGGGACATGATAGGTAAAATTAATTGTCTTTGTGCGACAACGAAAGTACATTTTTATGATTTCATCAGATGACCACAATGGGAGAATGTCCCACGGCGTACGAGGTGACACCACCATCATCCTCTTCAAAATTTGCAACAATTGGAAAATTCAGAAATCATGCGTACGTCAGAGAAGCACGATTTTCTCAGACAAGCTGTTTTTTTATTACTGTTCTTTAATTTTCCAGAGAGTGCCCTGATATTCCCAAGAGGACACGTTACGGGACAAGGGGATATTACCAATGTGTAACAGATAAGACCCGGGTATTATATTGTACATATTATTCATATGCAGCATTATAATTCATCATGCTAAAAGTGTTGACACATTTTGAATTATTTGTAGGACATTTTTAACTCGACGTCATATGCAACGTATGAAATTGATCTTAATGGGAACAACCCAACCATAAACAAAGTCACAATTTTCTCATCTATTCTGTACTGGCCATTCACATCCGGGAGGCAATATTTATACACATGGTTCAAGTAAGCATGCAAATCTCAGAATGCATTAAGAGTACATAGGTCAAGGTTATGGATGGATTTAACCACTTCCAGTGTCACACTCGCGTTACTTGATGCCAGTCCAATACAAACCCCACTACCTGGTCCTGAAAATGCTGAAAATCACGAAGATTTGGCATTTATATTTGAGCAAAGCGATTATCAAGATCCTGAAGAGGAAACACCCGACTTGAAGACTGTTGAACCTTATTATTTCCATCAAACGGCGTCCGAATCTGACGTGGAAGCAATGATTGCAAAAGTATGCAAGTTATTTTTTCTTAAGTAATGTACTTACATAAATATGCGCATAAATAACATTGCTAATCCAGGTGAAAGAAATTGTGGAAGATGCGGCAGTGAGCTTTAACACCTCTTTGGATGACTTTAATGAAGACTTTCATTCCAATTCACCACTGACCATGAGCAAAGCACTGTCCTTTTTGGATCATGATTCCTTAACTTTATTGTACAAGTATTATCTCTCTCAAGCTAAAGAGAACCCAGAGAAAGAAGTGCACCTGTAAGTCTCAATACTATGTACATACTTTAAATATCTGCAGAAAATTGCTATGCATATTATCATTCATATTTACAGACAATTGTACATTGATGGGCTGGTTCTGGCCGGAACAAGTGCAACAACACTGGTTTTGCGTGACATTATCGTCGAGGAATTTGAAAATGAGTGGAAACTTTCTAGAATTGTTCCCTTGTTTCCAAATTACGTACGAACACCATCCGAAGCGCTGGTGAAGGAGTTTGATGTACGCATAATAAATATATAACGATGCAATTGTTTTTTTTTAAATCACTGATTACAAAAATAAACAGGGTTTGTAAATTTCAGACCGTTTTTGACTTGCTCAAAAACCCCAAGATTACCAACAGTACAAAAAGAGTATTGGAATTCACACTGGCAACTTTAGTTTCTCGGGGATGCGAACGAAATCTGTGTGTAACCACTGGGGTTCTTGACAAGTATATAAACTACTTTGAAAATAAATTGGCAGGTAGAATGTCTAAATTGACAACCGATAAACTAATTACTTAATTTACTAAAAATGTTTTAAATATGTGACACATAGAATCTACTCACTTTGGAGAGCAAACAGCGGCCGTGCTTGGACTCAGAAATATTCAAATTGGAAGATCTCTGGACAAATTGGTGGACATTGCCGTCGGAAATACTCCAGCTTCAAAGATCGTTCGCGTTCAAGCTATTTGGTCCTTACGTCCATTATTTTTCAAAGATCCTGTTAAAACTACTCAAAAACTGCTCCAAGTATTTTACAATCGGACAGAATCCTGTGAAATTCGAACGTCCATGTTCGGCTTAATAATGACGACTCATCCGACAGAGCAAGTTTTGCATGAAATTGCGTATTTCATGTGGTCAGAGACGTGTCCTCAAACGCTAAACATTGTGCGATCCACTCTGACCCACATGTCAAAGGATACAGGACCCTGTTCAAAAATGTAAACCCTTGTAAGAATTTTTATTGAGAATGAGAGTTACGGATTGATGTCATTATTTTTAGCTCGTCATATGCAAGGACAATCCTCCGGTACCTGCCTCCCGGCGCCATAGACCCAACCAGAACTACTTCCTATGCAATCGGATACTTTGACGAGGCTCATGGAATTGGAAAATCGATGTATTTGACGGTTCAAAAAACTGGTTCAACAGCATTACCAACTTCTATATATTTCGGATCTTCTCATACGATTGGGGGCTACCAAGCTACCCCCGTTGGCGTTAGTCTGGAATATTTATAATTTATTTTGTATAACTTGTGAAATTCCTTATTGATTAAAATATTTAGATATTCATAAGAATTGATGGACTAGGAAAATTTTTACCAGGTGAAAGAAAGATTTCCACTTTTCACTAAAAACAGGAGAATATATATTTCTAACTTTATTTTTACTTTCCAGACAACATCTTATCAGCCCTTAATAATGATACTCCTCAAAAGATCTTGAAAATATTAGGTGATCTAAAAGTGAAGGCCAAGGCGACAACGCCGTTAAAATTGGAAATCACTATAATGTACTTGAATCGTGCCATTTATCATTATGCTGCTGACGAAGAAACGCTTCGTTTATCTGTGGGAAAAGGTATATAGCTCTTGATTGAATTAATTTCTCAAAGTAATAATTTCCAGTGACTGAAAAATACACATTATTGTTGAACTACATTTCAGCGGGAAAGCAGGCCGAAGGGTTTATCAAAACGTTACAAAAGCCATCGATATTCAGCAATAGTTGGGGAAGATCCATTCTTTTGGGCGAAACTTTGTACGAACAACCCCTAGAAGTTGGGATACCTGTATCCATATACACTTCCGGAGTACAGGCGGATCTAGCAAAGTCAAAAATCTCTCTTGCTCTTCAAGCACCGTCTACCCTAGAAACTGATGCTGACCTGGCTTTCAAGTAAAGTTGAAAGTATTTGGAAAACTCAATTGGTTAAAAATCAATCATTACGACAAAGCTGTTTTTTGCAGATATCATGGCTTTATAACGACCACAATTTCCAACCATGTTCCCGTCTTTGGCACCGTTCACACTGTAGGCCTTTTAAGAACGTATAAAATTCATCAGTCCCTGCATGTCTCATTCAATTTGAATTTGCAAGGAAAATTGGACGAGTTTACACTTTATCCCCCCTCAGGTACGTAAAACTCATGGAATTTACGAAATCAGCGCTATAATTTGGTACATAATTTAATCTTTGCGATTTCATTTTATTAGCCGAAAATCCAACTGCCATCCAAACACATGCAACAGCATTTACATCTTTGTCCTCGGAACACCCACTCGGCCAAGATGGAACTGACTTGCTGAAAAAATCATGTCCAAATTGTCAGCCTTACACGTGGGTTTCTTCTGGACCAGGAATTGCTCAAACTGTGCGTATTTAAACAGAATTACTAGTTAATACTTGTTCAGATATTTGTAAATTTAATTTATAATTTTTCAGGGCGAGATTTTCTCCATCCCAAAATTTACAAAAGGCCTCAGATCGGGTGTGAAAAAAATAATGTGCGAGAGACACATTTCAAAAACTAGATTGCTTAAACGACTCCAAAACTTTTTTAGCAGTGAAGGAAAAAATACGGGGTAAATATCTGATATGCATTAGTTAATCTTGGTTAATACAAATTGCTAATATTTGCCAAATCTCGAATAGAATATTTGACTCAGCATTCGCAAAGTTCAATCTCGCTCTTCAACAAGGTTTTGACTACTTTTTCCTGTGGCCTAATCCTGAGCCGTGTGGGTTCCAGCTTTATGATACCAAAAATTACGCAAATTCTACACATGTCTTGGAGAAGGTAACAACCTTCCAAATGTTTAATTGTGAGCAACTGATACATCAAACTATTTATTTGTATAGATTACAGGATCCGCATCATTTGGAGTTGACCAAGACCGTAAAAAGGGTCACATTCATCAAATAAATGTTGATTATAATGTCACCCTAACATTTGGAGGCACAGCCAAACCGCCCCCGCAGACGATTTCATATCACATCGAAGTCGTGCCAGAGGTGGAGGGTTCGCAGGAATTACGGGGACGAATCACTGTCGATGGTCAACCCGATGGAAAGGTTTTGGTTACGTGTTACGAAATTCAGAACCATGCCGCAGTTCCCAAAAGCGATCCGCTAGGATTTTCTGGCGATAATGAGCCGAAGGTTAACCAATCCATTTTGGTGAAAGCGGGGAAAGTTACCGAAGCAGAAAAATCAAGTACAAATTGTCCAAATGATCAAGTCGATCTTGTAATTTTTGCTGAGGCCGAACGTTCGCAAGATCAGATTTTAGAAGCCACCAGTCCGGGCAAAGATTTGCCCACTTTACTCTGTCAACTTGAACAAGCTAGTGGAAATTGGCCAAAGGATAGGATGCCACCAACTCCGGAATGTTTTCAGGTATGTACAAGGTCTTAATTGATCTAAAGTTTTGCATTATAATCAATTTTGGTTTGGTTTCAATGATTTGTGATAGGTTACTCTGGATCAAACTGGACTACGAACAGTCAACATGAGCGTCAAATATAAGGTACAGTATAGAGTACTGTGACTATGCATGCATAGAAATTAAATTAGTGTAAATAGCCTTCTTCGCTTGTCAGTTTGTGTCATTTTATCACATACACAAAAAAACATCATGTTTGCTGCTTATGCTCATCGTAAGAGTTCAAAAGTAAAGTAGACCACACCAGAAAAACAAAAATATCAGAGCGTATATATGTACGTGTGATTTAGATAATGGATAAAATTATTCTTTTTAATGTGTGCTTTCTCTGAATTGCCAGACATTTATTTATCTATTATCTCGGTAAACAGGGGCGTTTTTATGATTTGTTTTTTTACAAACTGCAATTCGACACTTGAACGTCAGTCTTGTCATAAATATTATTAAAATCTTACATGCAACCATCTAGAGATGTATCTGAATCTAAAATTGTCAAGTCAACTTTTACTCCTTCTGGGAAATCCAGGTTGCTGAAGAAGTACGAAAACGATGGGTCCAGCCATTGCTATTCATTGGAAATTTGTTATCTCCATTCCTGGTTGACCCAGAGCATGACAAAGTCCATCAGCAACATCAACAAGACAACCATTATGAAGGCCAGTTAAAGATTGATATGAATTTAAAAAAGCAAGACCCCGTGATGGACATACACTTTGTTGGAGCTTCTGAGGATCGACTCTATCGCGACATCGATCTCGATTTACTACCAAATGCCCTAAAATTCCAACCAGCTCCTGGAAGATTTGCCCCATCAACGCAATTTATATATCAAGCAGGATTTTTAGGTCGGCAATTCGCTAAAAGCATATAGTTTAATGTGCATGCATGCGTAAATTATCTAATGATAAATTGTAACACAGGGTCCTGTGCTCTGACACCCAATAACGTTGTCACTTTCGATAATCAAAAGTATTCCGCAAAATTGTCGGATTGTGAGACGCTGGTAGCAGCCGACTGCAGCGAGTGGCCTGATTTTGCTGTATATGCCAAAACCACGGCTAGCAAAAAATTGGTAAATAATTACATAACTAGAAAGCTTACATAATGAAGCATTTCCTGTGTGGTGGACACTAAAATACATATTTTTATCTTTCTTAGGCAATCAGAATAACTTTAATCAGAGGGGAAATTGAGATCGATGGCGATCAAGTTACCTGCGTTGGACGCGATCCAATTGTATTTGACGACAATGGAAATTTTTATCACAACCACATTGGGTAAGTGTATTTACATCGTAGCATAATTACAATTTGCACCATTTTTTAAAATTCATAATTTCTATTAATTTTCTGTAGAATATCGAAACGAGGGAAAGAAATCACGGTGAGATGGATGTCAATTTTCGGGATAGAAGTGCGGTACTCGGGCGGCGACTTTATCCAGGCAAGAGCTTACTACATACATATATTTATCGTTACATTTTAGCATATTTTTATATATTCTTTACTGATCCAGGTCATCCTCGGGTCAAGATATCGCGGACTTACTTGCGGATTGTGTGGAAACTTTGACACCACGCCTGGGAATGACATGAGTGGTCCAACTACGCCTTCCTGTCCCCTTACCTCCATCCCACAAGCGTGGACGGTAAAATCCGAATCTTGCGAAAAAGCTGAAAGTGTTTGTTGATTTTAATATTCAGATGAAAATATTATAAGAGATTAATTTCATTTCTAAAATTACGGCTGAAAACGAAAATATGGAAAATATTATTATTTTGGATAATTTACATTTTCATAATTTAACGTGTAATATTTGGGAGTGTTCCATCCATAAAATAATCAAAGTAGGTAATAAAGTTTGTCGTTGATGAAGAGATGATCTTTGACATTTAATTTATCAGCTATACATCATAATCTTCATGAAAATTTTCTTAATTAATCTACCAACTTGATATTCATACTCTTGAACTTATCGTCGAACAATCCTTATCATCAAGACTACACTACTGACCAACTTTATACAGACGTAGATAGTTGCATAATTTTGTGGAGAGAAACTCCCATAAAATTAGGTAACCTTTACTTGCACTATTCAAGATAACTGGTTATCTCCTCTTTGATTTCATAGCTTTCATATGTAGCTAATCCTCAATAAGCATAAAAGAATCATTCATAGTAAATATATACATATGTCTCACGTTTGGTGGTGCAAAATCTGGCTTAATGATCTTGCATGGCAATTAAAGTAATGTTTTTATTTCTGGAACTTTCCTTTCATTTTCAATATTTTATCAGCTTTTCCATACATAAAAGCAAGTACATAGTTAGCAACCGATGACGGGCAGTGTGCAAATTTGATGAGCATCTTATTCATACTTTTCAGCTCGGTGTTCCATGCAAAAATGAGACTTTGACACATATTTATTTACCCAATTAATTATGCACGTATTAATTATGTATGTAGGTCCATGCACGTACGAATTTACATATTTATGTATAGCTGCGTAAAAGATGGGGTTAAAAAATTATCAAAATTGCATTTTTATTTTAATACGTAAAAAATTATTTAGCTCGATCTTATTACGCAGACGGTATTTTGCGCTACACTACAACATTATAAAGTCGTCAACAAATCAAGTTAACAATTTTGTGTCAACTCAGCACAAATTAGTTTAGTTTGATATGAATGTCTGCAACTTTGCAAATGAATGCATTTGATTGATTCTTCTTTACATATGCAAATGAATCATCACCGTAAAATCCAGGAAGTCATAATTAACCTTAAAAGTTTAGAAATATAATTTATCCGAATTAATAATTTTTAAGTCTCGTGTGCTGCAATTTAATCTAGGTATCAAGACAAACCCGGCCGAATGACTCAAGATCAGTCAGTCAGACTTATTTATAAATAATTTTATAAATAATCTTGGACATTGAGATCATTATTTTTTATTCGACATACATTATGTCCTGGATGAAATTTTTCCAGAACCAAAAATATGTCATATTTAACAAACGCCGTCTCTCGGCCCATAATTATCTTATCTGTCTCTGCCAAACCAAACATCACACTCTTTAAAAAACACAATAACCTCATGCAATGATGCACCTGTCCTTGAAATACTGTCAAGAAAAATAAGGGCGATTTGTAATAATAATTTGTAATAATTTTAAAATTCTCGATCCATGTCTTCCTACATGCACATGATGTCATTTTATCCTGGACTGACTTTGACTTTCATCCAAATATGTCTAATGCTGCTCACTCTTTACTGAACTTTGAGAAGAAGCTGAAGCCGATAAGAAGTCGATGTATAAGTGTGTAAGCAATAAAATACTGGAATAAAATGATCCAGCCAGAAGAGGTGAAAGATAAGCACATTTTTAAGCAAACATCTACATATCAAACCAAGCCAAGGATAAATACAGGTCTTCATAATAAAAAAAAAACTAAAAATCCACACCAGGTACTTTCCACCAGCACTAAAGCCAATCAAAATATTACAACTTATTCTTACTTTACTAAGATTAAGTTTGCCTACATATTTACATCACGGACATTATAGCGTCCCATGGCTTACTAACACTTTGACATCTTCGGAGGTGATTATCTTATGATCAACACAAGCGTTCTTCTTAAAGTGGGATGAAAGTGAGCATTGATTAACAACATACATATTAGCAAAAGGATACAGTTATTTGTACGGATACCTATATTCATCTTGTTGGAACTGTCCCATCATGCCCGGCCCATGTTCCATAGTTCACACTAGTCAATAATAACTCCTCCACCCAAAAAGCATAAAGATGTAGGATGACCCTTGACCAATAGTCCTTGGGATGTGTACAAAACTCGACGCGTCGACCCACAAGTCCTCAGTTGGCTTCGAGTTTTGGAGCTAGCTTGATTAGTAGTCCGCATTTTTACTCGTACCTCTTTAAGTTTTCTGCAAACATGAAGTGGTTCGTTTTACTGGGTGAGTTTTGTGATATTAAGAAATTTCTGAAAATATTTCAGAAATATTGGCTGGAACGGAATTTTTGAAAATTCTAAATTTCATTTTGTTTCTATTTCCTGGAAATCTATTCAGGTTTGGTGCTCAGCAGCTCTGCTTTTGTTAAGCGAGATGTCGGCTCCAACCTTTTCACGCCAGGAAAGGAGTACATCTACGATTTCACGATCTGGTCCCAAGCCGGATCCGCGGATTACGTCTCATTCGCCAGCACCTTCAACATCACGGGTGACCTTCACGTTTCCTCGACTGGTAGCAACATCAACGTTCGATTGGACGGGATTAAATTCGGAGCTCACAATGGAGAGTTTGACCCATTGTACGAATCGTTTTGAATTATTTTTAGAAAAAATACAGTGATTTTACATGAGCGTTATTCGTAAATCTCAAAATCTCATTATTATCTTATGCCTATTTACAGCCACGCTCCCGAGTACTCCATGAAGTCATACGACCAGTTGAAGCCTCTGTCCGAGCCTTTCTCTGTTCAAGTGTCCAATGGAAAGGTGAGATTTTGCATACTAGAATATGGGTGTTGCGAGGCAGAATAAGACGGAGGCAATTTGAGACTATTTTTCTGCTCTCTCCTTTCTAGGCTAAGGGAATCATCCTCAACAAGAACATTGATGAATGGGCCCACAAGTAAGCAATTTTATTTAGTATTTCGGGTAATGAGATACATACTTTCGATTGACGACAATTAATATTTTTTTGTTCAACCTTCCAGCATCAAGAGAGGTATTGCTACCGCTCTACAACTCGACTTGACCAAGATCGACATCACCAAGGCCGATCACTTTGAAACCCAAGAAGTAAGTTCGTTAGATTTCTTATCAAAATCACCCTCAGAAAGCTAAATAATTAATTATTACATAGGAAACCGTTGTCGGAGACTGTAAGACTGATTACATCGTTATCCCAGGAGGTGAGGTCGTATTTGGATTTGTAACGTATTATTAATTTGGTTAATTCTATCTTTCTTTCTCCACTAGAAGACGACAACCATGCTCCCTTGAACAAGGCTCAGGTCCGCAAATTCAGGGCTCATGGAGATTGTAACGATATGCCAAAGCGATACCGCAAACCCGGCGTTTCCATTCAACTCTGTGCCGATGACAATAGCAGGGTAAGTATCAGAAACTTGATAAGTATGCGTTCCGATAAGCTCTGGTTACATTGTAATTAATCGTTTCAGGATGTTCTCAACTCTACTGGTTTCGCCGTCTACGATCTCGAAATCCAAAGTGGTTCCCTGGTCGCCAAGAACATCAAGGTCGGATCCACCGTCATTTACAACAGTGAGTTTACGTTATAAGTCAATGTATTTCGCGGATTTTTATATTTCTTTCTCTTATCCACCAGTTTTCGGTGTTGATGGACACACCCAACACTCTTTCACCAAGTTGAACATGATCCTCAAGAGCGTCGGCTCTGGATCAGTTGCTTCCCCATCCAACGCCCAAACTTACGATGACCTCAAGTTTGAGTTTGAAAATGACGTCAAGGAGGATGAAGACCTTAAGGCCCCAAAACCTTTCTTCTTCCACCACAAGGGACAGGACCTCGACTCTGCTGGACAAAACCGTGCTGCTGATCAGGTACATATATCCACTCGTTTTACCGTTAAATTGTAGCTGGAAATTTATTATTATTAGAATATTTGTGTATAATATCTTTACGGTAAATTACAGCTCGTGGCCAACATCAAGAAGATCCACCAATCTCTGGAATCCCCAGAAGGTATAATTTACTAGCATTATCATTGGCGAAGAACGTCCTAATAATGGGTAATTATATTAACAGTCTACAAGGATGTTAAGGACTTCCACAAGGTCAGCCCTTACTCCCTCCTCCCATTCGTTTCCGCTTTGGACTACCAACACTTGAAGGACTTGAGCAACAAGGTCAAGGGAGGAGATGAGACTGAATAGTGAGTGACGGATGAAAATCTTTTGATGAATTTCTTGTTCTCCATACGTAAATGTGTTAACATATTTGTTTGTTATGTTTACAGCAAAATCTTCTTGGATGCCTTGGTCATGTCTGGAACTGGACCAGCTGCCCTTGTCCTCCGTGATATCGCCTCTACCACCACCGACACCGTTTACTTGGCTCGTATCGTCGCCCCTCTGCCAAACTACATCCGAAACCCAACTGAAAATCTGTTGAAGGAACTTGAAGGCCTTATCAAGTAAGCAATTGTATATATTTTATACTCCCAATAAATTGCTCCAGGGGGGACTTTGAGAATAAACAAAACAGAATTAATAACGAATTTAATACTCCTTATAGGCCCGATAACACCAAGCCAAACGGTCGCATCATCGAATTCGCCTTCGCTTCCCTCTTGGGCCGTACCTGCAAAAAATCCGACTGTCAAAAATCCGGCCTTTTGGACAAATGGGTGAAATACTGGGCTGACAAGATCGAATCTGGAGCCAACTTTGACGACAAGACTCAAGCTGGTGAGTACTTTTAAGTTTTATCTGATATTTTTTATTCCCATTTATCTCATTTTGTTTTCCCAAACAGTTATCGCTCTCCGTAACGTCAACCATGTCAAGTCTGCCGAGAAACTTTTGGCCGTTCTTCTCAACAAGAACCAAGAGAGGTCAATCCGTTCCGCTGCCATGTCTGGTGTCGCCCCTCTGCTCAAGAAGGACCCCCTCGTCTTCAAGAAGAGCGTTCTTCCAATCTTCTTTGATCGCCAAGAGGACTCTGAACTTCGTAACACCGGTAAATTACAACTTTGAAATATTTAATACAATACAATTATTTCGATAATTTAAATAAGGCTAAAATGTGTCCTCATTTCCTACCTATTCAGCCGTTCAATGGACCCTGCTCGCCGCCCCAGAAGGTGAGTTCATAGTTTAGTTTTAATTGAAAAAATTATATCATCATTTAATTTATTATTCAAGGTAGAGAGTACTTAGGAATATCGTTCATTTCAATAATTGTAGATCATTGAAAATCATTTATTATTGTCTTATAAGTCATTTATTTGGTTAGAAAGTTGCATTCGATCCATCAAATAACATTATCTATAAGACGTGTGTAAAACAATATCACAAGTTTGTCTAACAAAAAATGAAAAGTTTGATGGTTATCAAACAATAGGGAAGATAAAACTATAACAAACAGATCAGCATGCCATCAAAATTTAGGTTAAACGACAAGTAAAATCAGAATACAAAGGCTTGCCATCAGTTGTGAATAAGCTAAATTGCATTGGGATACCGTTGTATTCAAGGTCTTCACCAATAAGGCACTTGTTTGAACGACCTAATCTATAGGCAAGCTTTAATTCATCTGGTTGTAAATCAGCAACAACAGCTTCTTGCAATTCACATCTCTGATTTAGATACTCAAAATGTAGTCCACAGGAACGATCAATGAAATCCTTGTTTAGTTTCTTAGCTTTCGCTGCAACCTGTTTTCAATTACTACATTAATCCAGGTCTAGATATTATTGGATAAATCAAAATAAATTGTTATATTTTACTAATAGGAAAGACTCAAGTCTGAAAGCATTAGTCATATTCTGAAGTTTTGATCCATTTTCCCATTTTTTCTCCTGGAACAAATAGTTAACACGATGTTTAATATAAACTACATAAAGTTCATGTACAAATAAGTATGATCATACAATATGGATTGCGAAATACTCATTTCCGTCGGAACTTGGTTTCTTGCATAGCATTTTAGCAACTGTTGACATCGGTTGTGAATCAATATCCAATTCTTGATGGATCAAACATGCTCCTGTCTCCGCACATGACCCAATATAAACCCAAATTTTTGATGCTGGGATCTTCATTTCCTGTTTTTTATCAAGTTTGTTAGCGAGAAATTTGCGAATTTCAGCTTCCTCGGTTTTTAAGAATATTAGAATTATATTTCCATAATACGGGTCATCTTTGTGTTTGATCAATTCTGTTGTAGCTTTTGTTACAAATTCGTCTTGCAAGTCGTCAATTGCTTTGTTAACTAATGGATTACAAGTTGAAGGGTCCATTGTTCGTTGATTATCTTTCACATAACCGATAAAGGAAGTGGGTCCTGCTTTTCTTTTCAATGAGAATCTGTACTCGGTATTAGTCCTTCTCCGCGTTGTACTAAGATCAATGAAATAAATTCTGCACAAGTTTCATACTTAACCTAAACCTTAAAGCATAGAATATGATCTTACTATCGATTCACACTTATTTCGGATAGGAAATTAGTATAATTCGATGACCCGTTTTTGATGAAAGGAAATCCTACGTGTATATTTTCAACAACATATTCCAGACCCCATAGAACCTGGTTTGAACGTCCCATTCTGTAAGCTAGGTTTAAGTCATATTTGGTTATATTCCCTGCGATTGCTTCTTGTATTTCACATCTTTGATTCAAATATGTGAATTCAACTCCGGACAAATGATGCAGTGTCGTATTATTCAAAAGTTGGGCTCGTGCAACAAACTAAAAAATTTAAAAATGATTCACCTCAGTTGCAATTTTTACATCAGTGTTCAAATTAACAATACTGTATAGTATATCTCACAGTGTAAAATGATTCTTCCCTGAAAGCGTCATTCATGTTTTGCTGATGTAATCCTTTGTCCCATTTGTTCTCCTAGGGTTAATAAGTTACTTACATTAATCAAACAAAATTAGCGTTATAATCGTCGTTCGCTCGTCTTACCATCATTATGGCAAAATATTTTGGCTTGTTGTTTGGCCCTTTTTCGCATAACATCTTCGTAACCGTTGAAATTTTCTTTTTATCGGTCTGTTCAACATGGTGAGACTTGCATCCACCTGAATCCTTGGAGGAACCTACATACATCCAACATTTTGAAGCTGGGAATTGCTCAGGCTTGTTACCAGCACGCGTGTTATTCATGTATTTCCTAATTTTTCTTTCTTCTGTCTTCAGAAAGACATAAATAAAATATGTGAAGTACGGGTCATCTTTAATTTTTTCATGCTGGTAGCTATTATTTTCAGGAATTTTGTTTCTTCAGCATCGATTGGTGATTTGACATTAATGTCGCCGACGTACGTATCCATTGAATTTCGATTGAGTCTGGTAAAGCCACTTATATGAGAAGTTGCCCATGATTTACTCACACGATTTTGTGCTAATTTAAATCTTTTCTCTCCCCTTAAACAAATAGAAAAAATAAATGAGACCCATATTTCCTTTTTTTTAGTTTAAGATAAACTTACAAGACTTGGTCATCGGAGTGGTGTCTACTGCAATGATCTCGTAACGCATTAAGTGATACGCATCTCATTTCACACATAGTGCATTTATGCAACTTCTTAAGTTGGGTTTTCTTCGGACAAAATCTAGGTTTGTGGTAGTTCCTGTTTTTAATAGTTGATAAAAAATTTCATTAATTTATGGAAGTTTTAACTCGTTATATTCTTCTTTTTACTTTCTTATACCCTCTTGGTCCAGCTCTCAAATTCACTTTACATTTTTGTCCAATATAACCAGTGCTGCCATACTTATTTACCTCATCCAGTTTGAACGAAACTTCTCCTTGTTCATTTATAAGCTTCTTACTAAATTAAACCATAATTAATTGTCAACCTTCTGCATTTATCATGGCGAGCAGTACCTTGAAGTGGGAGGATGGATATTCCTTGTATGTAGGGTCAAACCTTGCCTGGATTTGCAAACTTTGTTACAGATTCTGCATGCAACTGCTAATGTTGACCTGTTAGTTGTATTAAGTATTATACAATAAATGCGCAAACGATAAGATGCATTACTTCTGTTCCAATACTAATAAGGTACTAAGCAAGAATGGGTCGAACTCACGTTTCAAATAGCTTAACACGATTGTTAACAGATTCAAGCTGGCCTTCGAGATCCATAATTTGAATCTTGATATCTTGAGGATTTTTGTCCACATTTTTTTCTATTTTTATTTTCGCCCTACTTATTTGCTGCCTCAATTTCTTTTGCAATTTTCGGAGATTGAATCTGTACCCCAGATTATACAAAAATAAATTAAATGTCGTTATCCACATAATTACTTATTTGTGACGCTTACTCTTCTTCTGTTATGTCACCACTGTGATATTTCCTGAAGTGTTCCACTAAGGCTTTTCGTGATGAAGCTGTGCAAGGACAATTGTTGCAGAGCCATCTTTTCCTTGCCCTTACGTATGCATTCTGGATGTGAGGTTTTGGTTTGAAGCTAAACAAAACATTTGAGATTTATTAATCATTAAATTAGCAGTTTTACAATGTTTGTTTGCCATTCATTTATAATTATGGGCATAAGTTTCCAACTTTTATTTTTAGGTTAATTATTAGCATAAATGAAATGTGTGTTTACTTATTTTACTTCCGTTTTTCCTTCAACTTAAAAATGCGAGAGGGAGTATTCTTTACCTTCCACACGCACCATTGTTATTATTTGTGGGAACCATACATCTTTCTAGTACAATCACAAGTCGTTTTTCCCGTTCAACATTGTTGATATTCATTTTTTATTGTTATTTCGATTGATTAAAACATTGACTATTATTGTTTATTTTTAGTTACACAATTTTTGTGTGTTTTAATAATAACTAAATCACTTGTCTAGTTAGAAATGTGACTCATGTGTGCGACAAAGATCAATTACTTATTAGAAAGAGTCGTCGTTTGTGTTGAGATAGGACGCCGACATAAAGAGGCTCTAAGTGAGCTTCGCCGACCCGAGATGACTAAGGTGAATTATGCTTATTGTGTATAGACGGTGGGGGAGAGTGTGGCAGACAGGATGAGACATGATTTGCTGTACACAGAAATTTATCACCTGTATATTGAAATACTATTTTCTGCTGTTGAACTTATACATGAATGGGCATTCATTTTTGTAACTGCATTAAATTCGAAAGGTTTCGCGAGGTCTAATTTTAAAAAATTTAAAATTTAATTTGGATTATACAGAATCCATCTTCCAAGAAGTTGCTATTTACATGTGGCTCGAGAAGGATCCCGAAGTTAAGAACTTTATCCACACCCTCTTCAAGAGCGTCTCTGGAACCACCAAACCATGCTTGAAGCACACGTGAGTTTCTTTCCAATTGAGTTTTAACCTAAACAAAAACGTAATAGTCAGAAAAGCTAATCAATTGTTCCCATTATTTTAGCGGCTCATGGGCCAAGACTGCTCTGCAAATGCTCGGACCATGGGAAGTTAAGGGCAAATACTCTGGCACCTACATTTCCGACTACCATGATTCTCAATACAACTTCGGACATCTGACTGCCACCTCTGTCCAGAAGAATGGTCACAGCCTTCTTCCCCGAACCGTCTACCTCGGATTCAGCGGACAAACCGCCGGATACAGCACCAAGTACTTGTCCTTCTTCATCCGTCTTGAAGGTTTCGGCAAATCCCTTGCCTCCAGAATCATGTCCATGACCACTGGTACGGTTACTATAATTTTCCATCGCTGTGATAAAATATGCAATTACGAATTACGGGTTGTACAATTTGTCGTAACTTTACAGGTGTCATCGATTTCGACGAGATCAAGGAAGTCTTGAACAAGATCGGAGTCCAGGAACGTCAAGCTGACCCCCTTCGAATTGAAATCGCCGTCATGCTCCACAACAGGGTCATCGCCTACCACGCTGCTGACCAGAAGACCATCACCACCATCCCACAACGTAATTTCATATTTTAAAATTACAAGATAAGATAATAATAGATATGAATTTTCAATGCGATGTTTTAATAATTTAATGTATGAATTTAGTTATGAAGAAGATCGGAGAAATGAAGAGCGCCGCTTACGACAAGGAATTGGTCCGAATGATGCTCATTGGTGTAAGTAAATATTTTATATATGAATGCATAATACCGTTCTATAAACGTGCAATTATACTAATCTGGTAATTTTTGCAGGGAATCACGACCGAACAACCTAATGAACTCGGAATCCCAGTCTCAACCGTTAGCGCTGTCACCAGCGTTGTCGGCCTCCACGCCAAGGTTGGCTCCGATAAGGCCGGAACCGCCATGACCCGAAACTACGAAGTTCGCCTCAACTTGAACATGCACGGTACAGTAAGATTTATTAACGGAGCATTAATTTCACCAACAAATTATTTTAATGCTTGATTCAAATTTGATCATAGGACTTAGCGCTGTGAGCAACCATCTTACTCCCTTCGGAACTGCCCACTCTGGTAAGAATTGTTCTCAATTGTGCATAAATGACCTTTAATTATGGTAACAGCGACCTGACCTACAAATATTTGTCAATATAGTTGAAGCCGCCCGAACCATCCGAATCAGAATCCCACGCAAGATCAGCTTGGGCTTGGATGTTAAACAACAATCCGTCAACTTCGTCATTTCCGCACCAACTGAAGATGACCCGGTCTTGGCCCAAGTTCATGCCACCGCCGTCACCGCTGTTCACTCTGACACCCCCGCCGCCATGAAAGACCAAGATATCATCGATCTTCTCCACCAAACTTGCCCAACTTGCAAGGGAATGGCCATGATCTCCAAGGGAGAGGTAAGCTGATGAGATAATTGAATGTTAAGTTTGTAATTATGAGAATCCACCGAAATTATAATTATTGTTTAAAAAAACATTTAGAAATTCCGTGAGGAACGTAAATTGGGATCAGGATACAAGTACAAAAGCATGGAAGGAATCAACGCTGGAGCCAAATACTACGATTGCGAAAAGGTTCACTCCAGGATCCATGTCCTTAAGCAACTCAGAAAATTCTTCGGACCAGAGAACAAGAACCTCGGGTAAGAAAGTTACCTAAATTGATGATTCTCCTACTCGCAATCGGATTATTACAATGTTTTAATTATTTTGCAGTGGCCGTTTCGGACGCCCACTCACCCTCTTCCGTCTCGGAGCCAGATACATGGTCCAAACTCTTTTCCTGTCCCCAACTACTGAAACTTGTGGAATGAAGGCATGGTACAAACAAGACACCGCTGCCCCATCCGTCTTCGACAAGGTTGAAGGTCAAGCTAAGGTCAAATATGAGGAGGATCCCAAGGACAAACTCGGAAACAAGGCTATGGTTAAGTCTTCTCTTAACTTCAAGTACACGGGAGCCACCCCCAAGACCCGGTAAGTTCATACATTTTCCATTTTGATTAATTTAATTTTCAGGAAATCTAAATTTAAATTTACGTAAAATTTAAATTGTAGATCTCTCGACATGACCCTTACCTTGGTGAAGACTGGTTTGGAGAAGATTGAAGTCAAGACCAAATTGGCTGCCAAGGATGACGCCCTCAACAAGGGAGGAGTCGTTTGCGTCGACGTCACTGCTACTCAGGCCAAGGTTTCCGATTTCTTCGACTACAATGGCGAAAATGAACCAACCTACGAACGCACCATCAACGTTGCCTGGTCCAAGGACATTTCTTCCAAGGATGCTGGCTGCCCTGCCAACTCTGCCGGAATCAAGATCAACAAGAAGGCTCACCGTTCTCAAGCCCAAAAGGATGAGGCCGCCTCCGACGCCTGGCCATACAAGCAATGCCGTGAACAAAAGAGCTCGCCCAAGTAAAAACATATTTAAATTTGATCGTATACCGTGTGGTTCTAATAATTTTGAGTACTAAATGTCATTCTGTTTTAATTCGTAGATACCCCGGAGATCTTACCCCAGCTACTGAACCTTGCCTGTGGGCCACCTACAAGCAGACCAACCTTCGTGAATCTAACATCACCATCAACTACAAGGTTGACCCCGAAGCACGAAACCGATGGAGGTATCCTGGAGCCCTCGTTGCCGGTTAGTTTAGAATTTATGTACATACATATCTTAGTTAACGATTTTAGATCTAATTTTTCATGGAATTTATTTTAGCCGTCCTTATGCCATACTGGGTCCCAAGCGACTCTGTTGATGGTCATGCCGCTCATGGTGATCATGGAGTTTCTGCTGACGGACATCTTCAAGGAGAACTCAAGCTTGATGTGACTATGGATGAGGAACACCCAGAGGCTGATATCCACTGGCACGGATCTGGTGGCGAGTCCGAACACTTCCACGGTGTCGACTTGAACTTCCTCCCAGGACCATTGAAACGCCCGTAAGTTACACTACACCAAATTTATTTTCTACAACTCTTGACAGTTAATCTAATGGTTTTATGCTTAATTAATTCAGAGTCCACTCTCGATTCTCCGCATTGATGTACAAGGCTTTCGATTTGGGAGTTTACGGTAGGTTTATGATGATTTGTTGTTATTTGTGCGCAAATACTAACGAGTATTTTTTTCTGAAGGATATTGTGATGTCACTCCTCACGCTATCCAGACCTTCGACAATGCCACCTATTATGCTGACCTCTCTGAATGCTACACGCTCATTGCTGGTGATTGCTCTGATAAGCCACGATTCGTCGTTCTTGGTAAGTGAAGGATAATTGGTTAAATATCCAACTCACATGCCGTCACTTTACACATTATACTTTCTACAGGAAAGAAAATCTCCAATGACAAGCTTGGTGTTAAGATTTTGGCTGGTGAACACAAGGTCGAATTAAACGACCTGAACAATGTCATCATTGACGGCAAATCTCAGTCACTTTCCGACAAGCTCATCTTCCCCGAGGGTGACACCAAGGTCTTCAAGTAAGTGGATGTTAATATTGTAATTCACACCGACACACACGCCACGCTTCCTAAGAATGCTAAACAACTTATGTTTTCTTCAGGATCTACAAGCACGACGAGAACAACGTGTTCCTCCTCTCCAAATCCTTGGGACTTGCCATCAGATACACGGGTCACTACACCACCGTCACCATCGGAAGCAGATTCCGTGCCCAACAGTGCGGTCTTTGCGGAAACTTTGACGGTTGTCGCAAGAACGATTTCACCGGTCCTGCCACCACCTGCAAGAACTTGCAGCCATCTGACATGACCAAGGCTTACATCGTCCGTGAGGGAAGCTGTGCCGGTGTTGGTTCCGTTTGCCCAAGCAGTTAAATCAAGCTGCCCACAACAACATCATGTATTACTACTTGTACCAACTTTAACTAACCTGAAAACTTGTCTAAATTTTTAACAACTTAATAAATCTGAACGAGACAAGGACCCCCTACGAAAAATAATTTGTGAGTTTTAAAAATGTTTGATTTATTTACAACGACTAGATCTATCTATCATTCACAGGAAATAAGACACATAGTGTAATTTGCATGACATTGTCATTATTGCGTCGGAGCAATTCTCATCTTTTTCACAATGTTCAATATTCGAGGAGAAACTTTGTCGACAGTAGTTGTCGCATTAATTGTATAGTACATCTTCATCAATTTTGAAAAGTCTACGAGATCCGGCGTTAATTGTCCTCCAAGATCTTCTAACACACTGCTGAGATACTCTATTAATGAGGACACAAATAACATGGTTAGAAAACCAACTTAAACGTCTTATCACTATAATGTACGTATATGTACTTACCGATATCTTGAGAAAGTTGCTTTGCTTGACCTTCTGACAAGTAAGTGATTCTTAAAAGTCGATCTGCATAAGCTTCACAAATGCTTACACTGATATTGGATAGAATATAATCAACTGGGGACTTGATTTCACTAAAGAATAAATTGAAATGTTTAATTAATTTGATCGAAAAAAAATTAAAGTTGGAAAACTTACTCTTCTCCAGTTTGATCAAAGGCATGTGCTAAGGACGATGCTTCGGATGTAATAAACGGATCCAAATTCTGAGGAAGCAACATGAGGTACTCACCAACCTACACAATATTTGATTTATTAAGAAAGGATTACACAAATGGAGATAATGCTTGAATCGTACACACCTGTGTAATGTACTCGCTTGGAATGGCCTCTGAAATATAGTAATGATAACAAGACATATATTAAATCCAACCAACTAAATTAATCAGTGTTTTTTGTGTACCTTTCAAATTGCAGTCGCTCAAAACAAAATTTTTCTTTAGTTGGTTCTCAATTGGCTCCGCAGTAACTTTGAGAATCAGTTGAGTCGTGTCTTTACACAATTTCTTGAGTTGAACTATTGCGGACGATAAAAGTGTTTCTTTCTTTTGAAAGAACAGATTTACTTCCTGAAGTAGAGACTTGTTCAAATATATTTCCGAAAATGCTTCCCATTCACATTGGTTGGATGTATTCAGTTTTGTTATAATCCTGGTGCAATTGGCTGTCATATTTTTGTCCAGTTGAGAAACTTGTTCCAGAATCTCACCACATGCTTCGCCAAAGGACAATGAATTTTCAAGTAAGCTCCTTTGTTTTTCAGGCGAACCAGTTGTCCCTTCTAGGATTCTAAAGACTTCAAAGCACCAATCGCGAAATTTTTCCAATCCAGCCTAGCAAAAAAGTTATATGCATTCGCATTACTACTTGGGATTAGTGCCTTATTAGTTTTATTTTTTTGTTCATACATTGATACCACGACCAAAATGGTAATAACCGTAACCGTGATTCAGCATGAGGATTTTTTCTTCTCCTTCCTTCACGCTCAAAATAATTTCGGGAAGTAGGCTGCATAAGGCATAGGACAATTTACTACATTATTAGCCTGTCAGATTAAGAATTTGAGTAAATTACCGTTTGGCACAATCAATTCTTTCTTGAAGTAGAGCACTTGCATCCACAGTGGTAGTCAAATTTCCGGTGGTTATACTACTCTTGATAGCTTCCTGAATTTTAGCCACCACTAGCTTCTCATGATATGAGGAATACTTTGGGTATTGTGGTATAAAGGGAGAAAATAGTACTTTGAGTAACCCCAGCAGGACTCCAGGTTTGGGTTTAGCGTTACCTAATTTTAAGGACACGGTTTTTAAAACGTAAGCATAATATGAATTATTAGGCGAACTTACAATTTGCTTCAATGTATTGTCGTAAATTTTGCACAAATCGATGTGTGATTTGATTGAATTGAAGCAACAGATCCAAAAACGGTTCCTTCCTGGATTCCACATCAAAGCAGTATTGAACTGACGGTTCCAGCATTCCAATTGTTTCCGTATACAATCCGAGTAGCACGTTCAAGGCGAATTCATCACTTTCGTTTGTAAATATAACTTTGCACCATTGAACCTACAGAAAGAAAGAAACAATTTATACTACCTTCTTAGTTATATGTATAGTTTAAAAAAATAATTTATAACCTTTGAACGTAAATGATCCATCAAGTCGTCATAAAATTTGGTTATTGCTTCTTTAAAACTTAGTAGCTCGACATAATTCCGCCATTCTTGTGTCAATTTGATTTTCTCGGAATTTTCAAAATACTTTATGTACTGGGTGGTTCTTTCTAACTTTGAAAACATTACAAAAAACCTCGAGGCGTTATCTGCAATTACAAAGACAACATTTCACTTAAATAAGAGAATTGTTTGAAATAGAAAAATGTCGATAAGCAAACCCACCCATGTCGTTTGTCTCAAAAGCTTGAATGATATGCTTTGTCGCTAGTGCTTCCAATCTGTTCTTCACTTCTTCCAAAATCAGTTTCCTTTCTTCCGAAGTAGATTGATCCAAAACAGCTAAACTTTTCTCCATTCCGAGAATACACTCGTACGATTTATGGACATCGCCAGAATCCAGCAGCTATAACCAAATAAGTTAATTTCAAATTACTGCTATAATCTGTGAATTATAATCTGTTTTACATTACTTGATCAATTTCCTTGCCCAGCGATGTCCATTTGTCTGCTTCTTGAAGGGCTGCAGAGGTTTGCAGCAAATTTGACTTTATGTTATCTAATCTTTCCAACGTGGTCATTGACGCAGTTGTCTTTTTCTGGACCTGAACAAAGAAACCAACTTTAAATTATGTTTTCAGCATTACATTTTACAAAATAATTATTAATTATCTACATTTTCAGCTTCGTTAAATCCTGCAGTAATTTCCTCTTGTAACTTGTTAACTTCTTTGTGAGTTTGCTCGAATTCTCTTGCCACACGAGGGACTTGCACCACCACCTAATATGAAATTATGTATTTCGGATTAAAATTACTTCTCGTCAACCATAGCGCAATTAAGTAAAATCCAAAGTACAAGTATTTCATAATCAAATTACTTGTTGACTGAGCGCATTTATCTGCGCCGTCGTCTTGCTAATTTCGTTGTCCAACTGGGTAGAAAATCGGTTAAATATTTCCTGAAGATAATTAATTAACCAACCAATTATGATTAAATCATTCGAGTTATTGAATTGAATGCATAAATCAACAAACCTCTAAATCAGCAGCTTCGGGTGGATTTTGATCAGACTTAAAAATCTGATGAATCCAAGAGTTAACATCGAATTCTTGACTTTTTAAGGGGGTAAAGTCCATTATGTCAAATATTTTTATTTTAAAAATATAACCATAATTACTTTTAAAAATTAAATATTTTATATGGAACAAAACAAACCACCGGCAATCGATTGTTTTGACAGATGGATTACACTTGAGCAAAGCATAGATCCGACGTGTCCATTTGCATTGCAAAAATTGAGGCAGTTTGCGACAAGAGTTTTATCTCGTCTCGTCTCATCTCATCTCATCTCATTTTTTTTTCATTATTTCCGACAACTAAAATTTGTAAATGGTGATAGGTTTTGAACTTCAGATGATAACATTGTAGTTCCGAAGTCTGTTCATGTCAGTTATACTTATGCCTGTGCTGCTTTTACTTCATTTGCACAAAAATGAAACAAAGATTGTCTGAACTTTTGTTAAATAAAGTCTGGTCAACAACTGAACAGATTAGTTATTCTATGAGTTGGAAAAAGTAAAAGTAATATGCAAATTAGCGATACAAAGTTATAAATGCTTTCTAAAAGTATTATTATGAGGCAGATTCATTTCTCGCTGAATGAGACTTACATATATTGTGCCCAAGTATTTGTAGGATAAATTGCTTTAATTGCCTTAAACATGAAGTGGACAATTTTTCTCACGTATTTGTTCTGGACATGCACAAGTCTCAATTTCTTCATTTCTCCCATTTCCACCCAGAGTACCGTTTCGGGGAACAATTGCACTCAAATCTTACGAGGCGTACGCAGGGCAGGGGCTAACATGGCTGGACGACTCGAAATTCCTTTAGATGCAGAATTTCCCAAGTTTCAAGTAAGATTGAAATTCAATCGGGCTCTTCATCATATAACGGTAATTAATTACTAATTGAAGTAATTAGTAATAAATAATTAGCTAGTTAATTTTCCGCAGTTTCGCCAACTTCGAGCGAAAGATGTTGGATCGAGACGAGAATTTCTTATCGAGCCATTTGAAGTTGAACAGAATGGAGTAATGAAAATCAACACTTTTATGAGGTTGAATAATTTATTTAGTCCTTCACCAAAGTTAATTGGAGTTACATACAATGGGAAACTTTTATGTGGTGGTACGTATCTACAAATTTATATGAGTAGTTTAGTTCCATGCAAAAATTCACACAATTAATAAATTAAAAATCCTAATTTTATACAGAAAATGTGTTTGACGATTCGGTGTTAATCGAGTTGAAAACATCAACAAAACGCTCAATACCAATTATTGTCGATCCAACCAAGCAGCCAAAAGATCATGACGAGGAAGACGAAGTGTTCAATTAGATTACTGTTTGCACGAGATTACAATGTTATTTGTGTACCCGAAATTTATATATTAGTGTAAAATGTTACTAAATATTAAAGAAATTTTCCTTTGGTTTGTATGTAAAGCAAGTGATACTGTCCTCATGATTAGAATTGAAGTTTAACAAAAACTTGAGGGTTTTCTTGTAACAACTGGAAGGTCCACACAAAAAGATGTCGAGAGTTATTGAATACTCTTGGGTGAGATTGGCAGGAAATTCCACTAAGGCTATCCCAATGCTTTGATCTTTTATAATTTCACCAGACGTAACATTGGCTGACTTCGGATTTGATGGCAATTCGGCTACGCGGAATTGACCGCCTTCAAAATTTTCAGGGATATTTGTGATGCATATTTTGAAACTGATTATATTATTGACACTTCTTTGCAATGAGAAAACGTCATCGTATTCAACATGTTTGAACGGAATCTAAAACAAACATAACATTAGTTTCTGACTACTGTAAGTAACATTAATAATTTTAACAAGAGAGTAAGTACATACATTTGTAACAGACTTTGACTGCAAGTTGATTGATTTAATAGCATGGTTATTTGTGTCAGCAACGTATAAAATTTCTCCATTATCGCTAATGCATATCCCACCTGGCTCATTGAACTGCAAAATGACAACAAAACAAATTGTAATGTAGGTAAAATCATATTGAATTAATTTACAAATATGCCGTGAACGAACAATGTACCTTAACATCGCTCAAGTCCCCAACCACATTCCCAGGTGCTCCATTTCCACACAATGTAAAGCATGATTGAGAATCGACATCAACAACTTTCACCTGATAAATTATACACACTGCATTTATAAGAACGAGATTCAATTTAATTTGTAAGCCCTCTCTAACCCTATTGTTGTAGGTGTCGACAAAGTAAACTTGAGATAAAGTTTTATGAGAACAAACACCCATTGGATGCTGCAATTTAACAGAAACTCCTTTTCCATCAATGTCTCCATATGAAAATAAATCCTAAAATTAGAATTAGATACAATTATTAGTACTCCCACTTCTTCATATTCTTGCACATGTTATAAATTATGCATGAAATTACAGTTGGGTCTCGTGCTCCTCCAACCACAGCCTGCACTTTTCCTTTCCCCTCTGTAGTGATGGAACGGATGGAACTGCTTTCACTGTCAGCGATAAAAATTACTTTCGCGTTATCTGGACGATTCAGGACACAAATTCCACTTGGCTGTGCAAATGAAGCTTTAAGAATATAGGCATTATTTCTATTTTCTTCCTTGCCAGTTCCAGCAATAACTGTAAACGTATCCTTATCGAATGGCTCTAATCTGAAAGCAAAAGTAGTAATTATCAGATTTTATGCTTGGTTAGTTCGAAGTACTCACATCATGTGGTAAGCAATCTAAATTCAATTCAACAGGTTTCTACTATCTGCACGAATTTCATTAGCAAGGTTTTATGTTATTAACTACAATTTATAGAGTCAAGATAACTTTGTAAAAGTCGAATCGAAAATGTTTGGTAAAAAGATAAGAAAATTACAGGGTAGTTTGTTACTTTCACGTCTACTGTGTTCAAACTGGGGAACTCACTCCGAAAAAAGTTTGGACGATTCAAAAAAGTAGGCGAAGATTCGGTGATTACCAGCAGCAGCTACAAGTAGAATTTCTTTTGAAAAGAATGTTACATCCCAAGGTGAACGAAGGTGCACAATTTCTTCATCGTGGCTATAATTCCATCCGGGAGGAACAAGGGTACAAACTTTTCCTAGCATCAAATCAACCTGTGTATGAAAATTTCAAATTGTTGACAAAATTTTGCACTGATTTCCGTAGTTTAAGTACTTGTCTTATTGCATGGTTTCCTGTGTCGGCAATAATCAACACATTTTCGTCTTTGAAAACAACACCTTGGGGGAAGTAAAATTTTGCCTGTGAGAAAGTCCCATTCGCGTAACCTCGTTGAGAACTCCCAATGATGTGCTGTAAAAATGTGGTTGACATTATTTAATAAGAAATATTGCGAAATATTCCATCAGTTGCTGGTCATGTACCTTAATAGACCCATTTAAATCTGATACAATTATTCGATGATTTCCGGTATCCGCAATGGCTAGAATACCATTTTTGGAAGCAACTTTTCCTATAAAAGTAGTAAACGAACACGGTTTTTCATAATTTCTATTTCTAAAGTTTAATTCTGAATATAAGTATGTACCTGGATATCGTAAGATGTGATCGAAAGGTTTCTCTACGGTTTCTTCCTGAGGTACTTTTCTTTGGGAACTTATTTGACCTCCATCAACCATGTCATTCCCCGTAACTCTCAACTTGTGTCGAAAATATGCCAGCGCAGAGCTTAAAATCAGCTTTAAAATATGTTTATGTCCTTCTCCCATCATTGTAAATAGCAAATTCATCCCATCGCCGTCTGGATTTGGTCCTAAAATCAGTAACGTTGGCCAGCACGATATCCCTAACTCGTTCCATAACTCACATCCAGGATCATTTACTACATCCGAATAATCCATCTTAAACTGTTCAGTAAACGACTTGATTGATTCCAATTCTTTCTCTCGAGTGAATTTGGGCGAATGAATGGAAACGATTTTTAAACCTAAACCATTTCGTGAATCCGATTTCGTCACGTCTTCATAAACTTCTCTCACATCTTCGATGCTGTGAATACAATTGATACAGCAGTGTGTAAAAAATTCGACTAGAACAATGTTCCCATTTAACGAGTCCAACTTTGGCAGTTCTGTTGTATTGATAGCTTCAAGCTCTGTAATAATGTAACAAGTCCCAACACCAAATTAGCTATCCTATTTTTAACTACACATAATTTACCATGTTTTTAATGGCTCACTCGTTTTATCCATCTCAATTCGTAATGGATTCCTGCCCCGTTCAATTAGTCCATCTTCTACAGAAAATTCATAGAAATTGTCCAGATATTGCTCCACTAATTTTTTGATCGGCTTTGGGAGTGTAGTGCTTTCTCCTTTCTCTAATTTTGAAATCTGTTTATTCAGCCAAGGATAATTCATTAATATATAAAGAATAACAATTCTAAAAACAAATACGTAAATTTAGTCCAAGATAATAAGTTTATGAGTTATTTTTGGCATAGAACGCCACGCCACAGAGATGGCTTGGCTGTTTTATTGCTCGCTGTGCCTTGGTTTGTATGTTTGCTGGCCCTCTCATTCCCTACTCAGATTGCACTCGTGACACTCGACTCTATCGTGACTTCAACTCTATTTGGATTTCAAAAATGGCTACGAATTTTGGCCAAATTCGCGATCAGTTGACTGACTTTAATTCTTTTGGATTAATGACAACCCTAATACCACCACCCCCCGAAGTTCAACAATGTTGGCAGTGGAACACAGACTCTTCAGAAGTTCAGCTGCGAACAAATTCGGGAAACTTGCTGAGAATTCCCTCGGGATGTCCAATCTTTGATCAAGAATTACAAGGTAAATATGTATATTTATTTATAGCAAGATAAATTATTCTTGATGGTGATTTATTTTTCAGAATTTGAACGTTATATACCCCGATCAGTACTCTCGAATGACTTTGCATCGACTCCAGCAGGGGGTCAATTTACCGCAGGAATGGCTGCAGATATTCAGGAATTTCGAGTGGATTTGTCATCAAATCCAGGAAAACCGTCCACGACAAGGATTGCTTTACTTCGTATGATTTACCAAGCTGATATAAAGAAGATAAGAATGAGGGAGGAGGGTGGTAGATTAGTTGTAAATAAAATAACTGGGCAGTTACAACCCTATGACGCTGCATATCCTCAACCGAACATAACGACGACCATTCCTAATACCAGTCAAGCCAGAAATCATCTAGGTAATCGTATTTAACTTAAATGAGTTATATGTAAATTTTTTTAGTTATAAGAAAATCTTTTGTTTTTCAGATATTATTGCAGACATCAATCTAAATGGAGCGAGAGGATTTTATGGACCTCGGAGTGAAAGATGTCGGCACGGAAAATGTAATGTCACAGGACCCTGTGTTGATCAGTCCGCAACCGTGGAATATGGACCAGACCTACTCTTCCAACCCCGAAAACGATTCACATGTGAAGTAAATAATGTTGTTTATTTACTGTATTGCAACGAGTGCCTTCGTTTAGGACTCAGTACTACCTACTGTGGCGAAACTGAAGTAGAGGCAAGTTTGTCATGTATATTCTTCAGAATATTATGTTTTATAATAATTGTTTTCTCTTTTCTGCACTCTAGGAAAAGAATTGCCACCAACGCTTTGGACAACATACGTACAAGTTTTCAACTCGAAGTTTGAATACACGCTTCCCTAAGGGCACCAATGAACGACTAGTCGCACTTCGAGAAGTTTTTCAAGGAGTTTTGGAAGGAGATGAAGATCCCGACAGAGTGATGCAAGATCCCTACTCTCATTTCACTCTTGTCCACCCCCCCACAAATGGCAATGATCATCGTCGCTACGTTTTCATTGATGGGGGATTCCCATCAGTTCGGTCAAGAAAACTGTGTGAGATGAAATTTATTAGTTTTTTTGGAGCAGTCGACTACAACTACAACACACATTCGGGCAATCTAAACCACATGTAAAAACTCATTGTTATCTTACACCATGAATTATTTATAAGACTGAGAACTTAGCAATTATATTCCTGACCTTAACCGATGTATTACTAATTTAAATTGTTTTAAATAAATCGTTTCACGACATGTATATTCATACCAGATATTGCCAAACTGATTCCAGTTCGCCAGATTCATTCCCAACTCCATCGACATCCTCCGGCTCATCAGTAATTATCTTCTTCTCCTGCTTAATGGACGTGATATCCTTCAGATAAGTGATAAAATTAGCAGATCTACCATAATTTTCAGAAACACGGTCAGCCTTCGAAAAGTCGGGGTTAAAATTAAACTCTTCAGTGGAACCGTAACAGCAACAGGTCTCCTTCTCTTCAGGGTCCATTCTTGGTGGTATTATTCTTTTGTGGAAGTTATTTAAAAATTAAAAATAGTCAACAAAATAGATAAAAACAAAAAATATTTTAGTACCACACAGCGGATTCGTAACCCGATTTATACGAAAATCCGACTTGGCGGTGTAGAGCTGAAGCGGCAGGTTGACAACTTTGAACGTCGGCAATGTGTTTTTCGGTGCACGTGTATTTTGATATTACGTTTTGGAATACTTTAATTGTTGAATTATTGAGTTGGAATTTTACAAATTGCTTGGAAAATGTTTCCAAATTGTTAACAGAAATAGGTTATCGCCCGAATAGAATATTTTTCTGTAATTAGTGCAATGGGGAAGAAAAAGGGAAATTCAAGTAAGTCATCGCCAGCAGGGAAGAAGGCAAAATTTGTGACGACCAAGGGTCTAGAAGAAACGATCGACGTTCAGAATCAGGTACTAATTTACTTTAATTCATCAAATATCAAATTATACAAATTACTAATTTGTGAATTATGTAGATATCATCGCTCTGTTTGGATCAGACGATGGATTCCTGCAGGGAAGAAATGATAATGGATGAGATTAAACTGCTGAGAAAACAATTACTTGAAAGTCCAGGACGTGCACTGGATATAGTTTCAAACTGTACGAGAAATCCTGCTCTGCTGACCGCGGCCCTGGATGGATTGATTGACTATGAAGACTGCATAGCTGTGATAATTATTTTGGGAAAGTTGATTCTGTCTTATCCATCAGCTTCGAGGTATTTAAACTTCAATTTGAAATTTTGCTGTAAAAATTATTATTAAATTTGTGATATTGCTTCGTTTCAGATTTGCAGAAGCATATCTGACTCGTCATGGATCCCCCTTTAAATTGATGAGTGTCTATCCGTCCACGGACGGTGAGGACGAGCCAAGCAGCAAAAAGTTGAAGACGACGTCACTAGTGGTCATTCAACAAAAGGGGGGATCACAGGCCGCTATTTCTCAGGAAATCATTTTAGAGCTGTTTAGTGGACTACTAGTCGTTCTGAGGAGGCTTCCTCGTCACGTGTATTCGTATTCATGGGACATTAAAAATATTCTCCAATTCAATTCACCCGATTTCAGCCAAGAGATTCGATGGTAAAAAATAATACTGTTTCAAAAGATAACATTTCAATTGACCTACATAAATGGTGATTTGATTTTCTATTAAAATAAATAGGCATGCCTACCAGTGCACTTCACTTTTGCTCCACCTTTCCGAAGTTGAAATGAAGCAGTATTCCAAAAATTGGAGCATTTCGAACAGCCAAGATCAGTCATTCACGATGCAAAGGAAAATTCAGTACCTGCAAGATAGCTTCAAAATTACGTTGTCCGAAACTCAGTATCCTCAAGGGATTCAAGTATTGGACGAAAACATGATATCGTTTGAAGGGCTCGTCATAAAGCAGAAAAATCACACGGACGAATTTTGTTGTAATGAAACGGTCATGTTCCCCTCCTTCATGAAACGAGTTAAAGACATCCTTATTCATGTGATGAACAATTCCCCAGTGTGTGTAATTGGTCCCATTGGATCAGGAAAGTCGACCACAATTCGACAAGTCTTTTCAATGTGTGGACGACGAGATTATCCAGATTTGATCAGCGTGCAAATGAATGACCAAATGGACTCGAGAGTTATTTTGGGTTCTTATCATTCAACCGATTTACCAGGACAATTTGTCTGGAAGCCTGGTTGCCTTACAAAAGCAGTGCTCAACGGTCATTGGATAATTTTTGAAGATATTGACGCTGCACCTGCAGACGTCTTGACTCTCTTGGAAGGATTTATGGATACGCGGACATTATCTGTGGCAGGATATGGTGAAATTGACTATATTCATCCTGAATTTAGAATATTTGCTACGTGTAGAAGTCTGGGATCGAGTCAAGAGATACGCTATGGACGAATTGGGAAGTTATGGAAGAAAGTGGTAGTCAGTAATTACGATGTGGAAGATTTGAAGTTAATTGTGCCAACCAGATTTCCCCACTTGCGTCCCATTGTTGATGTGTTGGTGAATATTTTCACTGCGTTAAGTAGTTTAAGCGGAGGAAAGTCTGTAGGGAATGCTCGAGTATTATCAGTCAGGTACTTACGCGAGAACAATTCGTATTATCATAATTTTTATTAAGATTCGAGTTTAATATTTTGGTTTTGAATAGGGACTTTTTGAAATTCTGTCAAAGAATCTCTTCCAACATGGATTTCACTTGCGCTTCGACTTCCGTTTCAATTTTCCAGGATGGCTTGGACCTCTTTGTTTTGTCATTAAGTAGTACTGGTAGGATTATCACATGCAAGATGAAAATACATAGTTAATTATTATAATTTGTAATAATTTAAATTGTAGATGAGAAAGATGCCAAAGCCGAGACGATTGGAACACATTTAAATCTACTGAAATCAAAGGCAGAATATTTTTTGACGATGTACACTCCAAGCATCGCTCTTTGTACAAGATCAAACTCGTTTGTTTGTGGCAGATTTAGTCTTTCAGTTGATAAGCCTCTGTTCGCCAATTTCAAAAGGTTTGTCATATTTGAATTTGAATAGCATTTTGCTTTACTTATCAATACTAATCATTGATTTATTGTTTTTTGTGCGGTAGAGATTCGAGTGAAGTCTACTCCTTGACTAGAAGAACATGCAACACTCTGGAAGTAATTGCCGGATTTATCAAGAATAAAGAACCTGTTCTACTTGTTGGCGAAACGGGAGTAGGAAAGACCTCCTGTGTTCAACATCTTGCAAAAGTTCTGAACCGGAAGTTGGTAGTTGTGAACTTGAATCGACAAAGCGATTCGGTAGACTTGCTCGGGGGGTGCGTGTGTAACCTTAAGTCACATTTCACAATTCATGCAATAATTTGTGTAATATCTTTTGTATTTCAGGTACAAACCCGTCGAACTGAAGTACATTTTCCTACCACTTCGAGAAGATTTCGAATCTTTGTTTGTCGAAACATTTAATCGTGAATCAAACGCAAAATACTTGAATCATATAATGACTTGTTACGGTAATAAGCGGTGGAAAGACCTCATTAAATTGATGACTCACGTCGAGAAATCTGCATTTGCCAAATCTCAAAACAAGGACTTGCTAGAAAGGTGGACAACCTTGTACCAGAAAATTTATCGGGTGGAGAAACAATTGTTCGGAGGTGAAGAAAGTCCTTTTGCATTTTCATTTATAGATGGGTAAGTGTTGTAATTCTCAAATGTCTGTGATTCGTATTACTGACTTCAAAGGAATTACTAACTGTTTTTGTAATAATCTTACAAATAGGACGCTGATTAAAGCCATTAAAAATGGTATGCCATTTAAAATAATAAGTGCTGACTGAAAAGCTCTGGTAATTATTTATAGTGTTATTACTTGATTATTTTATTGTTTTTAGGCTACTGGATTCTTCTGGACGAAATAAATTTAGCTACGTCTGAAATGCTACAGTGTTTGGCCGGCGTTCTTGATGAACATGCTCAAATTCATTTGTGGGAGAAAGGGGATGATAAACCAATTAAACGAAATGAAAACTTTCACTTATTTGCTGCTATGAATCCTTCGACTGATGTTGGAAAGAAAGATTTACCTATTGGAATAAGAAATAGGTAGAATATTTAAGTCGTACGTTACTAAATACTTGATATCTGTTAATAATTTTATGTTTTCTACTTTACAGGTTCTCCGAGTTGTATGTTGGAGAATTAACTGACGCCGACGAACTTCGTGTTCTTGTGTCGGATTATCTAAAGGAAATGTGTCTAGCAAGTGGTCAAATTAGCAATATTGTTCAATTCTACATCAAAATACGACGACTGGCTCAGACTACATTGGTAGACGGCTTAGGAAAGCGACCCCATTATAGTTTACGAACATTGTGCCGAGCCTTAAAGATTGCGTCGTTGAATTTGTTTGGAAGTATTCTTCGATCTCTGTATGAATCCTTCTGTTTAAGCTTCCTAACTCAATTAGACTTTGATTCGCATCCTGTTGTGGAACAACTTGTCGCCGAGTAAGTTATTATCAAGATTGCCAATAAGTGATTTTTTTCTGACATTTCTGACGGCATTACAAATTTTGTAGGCACATTTATGGGAAGACTAATGTTAAATCTATCGTCAATCAACCAATCAGTTGTCCAACCGCAAACCCCAACTGTACAAAGATGGAGGGATACTGGATTCCTTGTGGGGACCTTGAAAAGAAAGTTCCTGAGAAATATATTCTTACTTCAAGTATTCGACGAAATTTAAAAGATATTTCCAGAATTGTATCTGCTGGAAAACTTCCCATTCTAATTCAAGGAGCTACATCCGTTGGAAAAACTAGTTTAATTCAATATCTAGCAGAATGTTCTGGAAATAGATGTTATCGCATCAATAACCATCAACATACGGATTTACAAGAATATATTGGGTCATACCAATCAGATAGTAATGGAAAATTAGTATTTGCTGAAGGTACGTACATGTGCAGTAATAGAAAGATTATTCATATCTCAGACCTCACATGCATCCAAAATTTATTCATAAATGTTCATCTTTCGTTTTATTTTTAGGCGTTTTGGTCCAGGCAATGCGAAAAGGAGAATGGATTATTTTGGACGAGTTGAATTTGGCCCCATCCGAAGTTTTAGAAGCTTTAAATCGTCTTTTGGATGATAATCGACAACTTTTCATCACAGAGACTGGGATTACGGTGACAGCTCACCCGAGATTTATGTTGTTCGCTACCCAAAATCCACCAGGCCTTTATGGTGGCAGAAAGGTACACACAGTACATAATATATTGCTTCGGGATAAATCTCGACAATTTTTAAATGCACACGATTACATAAATTTATTTTATTCTATTTCATTTAGATACTTTCCAGAGCATTCAGGAATCGTTTCGTGGAATTACATTTTGACGAGATCCCATCACTGGAATTAGAAAACATTCTTCATCTTCGATGTGCCATTCCAGTGTCGTATTGTAAGAAAATCATTGGTGTGATGAAAGACTTGCAGGTTATTTATTTATTTAGCTCTTTCTTAAAATACATTCCAAATATGATTTTAATTTTAAATTTACTTTATAAATCATACTAAAAATTTAAATAGCTGCGCCGAAAAGCAAGTGCTGCATTGCAAGGAAAGCATGGATTTGCAACACTGAGAGACCTTTTCCGATGGGCTGAACGATACCGACTTTCTGGAGACCAAACAGCCAAGTTTTATGATTGGGATCAACACTTGGCTGACGAGGGTTATTTAGTGTTAGCTGGGAAGGAACGTAAAGAATCAGAGTCTTTGGAGGTTTGAACCATCAAAAAACTCATTCGATTCTTATCTCCACAATAATAAGACTTGTTATGTTTTGCAGATTCGAGAAGTTTTAGAAAAAAGATTTAAGAGACAAGTTGATCCGAATAATTTATTCACCTTACATGATCAAACGAGCAGTGTGACTCGCGAAATCCTAGAGTTAGTTTTAAACAGCAACCTTCCCGAGTTTAGACACATCGTATGGACTTCTCAGATGAGAAAACTTGCCGTTTTAATCGGCACAGCTATGAAATTCAAAGAACCAATTTTGCTGGTTGGTGAGACTGGATGTGGGAAGACCACGGTTGTGCAACTTTTGGCACAATTGATGAATCGACAACTCTATTGTGTCAATTGTCATATGAACAGCGAAGGAAGTGATTTTCTGGGTGGACTGAGACCTGTTCGAGATCACACACAGAATGTATAAACTCGATATCATAAGCTAAAGATATGCAAAACCTTATTTCGTTTTCTTTTTACATTAAGGATGGACGACTGTTTGAATGGGTCGATGGTCCACTTGTCGAAGCAATGGAAACGGGAAGTATATTTTTGGCTGATGAAATTTCCCTTGCTGATGATTCTGTGTTGGAACGCCTAAATTCCGTCCTGGAACCAGAAAGAACATTACTCATTGCTGAAAAGGGTGAAGAAATTCCTAAATTGATTGTTGCTGATTCAAACTTTCACTTTATTGGAACTATGAATCCCGGTGGCGATTATGGAAAGAAAGAGGTACAATTTAATTATCTTGTTGCTGTGATAGTTAGCTCTACACTAGTCTATTATTAGACTAACATGTTTATGTAACTTTCTCTAGCTTTCACCAGCGTTGCGGAATCGTCTAACCGAGATCTGGTGTGATTCGACAACAAATGAAATTGACCTGGTTGCTATTGTCGAACATAATTTGGTACAACATGTTAGGGAGAATGGCGTTGGACAAATTTTAGTTAGTTTTGTGAATTGGCTCCAAAATAATGACCTTGGACAAAAGTGCATCGTTAGTGTTAGAGATTATCTGTCCTGGGTGCATTTTATTAACTGCATGATAAGCCCTCCAATGGTGATGGCCTTAAAAGATGCAATAATTCATGGAGCTTGTATGACTGTCTTGGATGGATTGGGCACTGGAAACACAGGAGGAGAAACGTTAGTCATACCGTTTTTTGTACTATTATTTACGAACCTAAAAAAATATACGCTCTATATCCGTGGGTATGATGTAATAATTTTTTTTGGTTTATTTTTTATCTATGCAGTACGTATGCCCAAGCACTTCGACATAATGCCCTGAATTTCATTGAGACGCTGTTTACGACATCATCGTCTTTACCGGATTCTGAAACTCATAAAAAACTGGAGGCTTCAATAATAAAAGTTGATGAAAATAGCGTCAGTTGTGGACCATTTAGCCTCAAAATTAACCCTTTCGTTCTAAATACTGCGGACACGACTGTTCGATTTTCAATGAATTCACCAACCACATCCATTAATGCTATGAGGGTTTTACGGGCGATGCAATTGAGGAAACCTATTCTATTGGAGGGATCTCCCGGAGTAGGAAAAACTGCATTAGTGTCTGCACTGGCTAAAATGGCCGGATATCCCTTAACAAGAATTAATTTATCAGAGCAGACCGACATATCAGGTATATTCATGTCAAATTGTAATATTTACGTATATATATGTATGTGCACCGCTAAATGAGTCGACTGATTTATGGGTATCAGATTTATTTGGAGCTGACCTCCCAGTTGAAGGCAAAGATGGTGGCAACTTTGAGTGGAGGGATGGTAAGATATAGATTTATATCTCACTATTGTCTTGCACGACGTGAACTTTCTGAAGTAAAGATTGTTATGTTTATTTGCATGAACAGGTCCTTTACTCCAAGCTTTGAAAACACGCTCTTGGATCCTCCTTGACGAATTGAACCTTGCCAGCCAGTCGGTGCTTGAAGGTTTAAATGCATGTCTTGATCACCGAGGCAGCGTCTACATTCCAGAACTCAACAGAACGTTTCAAATTTCTACCACGGATGGTAATGGTTCTAGCGATGGATCAAGAATATTAGGATGTCAAAATCCAGTAAGACAAGGAGGTGCAAGAAAAGGACTTCCCAAGTCGTTCCTGAACAGATTTATTCAAGTCTATGTGGATGTTCTATCCGTCGAAGATTTTAATTTTGTTCTACAAAAGTTTATGCCCACTTTGCCTGCACCAACGATACAATTAATGGCAACCTTTGCCTCCCGATTGCAACAAGTTGTATGTCAAGAGGGACGATTTGGGGTAAAAGGTGGACCCTGGGATATCAATTTACGCGATCTTATGCGATGGGCCGAACTTACCGTGAACAATGTGGTGAACGAACCTTTTAATTTTTTGGAAGAATTCTCCCCACAAAGTTACGTCGATATTATATACGGGCTACGAATGCGAACGGGCAGCGATAGACGAAAAGTGCATCAACTCTTCTGTGACACTGTGCAGGAATTATTTCCAGGGACAGAAATAGACGTGGACACTGTATTACGAGGCGTATCGCGTGATGTCACCTTACTTGACAACGAAATAATTTGTGGGCTTTCTCGTCTGCCTAGAGTCGGCGGTATTGAGTTTAGCAATGACAAGTTATTAGTGCTCCAAAAAGATGTGGCACAATTGGACGCGATCATGACGTGCTTGAGCATGGGATGGATGCCAGTGTTAACAGGTCCAGCGGGCTGCGGAAAGACGTCTCTTGTCAGATTGATGGCAGAATTATGTGGGAGAAAATTGGAGGTGATGCATCCCAGTCCTGAAATGGATACGATCGAGCTTCTTGGAGGATTTGAACAGGTAAATGATTTTTTTCTCGTACTGTTGTCATCTCATCTCATACCATACGTACCTCGTCGAAAGTAACGTGAGACAATATCAATCTTTTGGAAAGATTACTTTCACCATACGATGGCCGTTAGTTGAAGTCCCATTATTGAGATATGTCACGCATCTGTCTTCATTCATTTATGTGTTGGATTGGATCATACAGCAAAATTGAAATTGAAAGCCTTGCTCGAAAAGTGAAAGCTTTGCGGCGTAGTGCGCATATAATGCACCATGTTAATTCTTTGTCATTTTATTCGCATCTTAAGAGGATAATTATTATAAATACAAATGCAATGGAGGATTATGTAGATTATTTATTCGGTCAGGCTATGTTCTTATGATTAAGATTGATTCGAATTACATGACAAGTAGTGCTAGATATAAATGCGTAAATATTTAGTTTACATAAGCCCATTTTTACGCTTACAATTATTTTATTATATTAGATTCTTATAGACTTGATGTGATGGTACAATGATTCAGTTGAAGAAATTGCAGTCTATAAGCTGGAAGAGTGCTTATCAAAGGAATATTCTTATCTTAAAGGGCACTTACTGTCTACTATATTCAGACATGAGCCAATTTAGTTAAGGTTAAAAGTGCAAGCTTACTTATTCTAATTGTTGTGTATTGTTATTATTCTCACTGGATTGTCCTTAATATTATTGGTAGTAGCACGATTCTTGAAATTTCATCCGTTTTCGAAAAAGGGGCTCGGCCATTTTTCTGTAGCATTTCCAGGTTCGTAATTCTTCAAAATCTGTCTGGCCATCGATTATCTTCAGAAGTTGGGGACAAATCGTCCATCGACATCTGTTTCAAATTGAGTCAAATTGATTAATTCAATTTCTGCTTTCATGTCATGTCCACTGTTTACTCAAGACTACGTACACCTAAATTGTATTTAATTCTTTATATGGCCCTAACTTCAGTCGTCGAAAATTTGTAAATATTTCAGTTTCCCCCAGAAAACGAAAATGCATAATTCATGCCAGTCCACATGACTAGAAGCTACTTTTCGTTTGTGCACGCACCCGTTTTATCTGTGTTTCTATTCCTACGAGGTTGTGTCCGTAGAAGACTTCATGATCAATCTAAAGATGCGAATATGTGAAACCAACTCACTGAACTTTGAGTGTGTGTGACCTGTCTACGTGGTCGTATTCGCCATGTGAAAGAGATCCGTAAAATTGTGCTCTCTATAAGATAAGTCAGTAGTAGTTATCATGGATGAAAGTCTGTCCTACATACTTGGCTTATGTATGCCTGTGATATGAGATTATCATATTTTTGTTAGTTCTTGTGTTTTTTTGCGTGCGTGTATACCATATTCAGAGAGAAAGAGAGGATGACGGGTGAAAGTAAAAGTCTATCCAAAGTGGGAAGTTCCGTTCCACTTCCGCTCACTCGTGAATGAATAATGTTTGTTTCACGTCGGGTAGGAAAGAAAAATACGGTACAGCGTGTGGGTTGAGGTTGCCCTTTTCCACTCTCTTGTGTGGTCAGCCACCTTGCTTGCTTCTTGTCATATTTGAATTTTGTGATCTGTCCCAAATGTACATTTGCGTCAATTATGGTGTCAATTATGAGCAAAAGTGTTTTTTGGAGTCAGCATTTATATTATATTTAGGAGCAAATGTCATATTTAAACCCGGCTGCATGTTCACTTTCACTCGACTTTATGTAATCTAGCAACCCCTCATTTACATACCTGTCACTTGTTCTATGACGTAATATTCATACCTGTTTCCTAAACGCCGAACTGGCCGGTGGTAATGGCGGTGGTGGGAGCATATCATCCGTAAGAATCAGCGGAGGTGAGGGAGGTCCCCCATTCCTACATCCCGTTGACACCAGCAATCGATCTGATTTAAGGGACACCGACCTCTTCATTTTAAGAAGACTTGCAGAACCAGGAATATGCACTAGATCCCCCGCACTGTGGTGTAGCACGACTTGCGAGTGCGGCGAATGGGACCGAGAATGCGGTCTGCTGCTGCCGGGGAAAGCGTGGACATGATGATTGTCAATGTTTAGCTCGTGGTGCTGGCTTCGTCGTCGGATTCCTCTCTCCATCATGCTCCCACTACTTTCTCCCCCACCGGGACTGACCGGGATGCCGAAGTCCATCCCCAACCAGAGGCAAATGAAGCAGCACCCTTCAATTAGGCAGTGTTTGAGTCCTTGTCGGAGTGGGTGGTGCAGCAGGAGGAGGAACAAAGGGTGAAGAATGGAGTGAGCAAAGGCAGCCAGGAGCGTAAACTCGTACGCGATGGGAGCAGGATCCTCCCATGTTCCTTTCTGTTCGTTTCCTACACAAGAAAATTTGATCATCAGCACGGCAAGATTTCTCTCCTCGGCATCAGCAGGATTCATATTTCTAGCCACTTTCTCCCCATTTTATGAGACTCCTACATTCTAAGCATTATTAGCTTGATTGATTTTTTGGCAGAAAATGCAAGGTTGCATCATCCTCATATGTACCAGACCACCCACCATCAAGCTAGACGTGATGATGTTTTCTTAGACTGTCAGAATATACGATGATGAAGGACGTGCTACACCTTGAAGAAGTTTGTGAAGATTTCTTATCCCGTTTTTTTTCAAAGATCGGCCAAGGTGAAAGCATACACATGTGTGGGTTCACCTATTGAAAAATGATTGAAATCTGTATCCCATTCATCCACTTGGGTCTTTCAAATGCCTCAGCCGAATGCATGGGTAGAGAGGTTTATGCGAAAAAATGAGACTTCTTCCATCAAAATAATTTCATGGTTGGGGAGACGATATTATTATAAATATGAATAAACCTTGAACAGGTGAAAGGTTATTAAATATCTAGATATAATATATCCAATGCCTATATGATATTTGTGTGCCAAGGCGTCTAAACATTTTGTTATAGATACGTGGGTTTCTTTAGGGTAAAGCCTAACTGCAAAAGTTAGTTTGTTCTATTTTCGACCCCGACTTTCACCTGGCTCGTTATGTATATTGCAATTGAAGTCTGCGGTTTCTCTGGAGGGACGATTCTATCGGTCGGATATTTTTCTCAATCCTCTCTCTGTTTCTACTTCAATCATGTAACGCTTGACTGACGCTTGTGAGTGTAGGACTAAAGTTCATTTCACGGATGACATCATTGGCCCATTTTTAACCGCAACTTTCACCAAGCTTTACTTTCTACAGGGTATATAGTGCCGCAGACATTCGTATTCATGGTTCGTTGTGGTGATAGCGGTTATACGTATAAAGTTGATTCGTTTGATTGAGACGTTGCAATTGTGAGGTAATATTGGTAGGCGGACAAGTTAAACGTGAGGGGGAGATGTTGTTGGTGGTTATACAACTGCTAGAAATAGTAGTACACATAAGTTTTGTTCCGGATAATTGTACTTGGAACAATGTCATTAAATTAGCTTCGAGTCCCATCTGTGACGATAACAGAACAGAACAATATCAATAGTTCGAGGCCACCACCCACGCCACGTTAGGAATTGTTGCATCAATACTTAAATCTCTAACTAACCGAACTGATTTAAAATAACATATGCTTGTTGGCAAACAATTATTTTCTATGATTTTCACAAAAATCTAGGGATGAAATAAGTCTTTATATTGCTTTGTGAGTATGTAATATATTACATACATTCATATCAATTTGTTACCAATAACAAGTTACTACTATTTTTATTGTCTCCTCTTCTCACAACCGTATGCAGAGGGTCACCACTGCCACATACGAAGCTCGGAAAGAGATCGAGATCTCTATTCGTCCCATCACTTTTTTCTACCCTGATTTCATTGCAGTTGTATCGTGCTCATGGTTCAGAAAAGGTTTTGGCTTGGTTGGTTTTCCGGTCTCTTTTATGTTTCCTGTGTTGTCTTGCAGCTGGAATTCGGTTTGGATGCCGCACACAACAAATAAATAAGAGCACTCTAACCCTGTTCTTCCTTCTACACAATACTACCATTTAATGGGAAAAGTCCGTGAAATCTTCAATGATAGTGATAGAAAAAGAATGTTATCAAAGAAGCCTGATGATGATAGAGGCAGAGATTTTCACCCATTATTTTTCCTACACATGTCGTATCCTGTGTCTACTAAAGGTCTGGAATGGATTGGAAAATTTGATGGGATCTACTGAGTAAACTATCGAAAGATATGAGTAGTTATGTGGATAAGAAAAAGTTTCCGAAACGATAACTGGACATAGAATTGATGGAGAACCACCCTTCTTGCTTGATTGAGGAATGATGGTCTTTCATACAAATCTTACATTACGGAGAAAGACAGAATACTTTAAGTTTATTACTTCTCGACAGAAATAGGACAACAATTTATCTGACTTGTCGTCACGACTTTACTCTCCGAAAGTGGGCTGCGTATTTCTCTGATGCGAAAAATAATTAAAATTATGAAACTCAACTTACCCACTGGAGCCACGAGAGCTACCACATAAAGAGGAACCCAGCAAACCAGATTGATTACGGCCAACGTGCTCAACGTTCGTATATGGCATCTCCCATTTTTCTGCGCTTCTCTAATTAGCACATCCAACTCACCAGCAGTGGCCAGCGACCCTCCGCCGCTACGATGGTGTGGCAGATGACTTGTTAACGTACTAGTTTGGCCTCCACATGTCGCAACTGTGGCCATGGGAATTTTTGAACCATGTGTAGTAGCATTTTGAGATAAGCTGCTACTTTGTTTATTCTGCATAATCCCAGCCATTCCGGCGATTCCGCATCCTGCCGCGGCAAGAAGCCCCATCCTTGCTCGAGCTGTAATTCATAATAATACAGGAAAAAGATTTATATCTCTGAATTACAGCAGCGATTCAGTTTTAGTATTGTCTCCAAGTCACAGTGGTTGAAATTCGTGTTACGAGTTTATGCCCGTGTCTGGATACAAATTTAATTTAAAATTCTCATTTATGTCTGTAAGCGTATCAACTACTTTCCCCCGGTGTCTGGAACTATTGCAGCTTAGTTTTTGGTGATGGTGGTGGTGGGGGAAGCATTTCAATTTAGTGTAGTGTAATACTTTCACTCCCAGCAACACTCTTGATGTTATGAAGTTCCTCTTCAAAAGTGATTTTAAAAGAAACGTGGAAAAAGAAAGCACTCAAATTGAAGAAGAAATGCCAACATTTACATTCTCCTTAAAAGAAGAACAAATATTTTCTTTTCCTTGCATGCGAAATTGTGTACCACTTGCAAACTGTCTACTCTTTTATTTTTTATTTTTGCTTAGCACAGGGTAAAAATCCTACATCTGCTCGTTTGGACGGATTGAACATATTTCATACCTATTTTTGTTCGGGCTAAAGTGAAGTACAGACTTCTATAAATAGCCAGCATTGTACGTGGACGATATATTGGTAAAGTAACTTTTACTTGTGATAACCATGCAACCATGCAGTTATTAAAGAGCTACTGGGGAAAAAAGTAGACCGTGATGCGCCTGGTGTTTTGATGGCGAAAAGTTGAGCAACACTTTCACCGCTTTCTTTCTTCTTTCTCGCTCTCTCCATCATTCACACCCCTCAGTGCATTCCACGAGTAGATAGATAGTGGTGTTGGTTTGGCGGTGGTTGGAGTCGGATTTGCCACAAAAGTTGTTTTTATGACTGATTGGAATGCAGTGGTTGCTGCCTCAAGTGTTTGCTACTGGCTAAACAAGTGAGTGAGTAGGATTGTTTGTGGCATGGGAAACGAGTCAGAATCACACTTTGTACTACACGATTTGATGCTTATCTGTTTGTAAGAAATGTTGAAGAGGAGGAGGATGACAAAGAGGTCGAAAATAATGAAATACGATACATTTTCCTGAAAAAAGGACAACTTTCTCCTCCTTTCTGTCTCTCTCTCTCATCTGAGAGAGGACCACCACCACTTACGCGTACTTACCCAAGTCTTTTTTCAATTTGCGAAGATGAGCACTCGCTAAGAACACTGCAAGCAGGTTGACTGCCGCCCATAAAGCGTTCAGAACAGCATGTCTCGCAGGTCCTCGAACGAGAGGGCAAGACGGAGCTGTCGGTGTAGTATCGGCCTGAGCTGCCAAAGCACCAGACAAAAAGGTTGGACCCAAATTGATCGTCAATGCTGTAAAAGTATAAAAAAAAACAAAGCCAAAGATTTTATCCTTTTCTTGTAGTGATTTAGTATTCAGATTTACACCGCTGTTTCCCTCTCTAAATAATAGTAAGTTTCAAATGGCAACATTTTCATGAAAATGGGAACTGTAACGTCTGACTTGATTTTCATATTTGACATTGCTTCCCCCCTTTGCACTAAAAGAACGTTTTTTTACATACGCTTTTTATGCCCATAAAAAAATTCTGTTTGCAATGGGATAAATAACATCGGCTTCTTCTCTTCGAGAACGAGTGACAGATTGGGAAGGGAAAAAGATGTATAAAGTCCGTTATTACCCGCAAACCAAGTGATGAAAACCCCAAACACTAAGCACTGCGGTGAATCCGGCATGGCTGTCGTCTCAGCCAAGAGATTGGCATCATCGTCGTAATACTCCTGGAGAAAGAGAGAGATCAATCATGTAAAATCCATCCAAGATCCTTTCATGTTATCAAACACTCATTGTGTTGTGGGCACGTATGTTATGATGAAACATGTCTGTGTATTAGAATGCATCCCGTTTTTCTAGAATTATTATATTCGAGTACAATACTTTCACCAACAACAAACATGATGCCACTCATCCCATGATTCTGACTGCCGAATACACTCCTGCCGCATCAGAGAGAGAGAAACATTTTCGAATTGCATATATCGTTAGAGAAACTGGTGGCTAAAACAGCATTCGAACTAGTTTTGGTCGTGGTGATACATAGTTTACTTTGGTTTGAGGACGAATAAATAGGGTTACTTTCACTGGTGCTGCTAGTTATTCCATCTCGCATTCCTACATGTATTTGTACATATGCAGGTCTGGCTGTACTACTGTTAGTACTAATTAGTAACTTATTTATTAATCCTGACAACTGGCACACCGGGTTAAAACAGCGGCATCAAAGAGAATGTGTAATGAATTAGGCGTGTTGCTTTGAGCCTTTGTATGTGTGTGACAAAGTTGGAGGACGCAGTATGAGAGAAAATTTGAAGTCTAATTTCTATGTTTTTGGAGTTAATTAGGAATTATACTTGTCCCCACTTTGCCCTGTACCTATGTTTCTACATACACATGCACAACTTCATCAACACACTGCTGCTTTCCCCAATATCCCTTTACAACCTGTTATAATTAGTCGATCTGAATTCCTCTACTATATAGCAGATTGGGAGCATGTTAAATTAATTAAATACAGAAGGGAAGGGATTGGTAGCAAATTGGATGAATAATTCATGCTCGATGTTATAATTAACAGGCTAAGGAGCTAACCCTGCAATAATAATAATATGCATGTGCAGATATAGACGTTGACCCAGCTGAACAATTTTGTTAAGTCGCTCTCGCAGTTTTATCTCATTTCGTTATAGTAAATACACCATATCAACATTGGGACTCACGAGAGGGGCACTGATTTAATAATGTAGAAGAGTTTTTCACATTTCCTCGTCGCTTTCACTCCTTCGGAATTTAATTAGCCTTTCTTCCCCTCCTCGCCTTGTGTTCATATCCTCCTTTCCTGCAACAGGACTGCAGCACGTGAATATGTTTAAACTTCACACTAATCCTAAGCTCGGGGAATATACGTGCTCATCTAATTATTCTTATGCTGATATAGTACTTATGTATAATCCTTTTCGCTATGCGTATATAAATATGTAGATGAAACTGTTGGAATGTAGTCTCAAGAGATATTCTTCTTAAATTCATCTTGAACTTGAAACTAAAAAAGAATATCAAAGAAGGAAATAGTATTCTTTAGGAGAAAGTATGTAAATAAATATGCATGCACGGTGCGTTTTTTGTGAATAAATTTATTCAGAATATGACATTCCTTCACGGCTGTGAACTGTTGAACTCATTTATTTGAGATGCGAAAATCAACGTGGAAAAGGTAATAAACCTCCCTCTTCAAGAAAGCCTTGCAATTAAATATGTCCATAATGCCATTCTTCCCTCGAATAACATGGCGCAATCAAAAATTTGTAATTATAGCAGATTAATGCCCCGAGTGATTTCTTCCAGAAAATATCTCTGCCTCTGTTGCTGAGAAGGATACATTTAAAATCTAGGAAACTAAACTGGTTTGATGGGCAATTAAGGTTTTGTTCATGAAATTGAGTCGACCATCAATTTCGATTCGATTCCTGCATATTGCACGCTTTATTTTCCTCCTCTCCGTAACATTTCATCTTTGTTCTCTTCTTCTGATTTCGTTCGTTACTTTCTCCCATAAAATAATTTACTACCTTCGTTATAGTTCATTAGAGGATCGTTAGCGGAATTGCTGGTGCCCACAAGTAGCACATTGATTTTCCAACATACAACATCCACTTTTAATCTCCGAGTCTGTTTGGGAAATAATAATGCAGACGCAAAAGTTGTTACATATGAGATGATAATTTGACCTAGTTTGTCGGCTTGTTTCTTTAATTATTGGTGGATGTCGATGATGAACTTTATTGCATAATAAGGGTTACCTTTAGGTAATTAATGATATCCACTTACCGAATGATAGGATGAATACTCTCCCTTTGGGTATAAAGGTGACGTGTACTGGCTCTCGGCTCGCGAATACCCTGCAGACTGAATTAAACTGGGAACTAAAAGCGGTGGTGGTAATAGTGGTGCGTCCTGAAAACAAATCGTGGAAAAAGAAAATTACTGCATCACCTTGCCAGTTCCGACATTTAGGTTGACATTCCATCTTTTCGAACTCGCAGATAACATTTCAAATTTCCGACAAATTGACAGACTTACACTTAAAGAGGCTGTAAACAGAGTAAACAAGTTTAATTAGTTGGTCTATTTCATACAAATTTTAGGTTAAAAATTTTGGTAAGCCATTTTTTACTTACCAACGAGAAGATTTAGCGATGTCACGGTGGCAAGCAATAAAAAGGCCGTATCCAAGAAGGAGCACCGCGTGATGGGTTGGCATCTTAAGACGCTTAGACCAAGCGGTATGAGTAGAGCGGCCCTTGTTCCATCCACAATCGTACCGTGAAGCAAAAGTCCGGATGACCATCTGAGAAGAAAGACACTAAAATTCAGCACTAACTAACCAACCCCCCAGGACTTTTAGTAGCGTTATTATTACAATCACACCGTCCCACTTTTAAGACTCTCATAAAACCAGAATTAGGAAAGGAAGGAAGTGTGTTTTGAGTTTTCTTCCAAAGCTATTAAAACGTTAGCAGGTGGGCGATGACGACGACGGTGTGGTAGGGAACGAGAGAGAGAGAGGATTTTCTACCTTGGACGCCCAATTATTGTATAAATCTCACATTTTCTTCTTTCGAGGACAAATTCATTTCTTCTCGTTTAGAGAAACTTGGGTAATCTTCTTACCGTACTTTTCGGCTTAATTTTAATTACCTTCTCAATGAGCGACGAGCGATGACCAGTCCAGCCAAAGAAAGATTCGCTAATACTCCTGCTCCTGCCAGGCTTATCAGCAGAGTTCCATGTCTCTCAGAGTCCGAGTGGCATTCAAAGTTTCGTGTGATATTGGTAGTGATGTTGCGATCAATTCCACCAGCCAACGGTCCACCACCTCGAGTTCCAACGGCGCTTAGCATGTTAGGTTGTTCTCTGGGAAGAAATTAATTGATAGCTTGTCCGTCCGACTTAAAGCTGGGATGTTGTTGAATGTATGCAGTTAAATTAATTCGATGGCTTGTACAAAGTGTGGATTACATTACGTCGCGTGATATATGTGACAAATCTCACTCTTGTCACGACTGCTTTCTCCATCACCACACCACTTTTTCCAATTTGGTCATTTCATTTTGCTCAAGTATTCACTGTTTATTATACAGTCTGCGCGTTTATGGAACTGCTGTGAACAGTTGAGTTGAATCACAAGTTGATGGAAGACAATCAATTATAATTAGGCTTTCTTGGAGCCGCAGCGCAGCCAATATTTTTTACACTGGATCTGGAAAAGAGAAGAGAAAGAAAAGATTTTCTTAATTTTAGTAGGCGGATTTTAATTGAGAGACTTTTCCCCCATTTTTCAGACAAAGAATGAATCCTACTTCCACCACCACCAAGCTAAATCTTAAGATGAAGTTGTGTGACATCTACTATTATGAGATGATTTATTTTGCAGAGTTTGCTGCTTTATTATACGGGGATTTTTTTGCTTTGCTTTCTCTCTCTCTCTCTCTTGCTTGGTTGTGGACATGAAAGTTTTGAATCTTTGGAATGAGTTCAACATGAAAAGGCTTTTGTCCAGAGGAGAGGAGCTAAAAGCTTCGTCCCTTCCTTCCTCTCACTTCCTCCACTGCGATGTATTCCAACTATTCTTTCGAGTGTGAGAAGAGTTTGAGTAGTATCGAATCTCAAACAGAATTCAATGCAAAGTCAAAAGCAAAGTGATGGATGTTGTCGAGAAGAACGTGTCATAGCTCCTGAACACTTGTGTGAGCTATACTTACCTATTGCATATTAACGTTCTCTGTACCCTGCAGTCAACAAAAGTGATGTCAATGGATTACTTTGTTCCGTTTGCATCATTTCCTCTTCCCAGTTCCGCAAGGGGACAAATTCCAAAATGGGAGATTAATTTATGGGCACTTGCTTTGAAAATCAAGCTCTATTAATACTTTCATTGGTTGGGAATTTGTAATGCAATTTGAAACATTAATCCTGCTTTCTTTGTCCATGTTTATTTCGTATGCGATGAGTTGACGAGAAAAGGTTAAGCAAAGTCGGATGTGGTTGGAATCTAGGATTACGTAGAGAGAGAGAGAGACACGAATAAAAGAAACTTTGCAAAAAATGAGTGGCTGGCTAACGTGAACAATCTGATTTCTATCTCGTCTCATGTTGTTGTTGTTTGTTGGGACACACATACACTTTTTCTTCTCCGTTAGAAAGGACAAAATTCAGATTCCTGTTTTGTGCATATAATTCCTTTTCTTCTTCAAGTTTCAAACGACACTTGGGAGAAGTTTATGTGACTGGGTTGGTTTGGTTTTGGTGCATGGTTAGCGAGTCAGGACACTCAATCTCAATTGCCTCAGTCAAGAAATTTGGCCCCGTGCCACTCGGCGAGATAACTAGAGAGATGTTTTAAGTAAAGTAAATTGTGTGGGGTAATACGCTATAGTATGTGCTTTCACTTGTCCGGTTTCTCGTGCTTGTGCTTGGCTCAGATTTCAATGCGGAATTGTTCTTGATAAAAAGAGCGAAAAAAGAAAGAAGAGAAAAACGAATCTCATTTCAACCAATGTAAGAACGACAGAGCATCGTACGCCTTGGTTGCTTGGATGATTACGAATAGAAATTTGACGATGAGAAATTGACAATTTGCAATATATGTAGCAATCAAAGTGTCGGATTTATCATCGCACATGCAATATAAACATAAAGTTCTTATTACTTATTCCGTATTAGTGGTGCTGGAATGTACCGAATTGCATAAATCACAAGAATGAATGTGCTTTTGTGATAATATAAATGTAATATTACACATTTACATGGGTGCAGATAAGGAATTTGCTCTGCTGCTCTGTGTGTATCCCATTAGTTTTCACTAATGACAACGACATGCGCCCTCTCATCTCCAAATAACTGAAATCTATAAACTACTACATACTTGTGTAGTATGCATGCTGCTGCTGCTGCTACTACTGTGGTTGGATGAGCTTTGATACTTGACGGGTTTTATGCAGATTTATTTTCCCCATGCTGCTTTCTTCCGCTGTAACCAACTCAATTTTAGTGAAAGTAATTAGTACGCGGGGCTTTGAGTCTAATACTCTCTTTATAAAGTGGTTGGCTCTGATTCTATCTTTTGTGCGTCAGCTACGTACGTAAAACACGGCCGAGTAGTAATTACTTGTTGTTTGCTACGATATGGAATTATTTTTTCTGTGAAATGATGGAATTCCAGTTCTAAAGAAAACATACGTAATGAAGTACTGAACATATATTTTAAGGTTTTGATGATCATTGTAAAAGCAATTTCCCAGTAGTTTGGCAGGCGTATGTACATATGTACATTTATTGTTTGTTATGACATTTACTCAACTGGAATAAAATTATAAAGCCTCCCGGCCATCCTGCAGAGAGACCGACTTCCTGTTGAATTTTCCGTCTCTCGCCTTTCCCTTCTTGTGCATGGATGGACGGACGACAATGGAAATTTTTATTATCACATTCAAGTTAGTTCTTTGAGAGGAGAGGATTAGTTTTACTGTTAGTTCCTGTCAGGACTTAATGAGTCGTCAGGTTAAGTGAATTTACTGAATTTCACTCTCTCACTTTGAGTGCCATTCAGTTTTCTCATTCCGCCATCAACCAGACTTTCTCCACGGCGTTTTTCCTTCCTCCATTGTCTCCCGGCCTGCTCTCACAAGAGGTTTAAACTGAGCCTTTCTATTCATTGGGTTCTTTCTGTCGCCATTTATTATTATACCCGCCTGCCGTCGTCAACTTGGTGGTGGTGCGGGCACAGGCAAAGCAGCAATTCTAGGAGTGTATTAGTAATCTGAGCTTATTTTATTTTATGGAATGGACCACTGAATCGTAAATGATAAGGTTCAGCGTTCCTTATTCGTTCAGGTCACTTACTCATGCCCAAGGTCTGCTCTCTCACTCTGGCAACTAGACATCTTTCTCTTTTTTCTCTTGTTGAAAAGGCACACTTTTTTCCCTCGTGCACTCCACCTAACCTGAATAGCCTAATATATAGATCATACATTAACCAGATATTTCTCTCCGTCTGCCTTCCTGCCATAAATAGAATGAGACTGACGATTTCTTGATTTGCTTTCTCCCTGCTTTCTCCATACATGTCTATCTCCTCGTCCATCGGATAATATAAGGTCACCATTTCTGAACGGATATCAAATGAGAAATGCGACTGCGAAGAGAGAAGAAGAGCACACACGTTATGTTTTCTTACGGTTTTTGCCATTTGGATGAAAACTTCTTTCCCAATTTGGGAATTGTACGTCTCTCCGAGGGTGCAATAGTCCCCCCGGACAGTAAAACTTTTTCCGCCTACATTCCTATATGTACATACCCATTTTTCCCTCACGTAATACATACAAACACAATCTAACATCTGTACTACCATTTAATTGTGTTTCTATGTGTGGACAAAGTCTGCCTCCGGAGATATAGCTTCCATTATGAATAAAGTACAACCACGCGTGCCTTTTGGCATTTCCGATTGGCAATACAATCAATAATATAATAGAAGAAAGTACTCTGAACAAAAGTGTGATTTCGCCATGTATGAAACTGATTTGGAAGGAGAAGAAGAAGCTGGATGAGAGATGGAGGAGTGAAAGCAGGTGGTGATAGGTACGTACGTTCGAAGGTGTGTGGTGGTACTTATGTCGAGTAAGGAGTGTGATTCTTTCTACCATTCTCGAGGCAACTGTTGACGGAAAAGGAATCACTTTCTCCTCCTTTAGTCATTTCCTCACTTTTCTCACGCACTTAGGAGGAAGGTGATGTTTCGGTGCTGCTGACTGACTGCCCGCCTCACACTGAGAAAGAAATGGAGAAAGCAAAATTTTAGTCGAAATCATCTCGCTGATGCCAAGAAAGAAATAAGGAGTTGAATTTTTCATTCGTTGATTCCATTATCCGAGAGAAAATAAAAGTAGATGATAGTTTCGGATGTGGCATTTCATTGTATTGCAGCAAGTAGATATATGTATGTATGTGATCATTTATGTCTATTGTATGTAAGCGTGCAGCACATTATGTAAGGTAGTTGTTGGTGGAAAAATATAATAATAAGAACACAATACTTATTGCTTTTCTGTTGCCTGGCTGAATTCCTATGTCAAAGAAACAGGTTTGCAATTGTTGTTATGTTACTCAATGCTCAGTGAGTGAAAGTCCACCTTTCTCTCCTACGTTCTAATGTGCATACGTGGAATATTGGGTTGTGTTCTGGAAACTTGTGTGTTTCATTCACTTGCTTGCCGTGTAAAAATTTCATTTCATTCTAAAATTGGCATCTCTCTCTAGAATCCAGTATTGAATTTGGCTTTACGATTTTGATCGTATTTTTCTTTATCTTTTATTTTGTGTGCTCTCTTATTCTGTACGCACGGCTCGTGTTTGTTCTCAGTGATATGTAACCTGTAAAATTTTAAGTAGAATTGAAATCTGTAGAAGGAAGAAGAAGGTCTACGTAAATGTAAAAAATGATGAGAAAGGGCAAAGGTAAAGGATTTAGTTGGGTAAAAGAAATTGTAAAGTTGTTATCTCTCCAAGGCTCGAGATTCGTGTGACCTCAATGAAATTTGTTAACCTGACGACCATGACGTACATACTTACAAACTATCAGCTATTGCAAGGTCAGCAGAAATGGTTAAAAAAGTGTACGTATTTTCGTATAGAAATTGTTAAACTTAGTATATTTTATAATCATAATCTGTAATGTCAACTTATTCTTTGACGTCCAAGAGAATCTCATCGCGCTGCTAGTGACGTACGTTTTTAGAGAAGAGATCCTCTTATTTGCCGCAGGTGTCACCTGTAAACGTCCCAGCCTTTCGTTTCCTTTAATTTAAGCACTTTAGTCAAACGCCTTTGAAGAAGAAGATGTGGCACTTTTCGGAAGGGAGAAGAGTCTGCACATTTTTCGGTAATTTCTCGGATTAGGCTCATAACAGTAATCTTTCATGAAAGAAGAAGTGGAGGCGCAGCTGAGGCGAGTCAAAACTAAATCTTGAAGAGTCTCATTGTGTTTGGAATGTATTTTCTCAAATGCCCTGGAGTGACGAGCAATCGACTTTGTAAACGTCGCCTGCACATATATTACAAACTCGGCGGCGGAAGTTACTTACTTTCTAACCGCGACTGGATCTTACCCTACGACTTCTTCTATCACCATTGGGCTTAAGTGGTGGTTTGCTTGCAGACGAGCACCTACCACCACCACCACCCGCACCTTTCCCTTTCAGGGAGAGCATTGTCAAGTGGTGTGGGGTTCGCACCCAAGGTGGCCACTATTTTCGCACTATGTGTCACGAATTAATAAGAATTAATCTTCAAATGAGCACCTCGAATAGCTCTTTGCTTCTCGCTACACCAGGTAAAACGGCAATTCCCGTCCAGCCCAAGTGTGGAAAATGTTTATTGTTATTGTTGTAGTTGCATGGCATGGGATGGGTGGATGGAAATGAGGGGGATCAGAGAGTGGTTGGAAACTTTGTACATATGAAGAAGAACTCAACTTGTGGAAATAAACTTAACACCACGTCCCACTCTATTTATAGTGAGGTCAGATGGGTTTGTGCTCAGCTATCAATATCGCCAGGCAGACTTTCTCCTGATCATCTCATCTCTGTCTGTCTGTCTGCATGTGGCCCTCTGGCTGGACAACTTTCTATGTACACCTGGGTGGCTACTTTCTCCTTCCACCACCACGACACACATAGAACATCTTGTTACTTCTTCTTTGGCACTCGATTGGTTTCGCTATTCATTGCCTCCTGTGCCCTATGGGAAGTGGTTTAACTGTCCAACCGAGTCCAATAACACTCGTCCCGACAAAGGCAGCCAATGGGGATAGCAAGTAACTTTTGTAAAAGTTTAGGCCCTGGTTAATTCACTATTAAGTCTAACAGTTGTTCCTGCATGTTCTTGGTCTTCTTAGAATATTGCGAAAGTCGAGATGAAGTCGCAGTCATAGTTAGTTTGATACAGTGAGTTAGTTTGTGTCGCCTTGGTCTATACACTTTCATACCGGGTTAGCTCGATCTTCTCGACTTTGGTTTCATGGGAAAAGGTGAAACTAAATGAAGTAAAGTTAAATAAATGTCTTGTCTTGTTGTTTCATCGCCCACAGCCAAGTTTCTTTCTTGTGAGGAAGTGGTATTACTATTATGAGCCTTTTCTTCCCGCAAACCATCCCCCAGCCCATGTCTACCTTTGTTGGCACATATATTAGAGGAGATAATGTAATAATAATACCATTTCCGTCATTTTTTACTACGTGCACAGGCTGCGTATGTAGTAAAGTAAGTATAGTAAATGCAGTTGAAAGTTTTCAGGTTAGAGGAGGATTCACGTAGGAAAAAGGGGGTTTAAACTGTGTGTATCCATATATTTATAATTGTCCAAAAGTTGAGCTCCAGCTCTACTATGTATGATACAAAAGTGAGCAGTTTCGTTTCTTTCGTCTACTTTTGCTCTTCAAAACCCAACTCTCAAAAGAGCGGATGGGGACCCCGCAAAAGTTTAATATTCTCTAAATCCCTGTTCTAATCTCTGTTGGAAATTGCTGCTCAGAATTTATGAGTGCGGGCTTAGCAATGAAGAAAGTCAGTCGTTGGTTCGAAGTAAACCTTACAAAAGCTGATTAAGGCTTCAATCAGGCTTCGTCTGATGCCCTCCTTCTTCTTCCCTCGTGGTCTGGTCTCTCACATTGTCAACCAAAAAACTCCCTGGGATGGAGTGGTTGCAAAAGTTAGGTCCACCATGTAGCTTAGGAGGACAACCCTTCACCGACAGAATCACCGATCTTGATGCCCTTTGGATATGTTGTATTCCTAGGTGAGTCTAGCAAAAGTGAAGCAGGATTTCATTCCATGGCCCCATTTGCGCCCGCCACACCCACTCAAACATGCGAAAAACACGAAAAATACCCTGTTTTGGTTCATTCAAAAAATCACCAAAAATCCAATTTTGATCGGATTTTCATAATTTAAGCGTTTTTGTGATCTTAGATAGTTGCTTTATCATATCCAATAGCAAACTCAATTTTTTTGAAATTTTGATTTTTTCGAAGGAATACTCCTGGTCAGGAAATTTTCGAAAATACTCAAAAAATTAAAAAAATTGAGTTTGCTATTGGATATAATAAAGCAACTATCTAAGATGACAAAAACGCTTAAATTATGAAAATCCGATCAAAATTGGATTTTTGGTGATTTTTTGAATGAACCAAAACAGGGTATTTTTCGTGTTTTTCGCACCTTTGAGTGGGTGTGGCGGGCGCAAATGGGGCCATGGAATGAAATCCTGCTTCACTTTTGCTAGACTCACCTAGGAGTACAACATATCCAAAGGGCATCAAGATCGGTGATTCTGTCGGTGAAGGGTTGTCCTCCTTAGTTTCGTCGTCTATACCGACTTAGGACTCTAGTTGTAGATTAAGCATAAGTGACGGTAAGAGGACAGAAATAACTCCATATTTGTAAAACTTTTTTTGGCCATAGCACAGAAGGAGGGGTTTTGTTGAGTTAAGAAAAAATGAACATTATCTCTCGACATTTATTTTCCAAGTTTGATAAATTATTGAGACATGGGCTATTTGGGGTTGGTTGTAAGGGCTCATTTTACTAAAATTATGATAGGCAGATGCATATCAAAAAATTACGTGTTATTAGTTTTCACGAGATACGTAGAATAAGCTCGTCGTGTTCTTATTCTGATTAAACCCAGAGAAAAGAAAGAACCAAAAAAAGATACAGCTCTTGTAAGATTTTATCAGAATTGTGTTGTAATAAGCTTACTTTATTGTACTCACTTTTTAGTCCGGCTGGTATTCCCGTAAGTGTCGCCGCTTTATTGTTGGCCGGTGTTGAATTGATTGTTCTGAGCTCACATCACGTTTCACCAGAGAAGATTAGTAGGGGACATGTCTCAATCAGCTGAAATCCCTCGAGTTTTATGTGATATTAAACGATCCTTTTCCTCACAGTGATCCGATCCCTTTCTCTGATCTTTAAATGTTATGGCTCAAGACATTCACACCACACAACTACAGCAGCAGCCTACTATGTGCTACTTTGCTGTGTATGCATTACAGCATAAACTCCAAGGCGAGATATTCGGCATAAAATGAATCTAAAATCAAAATCATGAAAGCAACTTTTTTCTCTCTTGAAGAAACTTCTCTCGAATTTAAATATCTGGTTTTATGTAACCACAAACGGAATGCAATATGTCCCGTTATATAAACAAGGTTGAGATTTTTTACTCAAAAACCTCTCTCTAAGTGAGCACTAAAGAAAAAAATAAGCCAAGGCTGAGTGAGTGAGGCCTGGATGTTATGCGAAATAGAAAAGTTACTTAATCTTACAACGTGTCAATTACAAATCAATGATGTAATACAGCTTTCACCATCACACGCATGGCTCCTCCGATCTAATTTTACTATCCAGATTTAACGAATTACACAACTGATCACATTGCAAATGTATGAATGAATTACTGCACAGAGTGAAAGTTGTGTCTAGAGAGGACACTTTTGTCCTTGTTTACTGATGTGTGGGTGTTTCTGCGAAACTAAATTTTCTCCATCGGAAATAGAATACAGGCAGAACTCTCCGTTCGAACTTATAGTCTTGATCCGTTCAAGTTAATGATTTGTAATTTGTTTAGAGTAAGAATGGCTAAATTTGTTCATTTAGCTTTTCTAAAGCCGGCCAACCAGACTAAAATAGACCTGTGTCTATATCTTGAGAGGCTGGTTTGGTAATGTCGTGTCCCGGCCAAGGGTGCCAGAGGGATTGAATCCAGGAGGACACACCGCTTCTTCTTATTCTGGCTTGGCTGCTACTGCGAGAAGATCTACACGGCTACCTTTTTCTCCAAATTGTGAAATGGTGATGGAACCGAGAGTCCAGAATGGAGATGCTGTGTTGAGAGGTTGAACTGGGACTGAGCTGAGTGAGAGAGTTACTCTCAGTCTTTCACTGTCTCTCTTCTCCAGAGTAGAATTCTAGCATAAAAACACCCGGACTGGATGGATATCCAGCTAGAGAGATGCATTTGGGGTGAAAGTGTGTAGCTTGAGATATGTAGGTTGCTGCTGGTGGTGGTGGTGCTTGGATATCTGTCTAACTAACCAGGGGAGGGAGATAGACAACGAGATGAGTTCTTTTTCTTGCGAGATTTTCGCAAAGTGGAGAAAGTAAGAGTAAAAGTTGTCGTAGGGGAACTAAAAATCACAATCAGTCGTCGACTTCAAGTCGAAATGTTTCCCTGCATCGATAACGGTTATGTTCTTATTATTATTGAGATTTATGAAATGTTCTTCTCTCCAGTATTTACGACACTGCGTGGGGCCTGCCTTCTTTAAAGCTATTAAATCATAAATCCATTTTAAATTCATGTAATGTGTCCTCTTGTTGAGTTGATGGAGGTGAATAGAGATCATTTTCACTGCTAGGCAAACACAAAAGTTACCAAGAGATAGGGGAGAAAGTGACTTTGAATTACTTGTGTGCTACGTTTTTTTTATATTCCGGATTGAGCTTGTTGAAGTCAGTACTCGTCCACCTACCAACCAACGAAGCAAGCAAGAAAGAAGAAGAGATAAAGCTATGGAAGCAGAATAGAAGTGTTTGAATTGCGTTTGTAGCCAGAGCAAATAGAACGTGCCCAGGTTTAGATTGACCAGAATATGGCTCCAACAGACCAAACCTATAAACCACTAACAACGACTTGTGTTATGTTTACTCAATTCAAGATTTACGAAGAATTCTGCTGCGTCCAGTCAAGGGTGTTGAATTTAGAGTCGACTGCTTGAATCCTTCTGGTTGTTGGATCTGTCGTTTTCTATCAGTGGTGGTGGTGTGTTTCGGGAATTCTTCTCCTCCTTTTTGGATGGGGTATTTCTTAAACAAGTCTTTGTACACACACTTTCTCCTACTTTCTCCTCTCTTCAGTCTGGCACCGAAAATATTTTCCTCAGCCCGTGTCTGCCTGCACGGCACTGCTTTTATGTATGTTCAGGCATGGATTGGTAGGTTAACTAAGGGATGAATTGAAAAACCACCAAGTGGAGAAAATGGAATTTAAACGTTACTACAAAGAAAGGAAAATTTCAGCTCCTTGGATGGCTTGCTCATCCAAGTCATCCAGCTTATTATTTCTTTTGTTCTGCTCTACTTAGCCTCGAGTGCAAGAATTGTTTTCTAAGATCTATTAAGCACAGCTTGTCCTTTGTGTGCAGGCATAACCGTAAGTGTTTGAAGTACAATTTGTCTCTTCTGGATTTTGCACACTCACACAGAGACAAGTTGGTGAAATTAGTAATTTAATGCGGGTTTAAGCATCCGAGTAATTAGTGGGCGGTTGGTAGTTGTCCATTCTTGCGAAAAGGAGTAGTGGCGTGTCATCCTCCTACACGGGAATATTTTGATTGGAGTTTTGTCTATTAAAATTCCTCAAGTTTTTCAATTATACGAATAAATATTGCGTAGGTTATGTAAGTATTTAAATCTATATTCTGAGGGAGAAATCATGTTCGCTATTTTCCAAAAAGAAAGTAAGAAAAATAATTAACCTTCAACCTACATAGTTATTTGAATGATGCTATCTATAGATACGCCGTGTTATGTAAGAAGAGAAGGGAAAGTTGTATGAGATGACGATGTGGATGAAAATAGAAGTTGTGTGAGGCAAATATGTTTACCTTGCGTGCAGCAAAATTTGTCTAGAATCTATTTTCTCCCTACCTGGCTGGTGATGACGACGGGCTGCTGACTACTTTCTATTTTTTCTTCCTGAAGGTTAACTAGCACGCTTACATACGTGCCTACGAGTATACTATGAATTCGTACATAGGGGTGCAAAATCGAGCCCATGTATAGAAAGCTAAACGGGCCGGCAGAGAAGGAGAAAGTAAAACTAGCCATAAGAGAAAGAATGGAGATGTGGTGGTTGTGTGGTTTTTGGGGATGTTGATTGTGATGAAAGGAAGAGTGAGAAGAAGTGAAAGCGTTTATTTAGGAGAGAGAGAGAGAGTTGGTTTACTTTTCACTGTGTACATCTACTCACTCCCACAGCCTTATCTACTCTCTCTCTGGTACACGTACGTACTCCACCACCAACCAGCAAGAATTTGAGACGAGGCAGAGTCTGCTGTGGGTCGGTGGACCTTGGTTCGACTCATTTCTAAGGAATGAAGAATAGGACGGGCGTCTCTATTTGACTTGGCTAACCTTTCACTCGCCCTTTAGCCTTTTCCATCGTCGTGCCTCTCCTTCCTTCCATCCCAATTCCTCCGTCCTCATCGCATCGCATGGCCAACCAACATGGGACTTGGTTGCGTCTCTTGAATCTATCTTGTTCATCTCGGAATGGATGTTATACAAAGAAAACAGTTGATACCTTGTTGTTGCTGCGTCATGTGAGATGCACACACGTCTAAACGTTTTTGTCCCAGACGACGACCAGGATTGAGAATTAAAAAGAAGGAAGTGGAAAAGGGGGCTTCCGCAGCTAAGCAAAAAACTATTAGCCGGTGAAAGTAAATAGCGGAGTTAATTCATGGTGGTAGTGGATAATGAATGCTTTGTTTTATGGCTGATGAGTGAAAGCAAAGCAGGGCACGAGATAGTCAATAGCTTCACTAATCAAACAAAGGCTAGAGTGAAAGTAAACGCGGATGCCCTTTCTGTCTGTCCTAGTTTGGTTATGGTTTCGTTCCGTTGAGTATGACGAAACTGTGAATTGAAATGGTTGGAATTTAGGACTTGGCAAAAGTAGGAGAGGTCATTTACATGTAATTAATTGTATTTCTTATCTATCCACTTGTGGATTCGTTACGTGCAGGAGTGCCAAAGCCCCTCGAGCATCTGCTATTATTATGATGGCTTCAAGGTTGAAATTAAATAAGCAATATTGGGAACTTTCAAGGCTAAAAACAAAGTTTTACACTATTTGATTAGCTCTTCAATGTGATATAAAGTGATGGAGAAAATCAAATAAGTCTAAAATTACCTTTCTCCGCCTTCACACCACCACTTCCACTTCCTAAAAGAGTGTATATCTATAAATCCATCTTTATTTCCCCCTTGGTCATGTGGTGAGTAGGAAGAAAGTGAGGAAAAATAGGATTTCTGCTGATTCCGCACGTTTTTCTTCTTCTGATGACGTTTAGGTTTCCTTTCTAAACAATTGCATGTCTCATGCTGGACAGGATGACTCATTGAATGCAGCTGTTTGTGTATTGGACCTTTCTCAAACATACATTTCCTTTCTCTCCTTGTCGCCACCACGGAAATATTACGATGGCGAAGGACACCAGACTTTTCCCACGCTATTGTGTCGCACCTGACAGGAGGCAAGTAATTGTACGACTGGTTGTGTGTTGGTACATAAGTTCAGCGGGGAGAAAGCAACTTGATATTTTCATGTCATTCACAGGACTAAAATATTTCGTCATCTGGCACAACAAGAATAAATCAGAGGAGGAGAAAGTGTGTGTTATCACAATTTCGCAACTTGTTGGTTCTGCTACTATTAGCTCATTGTAATGACGACGAACAAATGTTTGCTTTGATTAAAAGTGAATTTATCAATGTTTCTTGCAAGGTGTGGGACAAGATTTGTAAGGCTTTTCTCCCTCTCTCTCTCTCTCTCTCTCTCTACGGTCTCGTGTAATTACTTCGTGCGATGGTGGTGGTGGTATCCCAGATGCGATCTTCTTCTCGTCCATCAGTGAAATGAAGAAAATTGGGTTAGATTAGTTAGAGAACTTGATCTTAATCTTCGTTTTGGTTTGGCTCCACAGTATGGAATCTCCTCTGTACGTTTCTTGACACTAGTTGGCAGTGAGCATAATTTAGATTAGTACCATTTCTGGGTTTTCTCGTGAAGGGATATACGCGGTGATTATACAGTGCGGCTGAATAAATTGTATTACTTCCAAGAGAAAGTGCGAATGCATTTAGATCTTGATCGCTCACCATTAGTCTCTATTAATAATTCCATGGCTTACTGATAACTTGGAGGCATTTGCAACGCAGCCTCTCTCTTATTGCCTAGTCTAGTGTGAGGAAGTGTAATTGGGATCGATTAAATGGCTCCAAATTATATCCACCATTAAAAGTTGATGTTCTGTTCAGCTCTGGAAATCGAAGAGGTAGCAGACTTTTACAACATTAGAGGAAACACTTTACAATAATTTTTAGTAATTTCACAATACGTAACTTTTAGGGGTTATTTGACTTTTAAAGGGATTCTCGGGTAATGAGATTGCTTTAACTACAGCATTGAAACGCTATACTGTATGTAATACTATACGTCGTATAGGAATTATAAGCCAGGTGGGCGAGTTATAAGTTGATTAAATTTCCAAGTATACTTATTTTGCTATTTTTATTTGAGCAGGCTGATGATTTTTTTATTCCTCGTTCCTCCATAATTTTCATTTCATTGCTTTTACAATACAAATTTAATTTAGGTTCTTTATTTCGCTGAGTGTGTTGACTTTTTCCTGCAAAATGTCATCTCAGCCATTTCTCGGAACTGTGCAAAAGCTGTGCCCTGTTGTAACATTATCTCTCTCTCCAAAAGGGAAAGTGTAGTGTAGTCTAATTGCATCAAGAATCTGAACTAAGGCCATTTTGATTATTTCCCAATATCGCTTTGCAGCAAGTCTCCATCAAAAACCGTTCAGTCGAGAATAAAACTAGACAAAAGTACGTCCGTACAGGCTTCTCCGCTGGAGAGATATGCAGATATCGTTTAAAATGAGAGTTTGATAACTTTCTAAAAATACGGGCACATTCTCCTCTGCTTTCCTTGCGTTATCTCTGTTAACTCATTTTGCACGTATGGTCTCTCTCTGTATGTATTTCTTTACTCCGATTTAGCATCACCTCCATTCTTCCCGTAGAATTTTTTTCAGAGTCGTCTTCGTCGTCGTTCTTGTCCTCCCGAAATA